TGTTAAAAAGGAGAACCCAGTGAAACCTTTTATGTCAACCACCGTAGATCTTTAAAGAGTCGATTCAAGCAGACTGCATTCATTAGACATGTATATTCAGCATGTTTTTACCGAGAATTACGATGAGCTGTTATTCTATCTGATATTTGGCACATCACCACACTTATTAGCCTGTGTGTTTTATATCTCACTCACTTTATGTATCCTGCCAAAGGAATTTTTAAAAAGATCTTTCCAACTGGGTAAACATTTGCTCCGGGGCTGCTTTTAGGAGTGTTTGAAACATGAATTGACTTGGCAAAATATTAATTTTGATATTTTTCCTTCATCAACTACAACAAGGAGGAGATGTTATCCTTCCAAATGTGGGGCTTATTAAGGTTTTAAGGAATACCTCTAGGGATGGAGGATGGAGAAATAATGATGACTAAATATCATGTTTTCTTCGATAAGCTCAGGCTGGAGAACCTTTATCCCTTGGATTCGATTGCAATGAAATGTTTCCAATGTGGCTTCACTGATTACACTAAGGAGTCATAAAACAGTTTTTCTTTTTTCATGTTTAACATTCACAATCATGTGATCACACAGTGACTCACCTACAGAAAATATAAGGTGGACAACATGAAGGGAGGAGCATATTCACAGATAGATGAGCTAACTGGGACAATCAAATTTCATTTAGAAAACAAGCTCATTAACATCAATGCAGACCCTTTGAAAGCTTTTTTCATGAGCCAGACTTTACTGCCATCTGCTGGACAAACATGGCATCATACCTTGACATTATTTTCTTTGTCCCAACTCAGTAAATCACAATCAGAATCACTTTATTGATCCAAAATTGGAAAATTATTATGTTACAGCAGCATTTTAGGAGTTAACCAGAACAATATCATATAAGAATATAAGAAAGACATAGTAAGAAATTACCTAAATATAACAATACATGCATACATCACAGATTTCCACATTAATATTGACCACAGACTTTTCTAGTATGCTGGCAAGTGTGAGTGTACAGAAATCTACACATTCACATATTTTTGACTAACAGAAAAATATGTAATGCTTGTGTAAAAAGGATGAGTTACACACAAAACAATGTGGTAAGAGTTTTTTCTTTAAAGTCTCCTCAGAATGGATTTTCTCCATCACATTAATGCCATGCTAAATCAAGTCTTGTGGTATTCTACAGCAGATTAAATTGTTCGTATTTGATCCCTTGACCAATCTGAGCTTGTTTTGTGTAATTCTGCAAGTGCAGACGGAGCCAGCTGATGTGAAGCAGGAGTCTGAGCAGACAGATTCTCAGGACGTCACCCTTCCCATCTCCATAGTCTACAATGACAACGACACACTGGCCCATCCCAATGTAAGTTCACATAAGGTGAATTCTGTTATTAGTCATTCCAGAGTGCTCTTCAGCTGTACTTCGAGCTAAAACGCAGACTTTTTAACACCTGACAAAGCATCTTTCACACAGAAAATGTTTTTCTGATTTCATCTTTCGGTTGTCTTGTTTTTATGACTGCAACGCTTATTGATTGCAAGACAAACTTTGCGAACTTTCCACTTGAATGTAAAAAAACGGATTCATCTCAAACCGGCTCCAGTTTTTTTTATTTTTACAGCATTCCTGCATAATTCTGATGCTGTGCCTCATATAGTATAGGACACTGCGGTACAGTAGATTACAGCCTCTGAGCATCACCTCCTCCCCTGCCTGCAGACCAATGATGAAAAACGAGAAGGAAACTTTAAACTCCAATAACGCTCCCTGGGGCTTCCCACTCATCTATCTCCACTGGGGAAACTAAGTTATGCCCTGACGTATGCAGATAACCCCCTCAAACACACACGCATACACACACGCTGCCCCCCCTGACTTAAAATGCAAACACACACACACACTCTCAGACAGGCTGATGTATGGCAGCAATATGCCCCAGGCGGGCCCCGGCCTCAGCTTCAGCTCCAGCTCCACTTCCAATTAGAACAGATGAGTCCCATTAGCCCGGCCCAGATACTGTCATCCCACACACACAGCCTCATTAGCACGATGACACTGGCGTAGGGCCGACAGACAAGAACTCACTAGTGCTGAATGTAACACACAGATAACACAGGCGGAGCAGCTGTAGGCAGCATAGGTTAGGAGTGAAGGATTGACGGCTTCGCTCTACAATCTGCATAATAACACACACATATCATCACATCGATGTACAGTAAGTACACACAGCCAGCATGTCAACATTATCTCTTTCCCCCCACACAGTGAATAAAGAAATGATCATCTCACTATTACCCTATGGTTCAGCGCCTTGCCCCTCGGTCCTGTAGTCATTATATTACTTCCTAATAAACAGATGCCTTCATTCATCAGACACTTGCAGCAGCAGCTTCTTTATAGTCCTCTTACAATCAATATCATTACTGCTGGTGATATACTGAGATGGAAACAAGTCTTTTCACCAGGCTAACATGCTGCTCAAACGACTGGAGGTTGATGTTTCATATGCACATATTTTTTTCATATTTTGCATTCTTGACTAAAACTTGAAAAGACCTGAGAGGTGTCTGAATGTGTTAAACTGTTTCTTGAATTCTTTAGACCAGGGGTGAACTGTGTTGGAGAGCCGAACCAACAATAACTTCATCTTCAAATCAGGGGAGTTCATACATACAGAAAAGCAAGCCCAAATAAGCAACTACTAGTTAAAATCAAGCCCAAAAATAAGCACACCCGCGACTTACGACTTTTACAAGCACCTTTTGAGAGAAACTTTGCAACCCTAAGACGTCTACGTATATTTTGCCGATGTTGCCAGATCTAGGGTGTATGCACGTGCGTCCAAACGGAAATAAAACAACAGCGAGGTTTTCAAAATAAAAGCGATGCACTTTTAAAGCATGTTGATGATTTAATTGACGGACCTCATGAAGGGCCAGGCAGGGACATCCAAAGGGCTGGATGTGGCCTTCAGGTCGTAAAATGCCCGGGTCTGCTTTAGATGATGTTGCACTCTTATTTTCACCTGTTTCACTTGGTTTTCCCGTTGTTTTCCGTTGCCCTGTACCTTTTCTGTTTCTTACTGACATGTCCCCTCTGAACTCTCCTGCAGCTGTTTATGGACAAAGAGAAGGCGGAGGAGCTGTGGCTCAACAGATTGATCTCACTACGACAGGAGAGGCTCATGGGGAGTCCTGTACCCTGAGGAAAAACCAGGGTGATTCTTTGTGTTTCAGGGGACAACCTGCGGGTCAACTTTAGTGTGTCTCGCTCCGAATCACACTCTTCTGTCTTCTTTAAAGCCCCTGTAAGGAATTCAGGTTTTGTGTGGATTTTGGAGGAAATGGTGCCTCTTTTTTGTTTGCTGATTTTGTGTAAGTGGCAATTTCCAACACAAACTGTGATTCTGCTTTCTTTTAACAGTCAAATGTTAAATTTTTCACAATCTTTGTCATGAAAAATGTAAACAAAAGGCTCTTTAAGGATTTGGACATTATTAGTTTTGTCGCTGATGGTCGCTTTTGTTTTATAGACATCAGTTTGTAGTTAAAAAATCCTTTTAGGACTTGATTGGAATAATTTTTTGTTCCTGATGAGCTTTTTATTTCATGAATGTTAATCTGATTTAGTAAAATCATTTACCCTTTATTGTTTCTTCTTCTGTTTTTAATGAGAAAATGTTTCACTGTCATAACAGATGTTTGTTTTGTTTATCATGTGTTAGTAGAATGTGATTCATTTTGCCTCTTGTCATTAAACAAAGTGAATAAAGATAGCTGTGATTTCTTTGAACGATGAATGGCAGAATCAGAATGCCCTTTATTGTCATCTTACTACAAGTACAACGAGATTGGAGAGCTTCTCCTTTACAGTGCAATAAACAAGTAAAAATAAGGTTGTAAGAGTACAAATAGTTGTAGAAAGAAGGTACTATATATACAAGACAACAATTCTACAGAACAGTAAAATAAAACGTATGTATAGGAATGAAATAGAGAGATAAATACAATAGTAAATATATATGCGTTTGAATGTATATATATCTATATGTATGTATATGTACATTTTTAATATGTATATGGACATGTATTGCACAGGTTAAGGATATAATAATCAACACAGCAGCAGTAACGTTGGTAATATTGCACTTGTTACCTCATCTTGAGGGCTGGAGTTGGTTTATGGGAGTTTAGGATGGTGATGGCTCGAGGGAAGACGCTGTTTGTGAATTTCCGTATTTCGTATCACTGATGTTGAAAATACAGATAGTGGGATCTTGTTTATAAAACCAGCCCCCCTCTCAACAAATCCCTTATGACAGCACTTAGTCCAGATAGAAACAGATAAATGACTCACTCCAGCATTGAATAACCCCCCTAAAAGTAGCCTGCGTTATCCTGAAGTAAACTCATCTTTTTAGGGTTAATCACCGGCCTTAAAGTGGAGGACGCACCTTCTCACTTGCCCTTCCCCTCCTTTGCGTTTCCTGGTTATTCTACTCTGTGTTTACATATGTTTATGTTTGTTCAATGTTGTATTCCTGAGCGGGGATTGAGGCAGTCTAGAGTCAACACTCAGGCCTATTTGTGGAACAGGCAGATGGTAAAGCTATACTGAGTCGGGGACATGGTGTGTCACTCCCCTAACCCTCCAAATAGTAAGTGTTGTAATGAAATAATAAAGGAGAATCTATAAGACGACTGCTTAAGGCAAGCATTTGATTCAAGATGTGCTGTAATGGCAAGTGAGGGAAATTTTAGTAACATTTGTCGCAGAGAAATTTCAATTAAAGAAATAAAACAGTTGAGTCATTCAGAGTCATACTGCTAATGTTGTACCGTGTATATGCCACTGGTTTTATCAGAAATTTCTGGAGTGTCGTTTCCATGGCAGCTACGCTCAACATTCAACTAGCGGAAGGCGCTCTTAATAACCAGCCAATCAGAAGCCTGGATTCCAGTCACATGGCTGTTGTCCCAGTGAGTTTGGATCTAAATCCTTTTGCATGACAGCAGCTCACCAGTAACTTTAGCCAGGCTGAGAGCCGGAGCTGGAGCACCTGTGCAGGAACGGATTATTTCTCCAAAACGTTTACCTCTTTTTGTTTGTTTACAGCCTCGAACATGTTCAACAGTCAATTCAGGGAGTTTGAAGAGGATCCGTTTTTTTCGTGAGTACTCATTTAACTGTATTATAACTATTATTTTTGTCTTTGCGTATTATTGTAATCTGAACTAGACTACAAAAGTGAGTAACGCTACATTAAAAAAATAATAAATTCACAAAACCAAACTCTAGAAACTCTACAGTGTCCCAACTCATTTTAGGAGGGCTGGCGTTTTATGAATGAAGTCAAATTTACCCGAATTTATTTATATCCTATTCTGTAACATATGAGCAGCCATTTTAAACGTGTGTTAGCGCCTATAAGTAATATATTAATATAATTAATTTCACCAAAGCTGTAATTGGTGTGACTCTCAATTGAAATCCACGTTAGCCACTCAGTTTTGATTTATTAAGGTTGTAACCAAGCAACAACTTCTGAAAGCTGACCCCTTGCTTTTGAGTGTTATGTAACGTTATGCTTTAAAACGCATGTTTGACTTTGACCCTGTGAGATACAGTCGGACTTCTTTCACGAGTGGACACCTGCTGAGTCAGTGTGGCCACACTTGACCCTACTTCTCAAGTGGCAAAAGTGTTAGCTCCTTATTCCTTTCTTATTACCCCCCTAAGAAGTCTTTATTATGGTCTGAACTTATGTGCATGTTTGAGTTTCACATGTTCTTATCCTTCCTCTGCCTTAGGGATCCATTTGGAGCTCACAGGGACCACATGCGGCACATGATGCGGAGCTTCTCAGAACCATTTGGTGGATCCTTGATGCCCAGTTTAATGGATGGGAGAAACCGTGGTCGTGCCATGATAGAACATCCCAGTGCATCCCAGGGACTCAGAGAGGAACACAGGGTGAGGTCACACATCTGAAGAAACAATACTTCACAACTTTGAGATTTTTATTCATGTATTCTTTTATTATTTAAACCTTTTGACCTTGTTTATCGTAAATAAAGTTCAACGGCATCCGTATATTGGAAGATATGACTAACCCACAAACATTCAAGTGTCCTTTGGGTCTGACTCCCCTTACTTCAACAGTTCACTCATACAGTTCAGGTCCTCTGGCTGCCCCATGTCTGTCTTCTCCTCATTGCATACAATCATAGGAGATTAGTGTTTGAAGAAGTGCAAAATTTGCTGAGGTTTAGTGGAAGTTGGCCACTAGCAGTGTAACTGGAGCACCACTTACAGAGGTATGGGGCCATGTGAATCTCTAGTTTAGTGGAAGGGCAACCCCCTCAGCCTCTCAGGACAGTTATATCTGGCCCTCAGGAGCCCTATTTATAGTGCATTGTTCCACTGACACACTACTTTCTTGCAAATACACACACAGACTTCTTTAACGTTCGAGCTGATAGCACACAAGAGGACACTGCTCTGCTATGATGGGCTGCTGTAAATAATTAGCCTAGTTGTCATGTTGACCTAAAATGTAGTTTGTTCCCCAAGTATGGGGACTGTAAGGTTGAGAAGTCTTCTGTTATGTTAAAACATGGTCAAATTATGACCATTAAATAGTCTGCTGAAGTTTTAAGGTTTAATCAACAGGCAAGTGGACAGTTTTGATCAATGATGCACTGCATTTGTAAACCTTTCCCAAATATAACCAGCCCTTACTCTGATTGGATATCCCTGCTAAATCAAACTTAGTCCCAGTCACATGCTTTAATCCCCATTCTTAATTAAAGCCCTTATTTTTATCACTGATAATGACTTTTGATTGAATAAAACAGAATATTTTTAGCTGGGGACAAAACAAAGCTAACATTAGCTTTTGTCTAATATTAGCCACAACTGGTAATATATTCACCTTAAAATGTCTGATCTGTATTTTTATCAACTGTATTTTTCATTTGCTTGTAATTATAAAAGGCTTTATTTATAACTTTGTCAGATATCCTACTGCTGTATAACTTATTAAACCAGATATTGAATTTTCCACATGTACATCTGTGGAAAATGTTTCCTATATTTATACCGTTGATGATTCCAGCCAGTGAAACTGAGCTACAATGCAAAAAGTCCATCCATCCAATTATATATCTCAGACATATAGAGCGTATTTATATCAGCAGATAATAGATAGATTTATTTAGCCTGCTAAGTACTTAGTTAATTTTCACAAAGAATTAACCTGCTCTATTACTGGACAAATGGAATCAAAACTGTGCCTCCCTGACTTCTACACACTTGCTTAGATAAAGAGCAGTCTTTGGTTCCCGGCAGTGGTCAGAGAGGCTGCAGCCTGGGTGCTGAGTGTTGTTGGCTTTGGAAAGGCATATGCGCGGATGTCATGGTCACTCTGTTTTCTTATTGTTGCTCTTTCAGTCCATCTGTTTGGCTCGACGTGCCTTGGCAATGCTGGTGCTTTAGCAGCCAGATGACAGACAGCTCACTCTCACTCTGCTCTCCAATATCACAGGCGCACATGTTCACACAAAAATACATTAATACACACACACACACACTCACAAATTCTCTATTAAAAAAATCTGACAAAAATGCTGACAAGTGCTGTTACACTAAGTCGCAGCATGCAAAATGAGCAGACTTGCAGGCATGCAAATGCAAACACACATAGACCTGCACACTTACAATGCTGGAAGGCTTTAGGCGTCTTGTATTCCTGGTGGAAAAACAATCTCCGTGTGGCCTTCCAAAGCTCTCACATTTCCCAGCCTTCTGCCAACAGCACTACCTGTTTATATCACCTTTCAAAGCACTTATCCAGCCAAGCACTTGTTTATATAAGGACTGCTGAATAACTAACAAGCATCATTATGAGTTAGGTGTACTTTCTTTGATTCTGCGGTTTGTACTGGGCTAAGCAGGTGGTGCAGGGGCTGGGAAAAGGTTGTGACCAATGATGATTTTGTATTTGTTGCAGATGTAAAGCTGTAAATTGTGATTGAAATAAAGTGAGAATAAAGCAGTTTAGAGCTGCTTTAAAGATATCATAATCTCCACATTTATATTCAGCACTTTTTATATCATTTGAGGTCTACAAGTTACAAAAAAACATAAAATTTTTCTTCTACTCCCAAGAGATGCGCTCTTTCTTAGGCGTTATGTGATAACCTCACTCTTCCTTTTAAGTATGAATCATATCGACAGCACATGTCTGCTGCGGTGTAACTCATATCTCCTCCAGGAGCAGCCTCCCTCTGAGGGCACAGTAGCTGATTCAATATCAGACTGACAGTGTGATAGAAAAGAGAATGTCAATCTGCAGTTGTCCAGACAGCCTAAAATAATGTGTTAAAGACCACTGGGTCTATGTACCGTATTTTGCACCCTCAATCTCTCCTCTGCTGTGCCTCAGTCTAAATATAATGCTTGGAGATATGTAACCGGCATTTATTAGTTCATACATGCCACTCTGGGATAAAATAGGCTGTGAGGCTTCATAGATACCGATAAAAGCGTTTTACATCAGCTTGACATTTGAAAAGAGCTGAGAGAGCAGCCTTGGACTCTCTGACCCATGTTAGATCCCCGTCCTGATGGGCCTGTCTAGCCTTCCCAGAATTAGGCTCAGTTTCAGTGTTAAACCCACTCTAATCTCTGGCAATGTGGCCCAATTACACGTGGAACACAAGTCATTCAACACCTCACTGATTATGCACAATACCCCTGTGTATCAAAACCCTAGGAAATACATACCCACACACACACACGCACATATCAATAGCTGTTGAGATGCTTTTCCAGGGCTGCAAGTCATAAACACCTGCTGCCTTGGCCTAGAGAATACAGGGTCTGACTGGAGGCTGCAGGCTGCTCCCTCCTCACTTGCATGTCTCCTCTTGATGCCTACACTCCCAGAGGGTTCATGGCCTTGATGGGTTGCACTTAAGGCCGGGGGTGAGCTCTGTGTAGCTGTGCGAAGGCTTAGTGACAGATGTAAGACAACCTAACAGCTTACAGGCAACAGCCTCAGCTAACATGTAAAAGCCTGATTCAAAGGTGTGTATGTAACATGCTGTACAAATGTAATAATACCATGTCTCTAAAGTGATACTATTTTATTCCTCAGGACATGAGCCGGTCATTGTTGCCCTTTGGCAGTATGGAGAGCACGGTTAGTGGAATTGTTTGAGCATACAAAGTTGCATGAGTCTATCTCTAAAACTCTTACTATGTGCATGCTCGGACTCTATTACTGTCAGTATCCATTACTTAGACTTAAGGTGGTCAGTGAAGAAACAAAAGTGTTTCCTCGTGTAGGGGTTGAGAGTTAGCATGATGGGACATTATTTCAGGTTGCTTGAAGTGTCATAGGCCTAACTTAATGAAACACAAGTGAAGGGAGGTACCCACTTGGTAGCTCTGGTGATGCACTGACTCTTGATGCCCATCTATCTCTATCTGTCTGGGTTATAAGGGGCATTTAGGGCCTTGTAGTCAGCTGAGTAACTTGTTAGTGGAGCTTAAATATTAGTTTGAGGTTGTGATGATTTTTTTTTTTCACAAAATGCCCTGTCCTTTACACTAGAACACAAATGCAGTAAGAAAGTTTCAAAACCTGATGTTTCATTTTGAATGTATGGGGATCTCACTGCAGCATGTATGGCGAATTTGAGTAGCTTAAAATGAGATGCATGTTGTGCATGAACTTTGACCTAAAAAGTGACATTTCACTTCTTTTATTCTTCAAATTAACAATTAATCTTTAAATTTCCTTTGCAGGAAGAACACTAAACAAACAGTTCAGTTAGATGTGTCATGCATGCTGGATCTGGTTTACTGTTATGTTGTAAATGTCACTGGGTCACATATGTGGAGGTGCTAAAATGTGAATGTGCAGCATCACAGATGGCGTGACACATTTGGCTCACTGTACTCTGTGCATGCACGTACACATGGTAGTTCTTATACTCTGATTATACTTATCGACGTCACTGTTTGCTGTTTTTTATGTTTTTGCCCAGGACACGATGAGGAATCCTTTTGGCATGTTTGACAATATGATGTCCAACGTGAGAAACAGGATGGAGGAGATGCACAGGAACTTTGTGAGTCTGCTCAGCTGGAGATTTTTTGTTCTTTACTCTTGTTTTGCTGCTTTCTCAGACCACCATGGTAGAAGACCTGTTATTCTTTAACTCTGTGTGTGTGTGTGTGTGTGTGTGTGTTTGTGTGTGTGTTTGTCAGGAAAACATGTCCACAGACTCAAACACCCACTCGTTCAGCTCCTCATCAGTCATGACATATTCCAAGGTTGGAAATGAGGCTCCCAAGGTCTTCCAGGCGAGCTCATCAACACGCCGTGCCCCTGGAGGGGTAAGCACCCATCGTCTGAGTCTCTGCATTTTATCACTGTACATTAGTGTTATACAGCTAAGTGCACTGATTCTGGAGAAGCTAATTTATCTGTAGATAAATCAGCAAGTCTGTCCTATTTGTGTTGATTAGTCAAACTGATTGAGCTACTTTCTTAAAGGTATTGACTTCTTATTTTCTGGCATCAACATTTTTACAGATCAGGGAGACAAGGCAAGCTCTTAAAGACTCTGAAAGTGGTGTGGAGAAGATGTCCATTGGTCACCACATCCAAGACAGAGGACATGTTGTTGAGAAGAAGTACAACAAGAAAACAGGAGAGAAGGAGTTCAATCAGGACTTCCAGAATTTGGATGAGTGTACGCTGAAGTTATAGGCTGCTTTTAATTCTTTGATAGCCTGCTCTCAGTTATGTTTGTTCAACTGTTCCAAGTATTTCTAACACGACCCTGATTCTCCACCCACAGCCGAGGCACAGACTTTTGATGCAGAGTGGCAGCAGGAATTATCCAAGTTCCAGTCATCTGCTCCCATGTCTCGTAAGGAGGAACCTCGTCTTCGAGGTGTTCACAGGGCAGCCCTTACTGCTCCCGAGCAGACTAAAAGGTAGGTATAACATGCTAGCATTGACTGTTTGTATAATGGATGATGTGTCCTCAATTTTAGTCATTGTATGGAGCAGTCTGTGAACATTTAAAGCGTCCATTTGATACGCAGTCCATGCATGCTCAGACTTCACTATGTGGTATGTTCTCTTAGTATGGTTATTGTGGTTATTCTGCTGTGTGATTGATTTGTGTATTTCTGTGTGTTTTCCACAGAGACAAACCAAAGGACAAGGCTGAGGGTAAAGGCAAAGTAAGATTCTCCGACTCAGAAAAGCAGTGAAAACCTGCATTTGTGAGCTGATTAAAGTTTTCAGGCATTAAACAGTACAGTCTCATGCTCCGTATAAAACACACACACACACTGTCCCTGGTTTCATTAACAACATAGACAGAAGAAGGCACCAAATACAGGACTGAATTACTTAAGAGGCTACAATACCATTCAATGGAAAGCAACTTGATAGGAATTCAAAACGTGTGGAATAAAAACAGTCTGGTATGTTCTGTGGAATGAATGTTAGGAGGGTGACAAATATTTAATGTGCAGTATGCTGACTCTGGGGTAAGTCGTGTTTTTATGAATGTAATGATGTTGGGATTGCTAAAGTTTAATATAGGAAATATAATATGTGACTAAGATTGATGTGCACTACTTGTCATTACACTTTAAAAGTTCAAAAGCCATTAGGTTTTCAAGTACTTCATACTGCAATATGACACAATGTGAAGCAACTTACTGGCTGTTTGGAATCCTCTAATGCACTCAGACATTATCGGTTATTTCTCATTGAAATGTTTCATCCCTGATGCTCAAGATATATATATTGTACCTGCTGTAATCGTTGTAAAAAGAACTATATTTTCCCTTTTTATAAGTGACTTTGGTTTTTCAACTGATGAACTCTGTGCTGCATTGCATATCTGGATACTCGCAGAATTATTTGCCTTGTTCTTGTATATTTTTTCAAGTTTTAAATGTAACATATGCCAACACAGACTATTGTATGAAAATAAAAATGTGGAAATTTAAGATTTATCTGTACCAGCTTCAATTTTTATATCTATTAACAAAAAACAACATATTATACTTAGCTTGGGGTGAAATTAATGAAGTCTCAAATGTATACATATTTAGTAAATTTGATATCATACATATTGAATAAATATTAATAAACTGTGTAAGGTTGTGATGAATGGTGATGAACCTCTGGTGTTAGTTGGTAGTGACGCAGCGTGATATTTATGGATCGAAGCACGTCAGTAACTCAGATTGGACTGAGATGTTTCACAGCTGCAAACCCACGTGTTCATGTATCAGCCTTAATATAACTCCAAGCTTTGACATGCAGATAGGCTATCTAGAAACCTCTGAGCAATAGATAACAGTGTAAATACATTCAAATTATCACTTTCAGCAGCAACTGATAGTTTTTCCACTCTTATTAATCGTCCTCTCGCATTAAAGTTGCAGTTATCATTAGACACTTATTACTTTGTAGATCTTGAGTAAGATTTTCAAAACAAGGAGTTAATTATAGAAAGTTTTTTATTATCAAATACAAAGAGGCTACAAAAACATGAATATTGAGTCAGTGTGTACAACTGTGCTTCCACCTGCTGGTCATGTCAAGACATGCTTTTTGTTTGAAGTATTTACAGACTTGTCAAAAAAAGAAAACAATTATTTATATTTAAATATACAGGGACATTAGAAACAGGAAAGCATCATGCTCAAAACTAACAGTAAATTATGGGACACTAATAAAAGCAGAAGGGTCCTGGAGAGCCAGACTCGGGTCTACATGATTCCCTGAGGCTGTCCCTTTCCTGCAATCTTCTTGGAGCACTCCAGCAAAGCATTGTGGATATCTTTGGCGCAGGAAATCTGAGACTTGATCATACCGAGGTACTGGGCATAAGACATGGACTCTGTCTGCACTGTGTCTGGCTTGGTGGCTGTTGGCACCAGGTTGGGTGAATGTTTGGCGCTGTCTATGCTCTGGGAGAGGCACTCATAGGCCAGTCTCTGCACACAGGAAAAAACACAAGAGAGTTTGCATTGAATATGTGAATTGTGAAGCATTCTCACATCTTGTCATGAGCATTAGGGGAGAGTGGGGTAAGTTGAACCAAAGGGTAAGTTGAGCCCCCCCCTGTTGCTTAGAAATGGTCAAAGAAATTGATCATGTGACTTAATATTTAGGAGATGGTCATCAATTCATGGAGTCTGTGAAGGTTAGAAGCTCATGGGTGAAGGGGTTAGACATTTATTTCCAAAAAAAACATTTTTCACTCTTAAAAGTGAATTTAGTCTGTTATAAGTTTTATTAGAATTGTGTTCAGACCAAAAAAGATCATTTTAAATTTGTTTTATACATCAATTGTGGTATCTATGAGCTACAACACGAGGTCAAAAACTTAGCATAAAAGTCCACCATTTTAGCTCAGAGGACTAATAAAGTCATTAAAGCAGTTCTGGGGTAAGTTGAAACAAGTGGCCCAACAGAGAAAGTTATGAAGTCTGATGAGAGGATCAGAGTTTCAGTTCAGATTGTTGAAATGTGTTACTGTTTCTTTTCAAAAATACAGCTGTGAATGTTCTGAATCACTTAAAGACATTCTCATGTTAAAATGACTTTTTACAAAACAGCTTTTTAGCAGCTATATGCAATAATAATAAAACGTATTATTGTACTAGTTGAATAGTGTATAATAGATAAAAATACACATCAATGTGAATTCTTTATTTCTGTTAATTAGGGAGAGAGAAGGTGAGGGAAGGCTGGGGTGGAGAGTGGAGGAGTAGTAGGGATACGGCTCAACTTACCCCGCTCCTATGGTCAACTTACCCCATACACAGGGCAAGTTGACCACTGGAGACCACTTTTTTTTGGCATGCTTTATTATCAAGACAGTTATGTTTACACTCATTCTGTTAGTTTGCAGGGATGCACAACGCCTTGAAATATCTGCAGATACATTGAGAGACAAAACTATGATTGTCTTGATGTAGTGATCTGAAATATAAAAAGTGGCTCATCTTACCCCACTCTCCCCTACTGTTTTAAAGGTTTGAAGTATGTGACGTTGATCTTACCAAACACAGCTCCAGCTGATCACACAGTGCATAAAACTCCTCCAGGCTTTTGTCAAAGCGTTGCACAGAGGTGTCGCTACTTTTGCTGAACCAGAGAAAAGCAAACAGATAGTTAAAAAACAAATAAATAAAATAAATAATGCAGACACTGATCTTCCACAATGATATTTGTCAAACAAGACCAATGGTATTTATTAAACCATAAATCCAGATAACTTACATGCCGTTGTCAATTGACGTGTTATGGGACAAATTCAGGGAGGCAATCTTCATTAAATTCTGAAAACGATAAACACAAGTAAATATAATAAAGCTTTACAATAACAAATCACTTCATATATAGTTTATAATGTAAAAAGCGGTATTTTGGTGAATTGTTGGATGAGATGTTCTGTATCCAAACGAGCTTTTTTTTTTACCTGCAAACTCTCCTTTAGCTGAGGAATAAGCATCTTAAATCTATGTACGGGGTCAAAGTCTTGCTGTTGGCTGAGTTGTTGCTGTTGTTGTTGTAAAGTGGTGGGTTGTTGTAATCCAGGCTGAGCCATCGAAGTACCGGGCTGCGGTTGCTGAGCCGCCATTGTCGCTACCTGATTTGTACTGCGCACGTGCGAAATGTACGTCACTGAAGGCAGAGAAACCCCGAAGAAGAGTATCTCAGTTCGAACTTCCGTTACGACTCAAATCGCGGATGTTTTGATTTTGACAGAGAGCTTGACTTTTTCAGTTTACTATACTATGACATTTTTTATTCTATAATATCATTTTTTTCATCATAATTTATAATGACATTTTTTTCATACCATAATATCATGTTTTATCATACTATACTATGATACTTGAGCATACTATACTATATATTTTTCATACTATATTGTAAAATGTTCTTCCATACTTTAATATGATTGTTCTAGCATACTATATTGCTACATTTTTACTTTACTATACTATGATATTTTTACTGTACTATACTATGACAGTTTTATCATACTGTACTATGACATTTTTTCCTACTATACTATGACATTTTTATCATCTGCGCAAAGATGGAGGCAAATATTTTAGCATCATTGTTTAATAAGGTTATTGGCCTCCAATTTTCTATATTCATTTAGTGTTTATTTGGTTTGGGTATTAATTCTATAAGTCCTTGCTGCGTAGAAGGTGGGAGTCTGCCTTTGGTGATTGATTCTTCAAAAATACATGCAAGAATCAGGGTAAGGGCATCCTTAAATCTGTGTTTAATATCTGTGTTTAATAACAACATAATCCATCATCCCTTATCATCTGAAAGGTGTTTAATAATTTGGCCTTTAAAGTTACCCTTCAGGAAAGTGACCCTTGCTGACTTGTTTGTACCCCCATCAACTTTTCCAGGATAAACTTTCTGACTTTTCCACATGCATTTCTTGGGTAAAGTAAAAATCTGCTGTTTTTCCCTGACAAAACACAAACACCCCTTTCCTTTTTAGATTATTACTAATCCTTCCCTCGAGGGGAAAGGCTTTTGGGAACATGAGGATCATGTGGACCTCATGGTTCAGAGGTTTAGTCATCTTCCTGGGACTCCTGAGGTTGTAGGTTCCATCCTTATCAAGTACTTGGTGAATTATTGTAAGCCATTGTTTAAAAAAAAGGGTGAAAAGTGTTCCTGAACATGTCAAGATTGTGGCTCAGTGGCTCAGAATACTGACTAGGACTCCTGAGGTCATGATTTCAATCCTTATCCAGTTCAAGGTAATTTTTAAGGTCTGGTGTCTAGAAAGGACATTGAAACAGGAAATAAACAGAATACTCTTGTGTGTCCACATGGCTCAGAGGATAAGAAGACCGACTGGAACTCCTGAGGTCATGGGTTTGAACCTTATCCAGGGCGAGCTGAATTTTAAAGCCCAGTGTCTAGAAAAGGGACTTATAGAGTAAACAAACAGAATACTCATATGTGTGTACATATGGCTTAAAGGTAAAGAAGACCGACTAGGACCCCCGAGGCCCTGGATTCGAGCCTTGTAATGTCTATGGTTCCAATTTATGGTAGCAACAGCCATTTTACCCAGCTCTGACGCAAACATTCCAGAAGTAAGTTCAACGTCCGCTTCGTTGTTTCCAAAATAAAAGCACTACTTTACGAACACAAAGGCCGTGTCAAAACTTTTTAATACACCAGATTTCATACAACACAACACAATGTACAAAACGCAAGAAGCAACGCTTTAGAAGAAAACATCATTTTACAAAAAAATCATATATACATTTACATTTACACAGGCAATAACACAATGCTCACAGATCTAACATAAGCACACATTTCAGACTCTTGAGATAATATGATTTCTAACTCAAAATTATTAGATTAGAAACAGCTTTATTTATTCTTTTGGGAAGGTTTCTTCAAGGAAACTAAAAATAAATGTCAAAATATTATTATCATTATTTAATCTAACCTCTTATTTGTTAAGAAAACTAGGTATTCTTATTAGCTCTTTCACCAGTTCGATTTTAACTCTCTGTTTTTATCTTTTAAATAGGTCTGTTGTGGCGGGCTGCTGGTTGTTGGACTCTTGAACGCAGCAGCAGCGCCGCAGTGGAGGAGGGAGGACCCTGCAGCAGACGCTCTTCTCCGGCAGAAACCCCGTAGTGCATCACAACAGCGCCATTCGGTAACTGCAACAGGATCCAAAATGGCAGGAGCTGATGGAGACGACTCTCTCTACCCTATCGCCGTTCTCATTGATGAACTGCGCAATGAGGACGTTCAGGTAGAAACAATGGATTAAATTTGAATCATACCGTGTATTTTGAAGTTGAGTTGAGCTGTTTTCGGTGTTTCTAAACCGGCCTACATGGTATATGGCCTCTACGGCTGCTAACGCTCCCAGCCTGGGCCTATCTTCAGTTTTCCCACCGGGCGCACCCAGCTTTTCAAATCTAACCGTCCAGTTTGGTGCTATGATAAAATACGAGTGTGATATTAGTGGTTAAAATATAAAAGTAACGCTGAGTTGTGAGTTCTACCAGCCAAATGTTAGAATAATTAATTGAATTAGGTTAGTGAAATCAATCAGGTCATTGGTGTTAGCCGCTAATGCTAATGCAGGGGTGCTAACTGGCGCTTATTGACTGATGTTCGAGTTAGCGATGGTAATACCGGGGCGTTCAAGGCCGCATGCGACAGAGCTCATTATTTTATCTTATTAATTCTACGTTTATGGATTTAGCCTGAAACATTGACGTTAGCTATTGTAAATGTAGAGCCTGGTATTAACGAACGTCACCTTCCCCACGATGACAATACAATGACCCAAGCTACTATTGTAATATAACCATACTCTCTGGTGTTACCTTGGTATATTATGGTTAAACACAAGTCGGTGATAAAGATCGTGAACTTTTGGACTTATGTAATGTATGTCACCTGTGTGTCTGTGTGTGCAGCTACGACTGAACAGCATCAAGAAGCTGTCCACAATCGCCCTGGCCCTCGGCGTTGAGAGGACCCGCACTGAGCTCCTACCTTTCCTCACAGGTAATAAAGTCATTCATGTAACTCTCTTTGCACTTCAAATGAATCAAAGCTTGCATAAGAGCGTGACAGCCATAGTGCTGCATTGTACAATCAGAATATACTATAATGTGAGCACAAGTGTTTCATATTGCCTTCCCATCACTCTATAGACACCATCTACGATGAAGATGAGGTGCTGTTGGCCTTGGCTGAGCAGCTTGGCAATTTCACTATGTTGGTTGGAGGGCCAGAGTACGTCCACTGTCTCTTGGTAAGTCATAAGTAGTTGCATTAATATATGGAATTACCAGAGGATAGATTCTCACCTGTGTTTACATAGAAAACAAAATTGAGTTGGTTAAAAAATAGAAATTTAAAGCTGCAGGAATTGCTTTACTGTTGGAGTGTTTCATATCAAGTTTAATTGTAAAAGAAATCATGCTGTAATGTACTTCTGTTTGATGCACAGCCCCCTCTGGAGAGTCTTGCCACAGTGGAGGAGACAGTCGTCAGAGATAAAGCCGTGGAGTCCCTGCGAAAGATTTCTCAAGAGCACTCTCCAGTTGACTTGGAGGTCCACTTCGAGCCTTTGGTCAAGCGTTTGGCTAGCGGTGACTGGTTCACTTCTCGCACATCTGCCTGTGGTCTTTTTAGTGTCTGTTATCCTCGTGTCTCCAGCACTGTCAAGGCAGAGATCCGCCAGTAAGTGGCTTTTTGACATATGTTTTGAAGTAGTTCTCCTAATCTCCCGTTGCTTTGTTCACTCTGTAAAAATAGAATTCGCACACTATTTGGTTTTGACACATGAAGGTCTACAGTCAGTTTTGTCTTTTTTTTTTTAAGAAGTCTGTCTCCCTCTCTAGGCATTTTCGCACCTTGTGCTCAGATGATACCCCAATGGTGCGTCGTGCTGCTGCATCTAAACTAGGAGAGTTTGCCAAAGTCTTGGAGCTGGATTATATCAAAAGTGACATTATTACCCTCTTCACTGCTCTGGCCTCTGATGAGCAGGTATGAACATTTGTCTTTTCCCTTCCCCGCTTAAATCACATTCATTGTCCCCATGTCCAGTTCTGTTTCTTTGGCTCTTTGATAACTAAGCTTGTTACTTTTCCCATCAGGACTCAGTGCGGCTGCTTGCAGTGGAGGCTTGTGTCAGCATTGCCACTCTGCTGCCTCAAGAGGACCTGGAGACACTTGTGATGCCAACCCTGCGCCAAGCTGCTGAAGACAAATCCTGGAGGGTCCGCTACATGGTGGCTGACAAATTCTCTGAGGTAAGCAGACAGCTTTCTTACTCTGTCCAGAAAGCCTCGTTTAATGTATTTATTTTGTAGAGAACTTGCATCTGCAGGAGAGCAGACAAACATGTCTCCATAGTCACTCTAAGCTCCATTCTCAGCAGGCCATAACTTTTGACTAAATCACTGTTGAATCCCTGTCGGATATTCTCAGAGGTTGCCTTTAATTTTCATTGTTCAGGGGTTGTTGTAAGTTCCTGCTGCTGAAAATGTCCCATTTCCTGAGGCACCCCAACAGCATAATAATCAAGGACTTGCATTGTGAAGGATATGTTGGAAATAATATGTGCCAGCATGAGCTGAATCTGGCTTCAGACGCCATCGACTTGTCAGGGTTTTCATTGATGCGATACAGAGACACAGTATTCACAGTAGCTCTTTGACTGTAACAGCCTCAGTTCACTTCCTTTAATCATCTTTGTTTTCAGACAAGTGAGTCTAAAGTTCAAACACACCTTCACGCTGTTAGAAACATCACAATAGAAATATTAGTACCTGCTCCGCTTGGCTCATGTCAGATCCAGTCGAGCCGTTTCAGCACATTGTCAACATAAAACTCGAGGCAGATTCAAAAAGCAGTCCAAGCTAGCTCACCTGCTGCTGTCATTTGATAATAAGACACTTGGAAAGGCAAGAAGGCAAGTTTACGTGGTGACTGAGTCACTATGCACTTTTACTGTAAACATAAAATATCAGCTATGACAGGAGAAGGAGATGGTGTAGATATGTCTGCCTCTACTCTGAAGCATCAGGGGAGAAAACCTACAGCACACTGATAACGTAATATTTCACTTTTTTTATCAGATGAAAAACTGTAAAGGTCTTACAGAGGGCAGTATGATATGAATCAGTCTAGTATCAGTAATTTATTTTGATTTGTGACTTTGCTGTTATGCGTTGTCTTTCCATTACAACGATCAACCATTGTTATCATTTGAAGAATGGGATTTTGTGCTTCCTGTTTCATAGAGGAAGTAGGATGTAGATCATGCATTAGTGGAAATATGTGAAACCAAAAATGACATTTAACCTCATTTGGTTTTAATTGTAATTTTACAGTTAAGCAAAAAGGTGTGTGAAACTTGTTATATAGACTCAAGAATGTGTCCAGTTCTGCATTGAGGGAGAAACTTCTTTTTAGGTAGAGTTTAAATAAAATAAAGATGTCAAAGTTTATTCTCGAGAGCAACATTTATTTGATCGTAGGCAATAAATACCCATACATGTCAATCATGTCGTCCCTCTGGATTAGAAGTTTGGATGCCCGAACTTTTGCATCAGTGGTGAAAAGTGACTTTCTGATCCAGTTGAATTACAAACAGAAATAATATAATTATCAACTAAATTTCTCAGCATTCAGAATTCAAATCAGCAAAATCCATATCATCAACTCTTGGTCCACGCTGCTAACTCTGTGTGACCTTACGTTTATTATCCCACATAATTGTTTTACAGGTGGGAAAAATGCCGATGCTTTGCTGACTAGCAGGTTAATTTTTTGCTTCAACAGCACTTTTTTTCCCCCCTAAACACATGACGTCTACCTGACTCATTTCTAGGGCAGCCATCATAAATCCATGGTGACAGCACCAAGGACTAAAATAACCTTTTTTCCGTGATGAAGCAGGTCATTTGGTATTTCCACACATCACTCCTTTGTTCGCCATTTATAATTTGGCATTTCCTTTGTGTTAAGTAGGTTTGATTTAATTCTCAGCGTGACTCTTTGTTTGTACTCTCAAATTAATCTTAACTTTTTACTGTTATTTGCATCCCTGACATGAACATTTTGTGTTAAGGATATGTTGATTTCTCTCTGTATGTAGCTCCAGAAGGCAGTGGGGCCAGAGATCACCAAGAACGACTTGGTCCCGGCTTTCCAGAACCTTCTGAAGGACTGTGAAGCTGAAGTCCGTGCTGCTGCAGCCAACAAAGTCAAAGGTCGGGATCTGAATTCATTTTACAGAAGAAACACGACAGGAAGAGACAAATTTACAGTCTGACATCTGCCTCGTCTGTGCTGTATTGACAGTAGACTCTTCTTGTTTTTGTCAGAATTCTGCGAGAACCTCCCCGAGGACAGTCGTGAGCAAATTATTATGACTCACATCCTGCCCTGTGTGAAGGTAAAAAAATGGACCTTTGTCTGCAATGTTGGCGCATTTATCTGATTTCTCATGTAAGGTGTTGAGTCCAAACAGATGACACATGAAACAATCAGCATTTTACAAACGTATTTCTAATCTATGGGAGAAAGCTGCTGTATCAAATTGATTGCATATCTATTTTACAGAGATGTGATGAAAAATCATCTCATTGGCTTTTATTTTTCATTTAGTTGAAATGGTGGTTTGTCAGAACATAAGATTAATTTATTCTTGAATTTCCTCACATTTTCATTTGATTTTACCTGTGATTATACGTGCTGTAGGATGTTTCAAAAAATCCCATAGGTGATACATAACAGCCTGTCAGTGTTGTTCAGTTTTTGCCCAGCAGGTGGCACTGTTGTATTTCCTACAACCAGCGTTCTGCAGATTCAAAAATCTGAAATCATTACGAGGTCTGTTTGTAATTTACTCGCAGTACTGGCAGTACAACCGAAACGGTTTTGAAATTCAGGTTTTTATGATAAAGGATTCTGATTAATGTCACAAATCATGATAGTGCTTTTCCTGTCAGCACAGAAACAGTGGAACAAAAGCTACACAAGTAGCAACAAAGTGGTTGAAAACCTTATAAAACTGTGCCCATGACACTTTGATGGTGACCTGTTTAGCCCTGTAAGCAAGCAGCAAAGAAAAACTAGTTGATTATATTTTAATTAGAAATATTCAGATCATTTCCTTCATATTTTAACATATTTGCCTTTTTAATGAGTGAACATGACAAGTTGGCAGATAATTTGTTTATGTTTTGCCATTTCTGTTTCTTTATTCATCATATTGAACTTCTTCACCTCACAGTGGATGACTACAATGGCTGTTAGTTTGCACTAGAATTACGTCCCCTTCACTGTGTACTTATATAGAAGTCAATTATAGTGTCAGTCTTTTCACTCTGTTGTAAATATGACCTATAGCAGCTGTGTTGTTATTTATTTATGGGTTACTGTCTTGACCATTTTGCATGTGTTGATCTCTCTGTCTCCCCCAAACAGGAACTGGTTTCAGACACCAACCAGCATGTGAAGTCAGCTCTGGCCTCGGTCATTATGGGCCTGTCAACCATCCTGGGCAAGGACAACACAATAGAGCACTTACTGCCACTGTTCCTGGCTCAGCTCAAGGACGAGGTAAATGAAATGTAGAATGGTAAAATGTGTGCCCCACGTTTTCGTCCCCGCTTCACAAATCCTCCGACACTTGTCACGGCGTGTACTCAAACTTCCTGTGAGCTGTAGAGTGACCAACTTCTTTGGCCCTGATCTGCGCGGCTGAGACGAGGTAAAGCCACTTATCCACAGCCACTAGACGTACCTGTCTGCCACCTGGCTGGGTCAAAGGATGACTTAGAAAGACTGACACCTGACAATTAGACTGAATTGCTGTGTCTGGAGGGAGGAATAATGAAATGTTGGACACAGTGCGACTTGATAAGTGAATGCCTGATGCATTTCGATTGTCGGCACAGAAGTCAGCAGTATTTTTCAGGCCCCCTTTGAAGATTTTTTTTGTATACAGCTGCAAACTCACTGAGATGAATTGTCTCTGGAGCTGTTACAGGAACTGTGACATTGTACTCATCTTTAATGACTCTGCAAAGACTTAAAATGGGTCAGGTTTGAGATGACGACTGCGTACATGCCCAGTGTATCAGGTTGAGTTGGACCACCAGCAGCTCAGTAGTACATTTCCATACGATGAATTTGTACATGAGATTAGTCTGACTGCTTAGACACAGATATCTTACCGCTCTGGATGGCTGGAGGCTGTCAGTTCTTCCACTGCTTTCCTTACTCCTATTTAAAGATGGCCCCATTTCCTCACGGCAACAACACAAGACCAAGAGTGTCTAATTAGATTACAGTCCAAAGTGACAGCGTTGACGTGCAAATTTCAATAATTCAAGGTGCATCTATCTAAGGACTGCATTAAAGGCAGCAAGATGGAGAACGCCAGACAGACATGTCATTCACTCGAGCGCTGATTATTTCACACTGTCACTAAGTCTTATTTGGCTGCTGCTCTGCTCCCACTCAGAACACAAGCGTGACTGACCTAAAACTCGAATGCAGGGCGAGTAGTTTTTGGGACAGCGTTAAAAAGTTTTGGTTTAGAACTTCAGCAGATCTTCATTCTTCACTCCATGTTCTTGGAAACCTGCAAAAAAAACCTTTTTTTGTTTTAACTTTTGAAGTCTGAGATTAGCTGGATCGGGAAAACACTTGAATACTTTTCCGGGATGAAGGCATAACCCTGTGAATTTTTTTCTGTCACAGTGCCCCGAGGTGCGTCTCAACATCATCTCCAACCTGGACTGCGTGAATGAGGTGATCGGCATCCGTCAGCTCTCCCAGTCACTGCTGCCGGCCATCGTGGAGCTGGCAGAGGACGCCAAGTGGAGGGTCCGCCTGGCCATCATAGAGTACATGCCCTTGTTGGCAGGACAACTGGTGAGTCACCGAGTCCAGGAACACTGGAACCCATCAAAAATATGTTTTAAAGGTCTTCCTAATGAACACCATGCTTAGTACCGGGAAAATCAGAAAAGTGCAGACAGATTGTTCAGATCAAATGTGATTGTAGAAACTCTGGAAAGCTCTCCAATTACTCTGCGTCTGTGTTTCCCAGGGAGTCGAATTCTTTGATGAGAAACTCAACACTCTCTGCATGGCCTGGCTCATTGACCACGGTAAGACATCCTCATGGGTTAACATTTTCCAAGAACTTGTTTTGGGTGAAAACAAGGTCGTCAAAAAGTGCATCAACGCAGTAAAGAACCTTTTGTACAGAAACGCTGCAAAGATTGAAGGTCCTTACACACCAGGGCCGACGCGAATATAGAATGCGAAATTAGGAGGCGAATTTTGACGCGCCTGACTATACACATTAAGCCCGATGCGATTTTTGCGACTTTCCAGGGGGGAAAAGACGCGTTCTGGGTGGAAGCGAGAAGACTGACACGACACCAGACTGACTGTTTTTCAGTTCTGATTAGACACTGGTGTTGAGGTGTCTGTCTGTCATGATAGCATGTACTGAGTCGGGGACAGTACCAGATAAGCACATTTAACTATAATCCATAAACATAAGGTAACAACCGAGACCTAATGGTGCTGTGACAGCAACGTGATTGGGTTTGAGACAGTGAAAATATGGTATGTTGTATCTGAACAGGTTAGCTTACGAGCTAAAGTTACTTAGCACAGATGAAAGTAAAAACAAAGACGTTTAGAAAACTGTTAAAGCACACAAACCATCGTCATATGAGAAATCCGACGCTATGACTCTCCACAAGTTGTCCTTCAGGTCGTTATCTTTGTAATATTTGTTTTGTTTTGTTTTGTTTTTTTCAATCAAAAATCACTCTGTTCTCCGACCCGTAAACAATCAGCCGGTCCGTCATGTTGGATATACCGGTGAATCTGATGTCGCAACAACACGCAATCTGATTGGTCAGAAGTGGACCCACAGTATACGAAACTTGACAGGATATGGGTTCAAAATAAATATTGACGTCCGAAATAATCACACGACAAAAACGGTCCCGATGTGAAAGGACCTGAATTCCTAAAGTTTGTCGTCTTTCATCAACAAAAGAAACACTGAAGTCCCCTATAGCTGTCCGTGATTGTGATACACTTCCTGTCTTTCATATGTAACACTGCTCTTGCTAACAACCCCGTGCGAACGTCAGACAGACTTTTCTACCATCCTGATTCTGTGTTATTATCTGAACGGTGGTTGAATGAAAGAGCCTGATGAGCATGGAGGGTGGGAGAGAGAAAATTTGGGGCTTTAGTCGGACTGAGATGTGGCAATCTGCAACTCTCTGTCGTCATGGTAATAGGGAGTTGTTAGGAAGCCTCTTTCTCTCCGACTCCAGGTACAGTGTAGTACAGCAAAGAGCCATGGGAAAGTTAATGGTTTTGATTATCTTAATCAGATAAAGTGTCTCGGTGGGTGGATAAGCCACTCTGTTGCGCACTCATACTTCTTGTATGTATAATTTAACCTCCTTAGTTTTCACAGTCGACCACAAGGAGATTGAAACTTGCAGTTGGGTGACTCTGGGCTGTTTGCTCGGATGCCTCTCCTTATCCAGCAGTATGTAAGACAGTCTGCTGTATTCAAATGCTCTCAGAGAGCAACACACACAGACACTGCTCTGTTTGATTACCTACATCTTGTCGTTTACATACATTTTCCCTTCAGGCTGTATCGAGTTCTGCTCACACCCAGATTTCTCATTAGTCAGACACACGCTCTCTATTGAGGACAAAGGGCCAGCTGGGTTACATCATTGGAATGCAGCTGGTGTGAGTTTCCGTACATATGAGTTTGTGTGTGTCTGTGTTTGGCTGTGGCTGGGGTGAGGGCTGTGCCACCCTTACGTAAGCCCCTCAAAGAGAGACAGGACTACAGAAATCAGAGCAGAATCGTTCCCTCACGGACTCTCGTATGAAGAGATCCTCTTTTCTTTTCTGATGACAAACAAATCTCCAATGATTTTCTCAGTCGAGTGAAAGTGATACTCAGACCTTTGGAGGTGAATTTGACGTCGCCTCAAAGTCAGGCTTTGTCCGGAGTTTGCATCACATGAATGCAGTGAGTAATGGAGACAAACAAAGTTCTTTTTCAGGTTTTTATCTGCCCCAAATTAATCTAGGTGAGGTCGATTTTATAGCGGTGCAGCCATAGTTCAGAGGCTTTGAAAACCACAAGGCATACAAAAGGTACTGTAGGCTCCTGATTCATACGAGGACAACTCCCTCAAAGCACACTCTTGTGGTGAGAAAAAGAAATCACAAGATGAGCAGCAGAGACAGCAGGGTGTCCTCGGGGGGGGTCTATAAAAAAAGTCTTAAAACGGCTAAAATCCAAAGGCCTTTAAATTTCTAAAAAATCTCTTAAAATCTCATAAATGCGATTTTGAAAGGTCTTAAAAATGTATAAACTCTTTTTACAAAGAAGTATTGTGCAATAGGAATAAAGATTGATTTGAGGCAACGTAAAATGGTCGATTACCCTTTTGTCTTTTTGTAGTTTTTTGCCAGTCTGGATGTTAAATGGGTCTTAAATTGTTTTCATTACAGACTTTAAAAAGTCTTGAATTTGGCTTGTTTAGACCCTGAGAAACGATTCTCACTTCAGTCACAGCGAATAGACTCTAAAACAACGAGGAGGGGATAATGTGTATTATAATGTGGTCTGTAAGGAACGTTGGACAACATCAAGGTGTTGCCATCAAACCATCACTGGGACTCTTTTATACTTTATGGAGACCCAGAACAGGACTTCTGTTGATGCTCGATCTTGTCCCTTTCATTTCCCAGTGTACGCCATCCGTGAGGCAGCCACCTGTAACCTGATGAAGCTGGTGGAGAAGTTTGGAGCTGAGTGGGCTCAGAACACCATCGTGCCCAAAGTGCTAGGCATGGCTAATGACCCCAATTACCTCCACAGGATGACCACCCTGTTCTGCATCAATGTGAGTCCCATAAGCCCGTTCCTCTTTAACTACTTCTTCATAATTGCCGTCTGTTTAACCCTCTTGGTGACCCCCTGACTTCTGTGTCTCAGGCTTTGTCAGAGGCATGCGGACAGGATATCACCACCAAGCAGATGCTCCCCGTGGTCCTCAAAATGTCCAATGACCAGGTTGCCAACGTGCGCTTCAACGTGGCAAAGTCCCTTCAGAAGATCGGCCCCATCCTCGACAGCAAGTACGTCGTCAAATCTCCTAAAAATGCACATTGACAGTGTGATGAAGAATTGTTGTTGATAGTTTGCTGAATCATTCTCCTCCTTCTAGTACCCTTCAAACAGAAGTGAAGCCAGTGCTGGAGAAACTGGCCACAGACACAGACATGGATGTCAAGTACTTTGCCCAGGAGGCGATCAGTGGTGAGCGTTCCCGTCTATCTAATATCACTTTTTTCCAAATTTCAACAGACTGTAAGAAATCCATCATAAAACCATGACCCTGTTTGTTCTCTCTTCTTTTCCAGTTCTGTCCCTCGCATAAAACCACCCCAACATCTCTAAACCAGACGACAACCAACCGAAAACAACGCAAACACTTTTACAAGATATTTATTGATGTTCAGGAACAACTGGTTATTGTATAGAGAGAAGCTGTTAACAATGGTTTTATCTTTTCCCTTTTTTTTTTTTGTTTACTGTCCAATGGTAGACCGTGTCCAGGCATAGCACAGGCTTTTTTTATGTTAACCTTCCTCTTTGCTGTAAATGGGTGCTTCAACTTAAAGCAAAGTGTGATAAAACTGCAACTGTAAGTGGTGCATGCTGACTAATGTGCTACTGTACTAGCTAGGCATCGCTAACCAGACACCCTTTCACATTCCTCCCTTTTACACCTTCAGCCACCGTCGTACTTCAGCCACAGTCTTCGCAGACGTCTGAGTGCTACCAAGCACCCACGGCCATGCTAGCACTCTGCGCGGCTACACTTTCCTCCCGACGCTAGACGCTAACTGTAAGCAGCAGATGGCTCAACAAGCTGTTTGTTTCACTGCGCTTCCTCCCTCTCTGCAGAGAAGTGATCGAAAGGGGGCTGAGCAGGTTGAGTTTATTCCACCAGACCAAACCTGTTGTGTTTTGTACTACCCTCCAACAAAGAAAGAATGGGGATGTCCATTACTGCATGTAATCCGATGAACTCTTTTAATGATTGCATGTTCGAATCAATCTCAAACGGCGTCCCTTCACTCCATCGAACAGACTGCCCCACCCCTTCTGCACTGTTTGTTCTCTGCAGCAACTCAGATTGAATTGGTCAAACAAATTAATTACCTCGGCCTACTGAAATAGGGACCAGCTCAGTCGTAAAGTGTTGCCCTTAATTACTCCTCCTACAGATCCTCAGTGGTTTTTGTTGACGTGCTAGGTTGGGAAGTAGTCGTCAAATTGTGATTTTCTGCAATATCTTCTCGGCATTGCTCTTACTCTGTGTGCCAATGATTTTGATAAGCCGTGGTGTTTTCTTTTCGTACACGCGGGTAAACAGCTGTCACCTGTCCTCTTCTTTTCTCTATGGCTGCTTTATTCCTTCGGCATTAAAGTGACGGTAAAACTAAATTGACTACAGCTGTCAGGACTGTGGGACAAATGAAACCACGACTCTCTTGTGTCCCAGAGTCGCTCATGAATCCATCCTGAGTCCTCCACTAAATGTGAGATTAAAAAAAAAGCAGAAGGTCAGTGAATTTGAAGGGCCACCTGAGGATTCTTGCTTTCTGATCTCTACATGACTGAGAACAACAGCGTGCTTTCAAAGAAAGTGGGCTGGAGGACGTGGAGTATGTGTACGTAAGGCTGCATAATGTTTTATTATAGGGTGGGCGCGCGCGGGCGGTGAAGGGCGGGCTGGCTAAATGTATCGTCTGTGTTGATAAAGAAACTTTTGTCTTTCTCTGAACTACTCCCGCCGTTCCCTTCTCTTCCACCCCTCCCCCTCTCATTTCGTTCTTGAATAAACCTTGATTGTTGATTGTCCTGTATCACAAAGACTGTGCTTTATTTTTATTTTGAAATCTCTTTACACTTGGGATGCTGTATCTTGATCTGAATAAAGTAACACAACGAATTCTTGTAGTCTACTTTTATAACAACTTTTTTTCCAAGTACATCACCACTTTTACAGTTCGCTAGAAAATCATGTCCATATTGAGTAACCTCTTTATTAACAGAACAGTAGTACGTATAATTGGCTGCTCAGCTGCAAGAGTAATCAAGCGTCCAGTTTGTCCAACATCTAAGTTGTGTCATAAATTGTCCTGGACTCTGGACTCTGACTGTCTCTAAGATCGTTGGTGTTCTTTTCTTTGTTTCTTTGTCTTTTTCGCATTCCTTCCCCTCAGAATTTCTGAAGTGTGTTTTAATAAACACTGCAGAGAAACATCTTCACAGCTGGTGTTTTAAAGGGATATTCTGGCATAAAATTAATTTGGGGTCAAATACACCATAACACCATGTTTGACACCCCTTTGAGAGATGAATGTTGCCAACAGCTTGCTGCTCTAGTTATACCAACTTTAGTAACGACCACACAAAGGCAATACACAGCAGTCTAAGGAGCCATAAACAAACCTCAACCAAAATACCACTCTATAGCCACAAATAACGCTTAGAACAGCACCTAACTTCATCAACAGTACATACAGGGTCCCAGCCATAGTACTAGCCACCAAACATCTTTTTAACTTTGCCTGATTTCTTTAGCAAAGAGACTAAACACAACTTACCTACTCTCTTCCAGCAGCCGCTTGTTTGTAGCGAGACCTCGGACCAATCCAACGTCTTTGTGGGATTGCATTTCCATGAAGAAATGATCATAAATGTTCTTCCTTGAGCTGCGTCACCCCACTGTAGTCTGTAATGGATTGGCCTGAGGTCTTGCTACAAACAAGCGGCTGCTGGAAGATAGAGGGTGAGTTGTGTTTAGTCTCTTTGCTAAAGAATTCAAGCAAATTTAAAAAGATTTTTGGCAGCTAGTACTATGGTTAGGACCCTATATGTACTGTTGATGAAGTTAGGTGCTGTTCTGAGCATTATTTGTGGCTATAGAGTGGTGTTTTGGTTGAAGTTTGTTTATGGCTCCTGAGACTGCTGTGTTTTGCTATCGTGCGGTCGTTACTAAAGTTTTTGTAACTAGAGAAGCAAGCGGTCAGCAACATTCATCTCTCGAGGGGGTCTGACTTGGTGTTACAATGTGCTTGACCCTAAATTAATTTTACGCCAGAATATCCCTTTAAGTCAGGGCGATAAGAAAGCTAGTATGTATAACGCTTCATTCTATATTGAATGCAGTGTCAATCGTTAAGTGTCAGAAAAGGCCTCATAAAAGTTCAAGAGTTGTCTGTATGGACATCTTGTACACAAGTGTAACTTCTGAGCCTGTAAACAGCTCAAGGAAACCTGGGATTAATTTCCCATGTCCCTGCTCTGTATCGGGTCGGCTCTAACCTGGTGGGCAGCTGCTGTGGAGATGAAAGTGCAGGTCCTCAGGGTTGTTTGTGCCTCAGGGAAGCATGCAGAGCAGGGCAGGGTCTGCAGCTGACACCTGCCCTCACTCTGAAGAGCTCTGCAAAATAAGGGCTGGGCTGCGGAAGATTTATTTGTCTTCCCAAGAACAGGGACTTTGAAGGTACAAAAACATGTTTGCATAATCTTGGACCAAAGTTGACTTGGAAAATCGAGCTGTACTTTCTTTATCACACGTTATATACATGCATTATCTTCTCTCTTTCATCCAAAATGCGCAATCAGGCAGAGAGGATTAGGGCAATAAGTCTGATGGCTCAGATCTTTACGAGAATCTCAACCTGCCTTTATTAATCTCCTCAAATCTCCCATCAGCCCTTCTGGACGTAAAGTGTCTTACCAATCCTCCCCTTGCCCCTTTTTGGCTGTAAACAGCAGTGAGCACATACTCTCTAATGCACAGATTGGTTGTATCTGGTGTGTCAGCACATTCTGCTACAGCGAGACCACCTTGAGGGCTTTTTTATGATATTCTTAAATGGAGCCTTTGGGGCTGGTAACTGAAGAACAATCCACACTTTGGACTTTTCCTCTCAAACACCATGTGACCAGGAGCTCTCTCTTTTTTTTTTTTAAGCTGGTGATCTGAACGCAGAGAAACACGCCAAGCTTTGAACTGCAGTTTCCCCTACAAGTGAAAATCTTCATTAAAGCACGATTACTTGAGGGTGAAGGCTAATCCTCCCCCACCGCCCCCTTCTGCTAAATCTACTAGAGTTCATGAGGCGGTAATGAAACAGCAGCAACCTATTTCTCTCTATTTAGATCCTGTTATTTGGGGGGATTTTCAGCAGCCGGAGCCCTTGACAGCGCTGAGAGAGCCCTGACGTCAATGCAGCTGCCTCCCAGGACTGTGTCATTTATAATGAAAGGAGTCAGGCAAAGCCCCCACACATACACTCACATGCGCACACATGCACACACACAGACACAGTGTGGTCAGATGCTCTCAGGTTGACAAATAACAAACATCAGGCAATGAGAAAAAGGTCGTCGAAGTACGTTTTTTTTTCCTCAAGTCACCTTGTCACCACAGCCCCCTCTCCCTTCCCCTTCTCTCCCTCTGTCATCTTTCAGCAATGCATCATGGGATCTATAGACTGTACAAAGTTTCTCCTCTAGATGATACCTTGGCTTGATTTGAGACGTTCAGTCCAGTGCCTGAAGGATCTGGTTTTTCCAAGCACTACTGGGTCATGTGAGCAGGGATTTCTGCCTCTGTCCATCTGCCGGCCAGCTTGAGTTCAGCGTGAATTCAGAAACAAAGGAAGAGATGAAGGTGAATAATGGGGGACACATGGGTGCAGTATGACCTTCAGTGTGGAGCTGATTTCATGGAAGAAAATCTCTCTCACACTCACACACACACACACACACACCATGCTGAGCTGAAACATTTACGTCAGACTCACACACATGCTTTAATTCTTCTACAGCGAAAAAAACTTCATTTTATTCCTGCAGCATCTTCTCTCCAAGATTTCCCCTTAATTCTTTAGCAGCTCTAATTTTGCACACTGCTTTGATCTGCTCTAAAAAAAAAAAAAAGACGCAGTAGGGATGTTGTCATCCACTCTCCTCCCGTTGTCACGGCAACCATTGATGTCATTACAGTATACTTTGGCCCTGATGAGTGAACAGGCCCCCTGATATCGTGGTATTTTATCGTTTAAAAAAAAAAAAAAGAAGATTCTGTCTGCCCTCGTATCAGCATCTCTTTTTTTTCTCTCTCCGTCTCTCTTCCCACACTTGTATCTGTGACAGGCAGCCTACGAAAGGTTTCCACAGCCGACAATGGCGCTAAATACATACTATAAATAACCACATTTAAATAGAAAATGCTGCCATCTTGTAGGGAAATTTGCTGTGAGGTCACACTGCTTAAATATAGCAGCAAAAGTGTGGAAAAATACCCGTTACCGTGATCATCATCCCTCATAATAAGACAAGATGTGTTGTGTATTAATACAAAGGAGATCTCACTTTTATCTTTATAGGATTTTTCCTCTTAAAGCCCTTTTTCATGGGGTCGAATCAATTACGCATTAATGGTAACACATGCAAAATGTGAGGCTAATTCATCAAAATTGGATCAAAAGGGACATTCAGGCTGCGTGTGACTCATCCCCTCCCAGCAGTACCATCAGCGTGTTTTGGTCAAGGGCCGTTCCCAGGAAGAGAAGTGAGACCCTGCTTTCCATGAATACACTGACCCCCACCCTCCTCTGCCAGTATATTACTGGGATTAGCTGTTCTCTGTCTGAGTGGGCTGATTGGATTGACTTGCTCTCCCTGCATGATCCTTTTCCACACAAGGGTTCACAATCCCCGGCTCTCAGACAACACTGAGGTGTCCGTCCATTTTCTAGAAGCACATTTTCTCTGAATGTATTAACACCTGACAGCTTCTTCTTAAACATGTGGTGTCTCGGATGAGGTCAGCCAATCAGAGCTCAGCTCAGGACAAGCCCCCTATAACTGCACTCCATTATCAGAAAAAGGGGTTTGAGTTTGAAGAAATCTGATAATTATTGACAGATTTTTTGGCAAATGAAAAAAGTCACATAAAAAAGTCTGTTTAGCTCATGGAATCTGGTAGAATTTGCTTTTACTCACATAAAACTACATTTTACTCCTTCAGCTCTTTCTTGTCAATCCAAAGAATATTATAGACATTCATGTTATATAACACTGTATGGACCATTGCAACCGCAGGCTCTTTCAGGTTTCTGCTGCCAAAATCTACATGATCGTGTAGCTTAATATGGTGTAGTAAAGAGAAAAATGTACCCTGCATTTTCGTGCATCTGATCAGAACCATTGCAGTGGATATTTACTCCTCTTTTATTAGCTCTGTCTGAATCATCAAGCTGTTTGTCCAGTTTGAGTTTGCGCAAACCTGTGTCAAACTGCACCTGATAAATATTTGTATTCATGTCAGATCAGTAACTTTTTAGTGATTTAGAGCGATTAAATCCCCAAACTACAGCGGGTAAACAGGAGATCATTTAAAGTCCCACTCCAATCATTTTTTAAAACCACTTTAAGTGCTTTTAATGGTCTTTAAATTAGGATTATGAAGTTTGTAGCCAAAATCATGTTACCTGTGTCATTTTCAAGAGGGTTTCTTCTGCAGATCTCCAGTAGCTTATTAGCAATTCGCTAATTTGAGGGTGGAGACAGCGCTGCTCCGTACCCTCCTCTTTATGTTAGCTTGCAGCCTAACACTGGCGGTTTCGTAGGAGTAGCAGGCGACATAGTAGCTATTCAGCTCTTGGACACTAATGTCTCTGGGGGCATGATGAAAGTTGGAATCATAATTAGCTTTCTTACGAGCATAGCAACCTGCTAACGCACATGCTTGTCCGCGATCGTCCTCTCGACTACCGTCTGGGGCTCCGGGGGCGGAGCTTGCAATTGTGACGTAGGAAATCTCGCTACGTCTGGGCCTGCCTTTTGGGTATGAAAGAGGTTAACATTGATTTGAATGCAAGAATATTCAGAAGTGCAATTTGGCATCTGTTTTTCTCATGTTATGTCCTGTAGCATTCGAAAAAAGGCCATATGAACATAAAAAAAACCATGATTTTCATTGGAGTGGGTCTTTAATTTGGTGTTGTAAAAAGAAAAACTCACCCTGCATTTTGGTGTATCTGATCAGAACCATTAAGATGGATATTAACTCTTCTTAGGCGGTGTTAGCTGTGTCCGAATCATCAAGCTGTTTGTCCAGTTTGACTCCGTGCAAACCTCTGTCAAACTGCACCTGATAAATATTTGCATTCCAGGGTGTGCAACTTTTTACTGCTTTAAAATGATTAAATCCCGAAACTGCAGAAGGTAAACAAAAGATCCTTTTAAGATTTACTTTGATTGACACTTAATCTTTTGTCTTGCGTCACACATTTAAGAGCCTTTAACCTTTTTTGTTTGCTGGTAATTTAAAACCAGAATGACTGTTTATAAATATTTAAACAATGCAACAGAACCAGTCCGGTGGCTTTCACTGGCCGGACTGCCTCAGGAGCTTCTGGTTAAAATGACTGCAGGTTCAGCAGTGACTCAACAGTTTGTATGGAGTTTATATTGTGTGACTTGTTTTTCCAGGTCATTAACTCGTGCCTACACGCTGCAGCCCTTGGGTGCTATCAGACGGCTGCAGTTTGTGGTTAAAGGACAATTGGACGATGTGGAGAGGTTCTAAGTGCGTGCAGGTGTCAGCTCTTTAGCCGTGTATTAATGAGTCAGATCTACATACATGCACAAAAAAACACACACACAACTTTATGTTCAATAAACCTTTTTTAATCTCAACAGCAAGTTAGCTTATGTGTGGTCAACATCAATGAAGGTAAATATAAAATCGGATTTTCTATTGATAGATTGATGTTTTTTGTTTTATCAGCAGGAGGTGAAATTATGGTACTTGGAAACACGTCCACTAGAATCTTCATGTTTTGAGTCTTCAGCTAGAGAAATATTGCTATAATACTTTTAAATGGCATACACTGATTGACCAACAAAAGAAGAGAGAAAGAGAGAGAGAAAAAAAAAAAAGCATGGTAGAGAAGCTGATAGAGAAGCTCCAAAAACTCCACACGGTGGGTCATACAGGGAAACTTCTGAGGGACTTTGGTTTTGTACCTTTGTAAAACCTGGCTCTATTATTGGAAGAAAAAAAAAATAAAAGTACAGAAAAAGTCATAATAGTAAAAATAAATGATAAAAGGGTTCAAACAGAAATAATGGTGCTATCCAAAACCTTAATTTAGATTGAAAAAAGTAAAAGGCACACTGAACACGTTCACGTTCAACACAAAATCAACCTCAGTGCAACACCGAGGATTTACTACGACTCTACTTTGTACAAATAACACTCCTCGTGTACTGAAAAGTGTCAACTCTTTCTTCGATTTAAAAATCAACAATCAGATAAAGTGTTGCTGTGTCTGGTCTTTCTTTGAAAGAAATGTGTTTTGTGTCCATTATTGGTGGGGGAAGAGAGAGAGGAGAAAGATGTTTCCTAAAGATTGCGGTTTTGTTTCATCTGCCAGGAAACGGCAGAGCAATACAAACCTTTTCCACCTCCTCCTCTCCCGCTACATCTCCTCTTCCCCGTGCTGTCAAAGTGCTCCAGTATTCAACTTCAACAGATCGACCTGTAGCTCCTCCGGCCTGACAATTCACAAAATAAAGGATCTTAATATTCACAGAGGAAAAATCCACCCTCTAACGCTTCAACACTGCTACTGATAATGATCCGAATGCTTCAAGTTCCTCCTCTGTCTAAACACATCGTCCATGTGACCCACTGACTGGGTGTGAGCTTATTCCTGTCAACAGCATGTGGGTGTATGACCACATAAACATAACCAGCTACCCGAATAGTTTGTAAATTTTAGGGTGGAACTAATTAATGCAGCCACTGGACCAGTTTTGCAACATGTCTTGTTGCTGCAGTGCACTCTGATCTATTGTGGCTGTTGTTGCTGGAGTGAATCTGCAGAGCATTTAATCTCACATCCCGAAACTCATAGGTGTGTTCAGCCAAGGAAATACGTCATTATCTTGAATCAGCTTTACTCAAAGTTCAAACCTCAGTGGTGTCAAGTGCCTGTTTAAACATGTCATCTGTCCGTCACATGGTAAAAAATATAAGCAGCAATTTTTTTGACAGAGGACATACCATTTTAGGCACGATGTAAAACGTGTTTGTCAGTTATGTTCCTGATATGAAAGATCAGGAGTCAAAGTTTGACTTTCAACTTCATGGCAACCTTTTCTCACATTATTTTTAAACTGAATAATTGAATCAGAAGGAAGTTCAGTCTGGATTACTCTCTGTGTTCAAAAGCATCAGAAGGTGGATTTTCCCTTTCAGTCTTGCGCAGGACTGCAACCAAAGTTGGTCCACACTTCGAGACGTCTTTTAAGACCGTTTACTCCATCAAATCTGAGGGCCAATCGTGACGACAAACTCTCTCAGAATTTAACATCTGACCCTCGAGGGCCCTGCAGCCTGGCAGATCGTCACAGTCCAATAACGTCATCCTAACCCGCTGAGGTTCACCGTCCAGTTTTATGAAAAGTTACTTTTTCTTTAAACTATCTGTCAGAGTAGATACATGTGTGCGCTTCAAGTAGATTGAACACAGTCTAAGTGCTGTAAAACAAAAATCTCTGATCGATCGCCGGCACGCTGTTCGTCAAAGAGAGCGGTGGTTGGCCTGTAGTGAGATCCAGTGTCAGGCGAGTGACGTTTTTTTTTTTTTGCTCGTCTTTGTCTCACAGCAGCCTTCAAATGTCAGAGAGGAAACATTCGTTCATGAAATCTAATGCAGGGAATCTTTACGGGGGGGTTGCTCCGTGGTTACAAACATTAAAAACAACAAAGGGGCATGACTGGAGTTCTGAGGATGTAAACCAGAATTCATCGATAAGCTACACCTGATTGCACCGAAGGGGAAAAACGCACAGTTTGTATCATTCTAGATGTAGATGTCAATACAGTGTTTGTCAATTTGGGTGACGACAATGAAAGATTCGACAAATTTGATGTATGAATTGTGCAAACATACACAAACACACTCACTCTCTCACACTTACACACAACTCATTTACACACAATAGTCTCCGGGCTCGTCCCTGCGCTTTCAGGGGGGACAAACGGGTGAGAGATTATCTCCTGGTTACATCATCGGCTCGAGTAATGTCGCTGCTGATGACTCGAGAGGTCCCCGGGAACCAATCAGAGTTCGCTGTACAGGTGATGCTTCCATTCATCGTCCCTCCACATTTAAGGATTAATGATAATATTGCTTCAGTATTGCCACAAAAATAGAATAATATCGACAGCCTAACGCCGCTACTTCTCGACCAAAACACGCGTTAATTACATCAGCCCTCATTTATCAGGCGAACACATGACCCACGATTCGACTGTAACACAGACAACTCGAACTGGTTATTATCCTTCGCTTATTTGGGGGGGAAATAAAAACAGGCATGTTTGTGCAATCTGACGGAGAGGTGGAATAGCAGTTCAGTAGTGTGAGAAATAAATGAGGATCAGTAGTAACGAGTAAAATAAAGGCAAAGAGAAAAAAACTATCATTTATGTCACATGGACTTTTTTTTTTTTTAAAGCTTGCAGCTACAGAAGTGTCGTCTATCAGTTTCATTTGTGTATCATCTAAAGAAATAAAAAACAGCTCGGAGAGAGTGCTTAGTGCTAGTGCTTAGCTTTAGCGCTGTACAAGCTAAACAAATGGTGCATTACTCACCAGCCTGGGGCTTCAATAAGCGTGTTTAGGGTTATGTGTTAACGAAAAATGACAAACGAACGCTGTGTTTAAGATGGTAGTGTTGAAACTTGAGCTATTATGAAGACAACCATCATGTTTGTGGTCACAGTAGTGTGGAAAACAATCTCTATAATGTGGAGAGGAAAACACTTAACTCTTGAATTTGTAGTTATAATTATGGTACCGTGATAAATGAGGGCCACTTTCTATTGTTCACTTCTTCTACTGAATTAAAAAGAAAAAAAAAACAAAGGCGGAAAAAAAAAAAAAACAGCTTCAAGAACCAGTCTATTGTTGTTGTGGTGTCCTATTTAAATACAAAAAAAGCACTGCCAGCCGTTGTCCTTTTGGTTGTCTGTCATTCAGTCTTAAATTAGTTCACTTCCAAACCATTTCTAGGTGAAGCTGCACTCCGGTGGCCTCCAGGGTGTGCAGCAGCTCCGCGGGCTGAACGTCACAGTCCTCGCAGCAGGGGCAAGGGGAGGAGGAGGGGGGGGGCACAACATCTGTGACAACAGCAGCAGCCTTGCCTAAACAGCACGGCAAGGGTCACTTTGTGCCACACATCAGAGCTGCTCCTGCCTCATGTGGTCGATGAGAGCGAGAACAGAAGAGAGGGAGAAAGGGAAGTCGGCTAAGGGAGGATTTTGGTAGAGAGGTTGTCTGAGGTTTGTATCAACTAAGAAATTAAAGTTTATATTAGTCGTACAAAAGTTAACACTTCGTCTTCTTCCCTGTTGCTACGCTTGTGGCCTCCGCTTATATCTCCGTTCTCTCTCCTCTGAGGGCTCTGTAGGTTCTCATTGCTTAATACTGATTTCTCTCGGACCCCTATTCAGTTGACCAGTACAAAGCCGTGCTGGGAGTCCACAGTCTCCATCATTTCACTGTCCAAGAGGGAGCCCTGCAGATCAGACTGGCCCATGCCTTCCGACTGCCCCAGACCAGCCATGACCCCGCCCACAGCTCCGCCCTCGGCCTCCCCCGGGGCAGGCGGGGGAAGCAAAGTGGGGTCCAAGGCGGAGAAGTCGTACTGCTCAGGTAGGAGAGGCTCACCGGAAGGACCCAACATCTGCTGCTCGCAGCCTGGGAAGCTGTAGCCCATGCCGCTGGGAGGGGCTTCATGAGGCTGCATGTTGTGGAGCTGGTGGTGGAGGTGCGATCCAGGGGGAAGGTGCTGAGTGTAGTGGTGGTGGCTAATGTACGGGTCATAAACAAGGCCCTCGCCCGGCTCCATCAAGGGGGTGAGGCTGTGACTGAAAGGAGGCGAGGCCTGAGGGTTGCCCTGCTGCTGGGGCTGAGGCTGATGGGCAGCTGACATAGGGGGGCCCTGAGGGGAACTTTGAGCAGCTGCTGGGTCGAGAGCAGGGCTGCCTGTGGGGTAGGATCCTTCAGCTATCTGCATCTGGTTGAAGTAGGCCTGCAGCCCCATGCCCTGTGACTGCTGCTGCAGGTACATCCTCTTCTGATTCAGTCTGCGGGGAGAGGATGGCATGATTCAGAACAAGAGAACAAATATGCAAAAGTTCTTTTATAAATCTAAAGCAGAGTAGAGATACAAGCAGCTGGTGTTTGTTTGCAGACTTAGAAGTTACAAAAAGTTGTTTTTTTGACGGGGAAGAAATATGACTCTTTTCAATTAATATTACCATATTTTTCGGACTATAAGTCACACTTTTTTTATAGTTTGGCAGGGTTTGGGACTTATATTCAGGTGCGACTTATATCTATTAAACATATTTGTGGTTTTTACAGTAAAAAATATTATTTTTTCCCACTCGGATTTTGTGTTTTGTGTGTGAATTTAGGTTCTCTCTGCTAATACAGTATGTCAACATGATAAAATTATTGTAAATTCACACAAATGACGTTGTGCTGAAAAAAATGATACCAAGCAAGGCAAGGTAAACCGTTTTTAAGGGGAAATGTAAAGGTCAAATCAAAAGTAGTCAAAAACGGCCAATTATACCCCAGACTCCAGAGGGTTAAAAGATATAATTTCATACATAGTGGACAGTCACGCAGAAGAGTAGGCGGCACTTCGTCCACCTCCGTGGTTGGGGAAGTTGTTCAGAAGTGACACAGAGGATGAAGAATTCGATAGATTTAGTGATTTAGAGTGAGATTGAGAGTTTGATAAACTTGCTTTGTTATGTTTTTTATACTTTACTGTTAATATGTTATGTTAAAAGACCAGACACCTACTGAGTTCATTGTTTATGCTTCATGTAGCTGAATAACCAGCAACATGTTACGTTAGCATACCGTACACCTAATCAGCCTGTTGTTCTCTATTCTAATATTATTATTATTATAACTTGACTTTCAAGATGAAATATCTGTTTTTGGTCTTTGGTTTTGTAAAATAAATTTCCCCCAAAAAACGCGACATAGGTTTTTTCTTCATTATGCATTTTTTGGCTGGTGCGACTTAAACTCCAATGTGACTTATAGTCTGAAAAACATGGTGATCAAAAATGTTTCCTTCTTCATAAATGAATCAAGAAAATATCACAACAGTAACTGTGACAGGGTGCACAAAAGAAAGGCATGAAAAACTGAAGTGTTATTCACCTGTGTTCCTGCAGCTGCTGCTCTAAACTTCGAGGATTCTCTTTGCAGAAAAGCTGGCAGCTAGCAGGACTGTTAGCCAACACGTTGGCCTTTAGGGCAGAAAGAGAAATTCAGACTTATGACTGTGTTTTGGATAATGACTACATGACTACAAGTATTCAGATTATATCACTGTCGTTTACTGCTTTAGGATTAGCTTTAGAGAGACAGAGACAGGTTTGTAGGTTATACTCAGGGGCAGGGTTCCTATGCAAGTATGGAAAAGGATGGAAATAGATTTGATCAATTTCCAGGTCTGAAAATTTTTTTGGAAAATGAAAAATAAAGTATGGAAAAATATTTATTTCCAGACTATCACCACAGTTCTGAAATACTGTTTTCTAAAACAGAAAAGTAGGTATTTCCAAAAACAATTTAAAATGTAGGGTGTGGAAAAGTATGGATATTCCAGCTGTGTAGGAACCCTGCAGTGGAGTCAGACTGTACCTGTAGTCGAGCAGTGAGGTATTGCGTCTCCAAGCTCTGTCTGCGGGACAGGAGAGGCGGATGAGGCCCGCCTTGGTATAAAGCTAGGCCTTCCTGCTGCTTGGATGCCTCACCCTTCAATCACAAACACAGAATCAGTAAAACAAGAGGACGCTTCTTCTCGTGTTCTTGCACACTCATGCACATGGGCACACATATCCCAAGGGCCCCTGTCCTGCCGGGTAATGAAGCTGTGTCAGGGTCTGGGTGCTTCATCGTGAGCTCTAACTGGATTATCCATGCAGTCTCCGGCACAAATGCCTGTGTGGTGACTGATCAGCCAGATGCCTTTCTCTAAATGGCATGTACCACAGGGATTACACAGTCGTTACATGAAATGAAAGCAAATTAAAAGGATGATGAGGCCCGAGCATCGTAACCAGCAGAGAGCTGCGTTATTACATTATGAGAGATGGGCTGAAGGACAGCAGCGAGATCTTGTCTGCTTGTACAAATGTTTGTGTTGTTTTGTTCCTCAGTCTGTCCTGAAATGTGTGTTCAGGCGAGTTGTAGCGTTTTTTGTGTACATGTGTGCCTGTCATTGTGTGTGACTGCAGTTCGGGGCCTATTGAGTGCCAGTCACTACTGGGGTTGAGTCTGACTGACCTCAACAATGGCTGCATTCACTTTGGCCTAGGCTGCAGGCTCCAGGCCCCAAGGGGGAGACAGTAAACAAGCCACAGTTGGCTGCCTCATCTGAGATTACACAACAACTTGGGTGCCCCGTTTTTTTTTTTTTTCTTCCTCCAATTTTTTTCCTGGCTGACATGAGGGGTTTAGGCTGAGAACTGGTTTAGGAAGAGAAAGATCTTGAATGGGTGCGAGTGTTGTGGTGTGTTTGTGTGGCAGGAGCCGGACTGACCTCCAGGAGGTTGTGCAAGTGGTGCTGAGGTCCCAGGGGCCCCATTGCAGCTCCTTCCCCAGAGCCCATCTGCTCCACAAGCATCTGGACCTTGTTCAGCTCCAGGATGCCTTTGGTCCTCGCCAAGTGCTGGAGGTGCTGCCGGAACGCCACCAGACCTGAAAGAACACACGAGTTAAAGACTCACTCATGTTTTTCTTGTTGTCTACATGTACCAGAGGACATATAATGAAAAAAAAAAGAGTATTTCTGCATTCAAATCACTGTGAATCTCTGGCAGACCCAAACAGCAGGATCAGATACAGTGACATTTCCTACGTAGAAAATCAAAGCTCCGCCCCCCAAGCCCCGCTATGCAGGCCAGGCTAGGAGAAATAGAGAGGACGATGGCGGAACAGGCATCTGCGTTAGCGGATTGAAATGCTCGTAAGAAAGCGAATCATAACATTAGCTTTCATTGTGTCCCCAAAGACAATAGTGTCTGAGCGCTGAATATGTTAGCGGTGAGTTGCTAATGAGCTACTTGAGCTCTGCAGAAGAAAAACCCTTGGAAACGACACAGGTAACTTGATTTTGGCTTAAAACTTAATAATCACAATTTAAAGACCACTGAGAACACTTGAGGTAGTAAAAAAAACATCAGAGTGGGACTTTAAATCAGCATCAAATCTTGCAGATGATCATCAGAATCAGGCCTCAAAACTTATAGGACATAAAAAGTCAGAAATCCGGGTTTATGCTGCGTTCATGTTACCTCGGAAGTCAAATGTAGGAGCTGAAAATGACGTCACATCCGAGTTTCTAGCCTTTCAGTTACCAAGTCAGTAAAAAGCAAAATCAGAGGCATGAAACAAGATGGCTACATCTACGAAAGTTATTTTAGCGCTTGCCTTATATTCAGACAACGCAAGTGCTAAAGTAACTTTCGTAGAGGTAGCCATCTTGTTTTCACCTTCGATTCTGCTTTTTTCCCCCCGTCTTGGCTAAAAACACTAAAAACAAGTAGTAAAAAACAGAAACCCATCAGAGTGGGACTTTAAATCAGCGTCAAATCTTGCAGATATTCATCAGAATCACTTCTCGAAACTAACAGGACGTAAAAAGTCAGAAATCCAGGTTTAATCCTCACTGGCACATTTCTGCTCTTGACCCTCTGAGTCCATATACGTCATGATCCGCTCTGAGTGAGTGTTTGCTTGTGCTGGAGTGACAGTATCCGTTCTTATAAGACCCATCCAGTGGTGTCAAGCTGTGAACGATGGGACCTGACTCACCGCGATGGTGGGAGTTATTTAAAAACAAGAGTCAGCAGTCTGACGCAAAAGAATCCGCCCCATCGACACTTACCAAAGAGGATTACAAAAATAAATATATAATCAGCCGCAAATACCGACAAGAAATGCACAGGGCCAGGCTGTCAATGTCGAGCTCAGGAAGAAACACATTTGGCGGCTATAATTAAAGTTTCTACTTGGCCACAGAACAGGTGATTTACAACCAGCAGGCACTGAATCATGTAGCTGTAAAGAAAAAACGGGGGAGGTTGCTTGACATTCCCCCCTTATATTTTGGCTGGTCCTCCTCTCTGATGTGGCGGAGCGACAATTCCTGACTGCCACGGACTAAACTTTCACAAGGAAGAGAGAAAAAAGAAGGAGGGAAACGAGCAGCGAGGAGAGGAGCAAGTGGTACAAGGGGTAAAAGGAAGAGAGAGAGGGAGAGGGAGATATGTGGGCAGCAAACCTTTAAATATCTGTCTGTGATTCATAACTGAAATCATCACAGCTGATGTCGTCAGAGAGACAGAGAGGATGAGAGAGGAGGAAGGGACAGGGGGAAATGTGTGAAAGAGAGGAGGGAGGGCAAATGACAGAGTGAGAATGAGGTGCTTTTATCCAGAGGGCGGTATACATATACAGTATATGGATGTGTGTGTGTGTGTGTGAGGGAGCAGCTGCAGCAGGGGTGTGTGTCATCTGTGTCACAAGGATCAATGTTCTCTCTCTTGACTGGTGCTCCAGAGCTCTTCGGATCCTGGAGCCTCAGACATCTGCAGGGTGACACTTCAAACTGCGGCGCCAGAGTCTGTACTGGATCTGCCATTTCATCTAAGTGACACTTATATATGTTTCTGATTATGATTTCAAAGCGTTTCTCTCAACTTATCCTGTTTACTTCCACTTCAGATGGTGATTTCCTATATGTGACAGAATGTGCTGCGGCGTGCAGCTGTGAGGACAGAGTGACAGTAGTACAGCGGCACAATAAGATGAGTTACAAAACGGTCAGTGTTGCAGAACCGGTAACTGAGATTTTGCCTTTTGTCTCTTGTCTTGTCAAACCATCATTTCCAACTTAAAGGCCCTCGGTGAAATCTGACATGTAGCAGCTAAGGCCACTTTGAGCCATTTTCAACGTCTGTTTGACTCCGAAATCCAAGAAAATTTAATGTTTTTGAACTTTTCAGCGAGACTTCAGATCCTGCTGATGATGCAAGGTGACATCTCTTGAGGTAGGTGTCACTTTTTCAGGGTTCTCTGATATTTACTGCAGCCGAATGTCTCCCTCCTGTCCATTAAACTGCACTAAAATTCAGTGTCACAGTAGAGAAGCGGTGAAATCTGCTATTTGTGTTGAGAAGAAGAAATAAAAGGTGTTTCATACCTTGTGTGAGTGAGGTGTCTGAGGCTCGGCGTCCCTCTCTGAAGCTGATAGGGGAACGGTTGTGCGCCTCCCGATGCTGCGAAGTCAGGGCGGCCATCGCTGGGTTTGCCGGACGTGTCCCCATGAAAGGTGAGGGGTTGACGCCGGGCGCGGAGCTGTTGGTCTGTACCACCTCGCTGAGAGAAGGGGCATCCTCCAGCAGGCTGAGGTCGCTTTGCATGGAGCCCATGTCGTAGCCCATATCTGAGTCCATGCTGCCCATGGAGGGGTTGTGGCCAAGAGTGAATAATTTACCTTCAAGGGGAGAAAAGGTTTTATTTAATTTCATTGAATCAAGTCGAAGAAATAGTTTTATATGACAGGGTTTGACACTAAGTTTTTTCATAAGGAGCACACAAAGAAATTTAGAGGCACAAGGAAAATTGGTCGACATGAGTATTATTATTTGAAATCAGTTTTAGGTGTTTTGGTCACATGACATGAAAGCTATTGAAGAAAATGTTCAAAATTTGGACTTAAATTTAACAAAAAATTTTTTTGAGGACAAATTAGGGAAATAAAGAGGCATGTCTCATTGTCCGACCTTAGTACTATTATTTTAAATCAATTTTAGGTCAATTGGTCACATGACATGAAAGCTATTGAAGGAAAACAGCCTTTTTTGAGAACATCAACTGGTAATTTATTGATGGTCCCTTAATCAACACTCGACGTTGACAGTGATGGTGCCCAGTAGATTTAACTGTGCTGCTGTTGATATTCACGGTTTTGAAGAGTGAGTAGACACAAGAAGACCCGCAGTGAGTGTCCATCGAAAATCCAACCAAAAACTATCTTCTCATGGTATTTCCATTAAAAAAACCATTTATTTCCCACTAGAAGATCTGTCAGCATGTAATGTGCCTATTTTTTGCCATCACCTGTCTTTAGACCTCCCCCCTCTTTGTTTTCATTTCACTATTCAATTTATGTATCTTTATACTTAGATATGTAATTTTTTTATTGTATTATTTTTATTTACCAGTGAACTTTCATATTTCTTATACTACATGGCTGGGAGATGGCACAGTACTTGTGTATGGTGACTGGCGCGGCAGAAGGGGACGGCTAAGGGACTGGGGTGGAGCGTGTAGGCAGTGTGGTAATGCAGGGGTGGGTTTCAGGGTGGGGATATTTTGGATGATGCTATATTTTCTTTTGTATTTTGGTATCAATGTGAATTCAGAGCGCTTGTTTGTTGTTTATGTTCTTGGAAAAAATCAATAAAATCAAAAAATCAAAAAACAAAAAACAACTTTATTTCCTTGGCTGATTTTTTTCATTTGCACACATCTATTATTAGTTGCAAATGTGAGTGAATGGTCGCACTGTTTGAGCGGTTGTACGACATCATACCTTGGTTTGAAGGCCCTGGTTGGTTGGTCACCTCAGACAGGGTGTGTCTCCGCTGGCCGAACCGAGCTGTCTGATACGCCGAGAGGAGGTGAGGCGGATCCTCGTCCGCGTCAGGCTCCTCCGTCTCAATGCCCTCATCTATAGACGTCTCCATCATGTTGCTAGGCGAGGAGGTGGAGGACTTGCGGAGGACAGTGGGGGGAGGCAGGGGGTCCAGCAGGCAGCCGTTCACCTAAAGGCGGAAAAAAACAACAGAAAGGCGGAAACTCTAATCAGGCGTCCATCATTTATCAAATACAGCTCCTTAAAAAAAAAAAGGCGTTCATTATATTGACGACTGGAGCTCCATTAGTCATTCCCCTCCACTCACCACAACTGGTCTCATACTGAGTGCATGTTTGTATGTATCATCCTTAAGGCATGCAAACATGTGTGTGTAGGCCTAGAGATAGAGGGAGGGGGATAAAGAAGTGAAAGATCAGAGAGTGAGTTTTGATTGACACACAGACACATACATGAAGTCACACACTTGGACACACACACACACGCAAATCTCCTCTGCATGAGCAGCAGCGGCAGCAGAAAATCTAAAAAGCCTTGTGTCAGCCCAGAGCAACTTTGCCCAATTCCCCATCTGCTTTCTGTAGTGCTCTGGGATAGGAATGCTGTTACTCAACCAACACGCACACATGCACACACGCGCACGGCCAGGCAGAGGACAAGAGGGGGAAACGACATTGAGAAATAGAGGATGAAAAAAAAAAAAAAGAGGGGAGGAGGGGGGTCATGAGGGGGGGGAGAAAGAAGAAAAAAGGGAGACAGGAGGAGCTGAAAGGAAAAAGAGAAACAGAAGAGCCAAAGAGAGAGAGAAAAAAAAAAGTTGAGCTGTTGGCTGATGGGTAGAGGAGGTCACAGCGGTGAGATCGCAGCTTCCTGTCCATGTGTGTTCACTCAGCTTCGCATTAGGTCACATCATCATCACAGGACGGCTTACATAACCAGGCTCCATTCACGCAGATAACGTGCACCCTGTCTCCCTCTCTGCTCTGTTCTGCTCTGTGCACACACACACACACACACACACTCAAACACTGCACACATCACTGTTTATTGGAACTAGGGGAGGGGGTGGGACGGAAAAGAAACCTTGAGGAATGATACAGCATTTAATGTGTGTGACTATACTTATTTGTGTTACCGAGTCTGTGTGTGTGTGAAAGTGTGAGAAGACAGGCTCAGAATGATGTCTGTGTTGTTTAATAGTCTGTCAGCTCAACAGGACTGCAGGAAAAGGTTGCTTGTTGGCACAGATAAACAGGGAAAGAGGGCGTGCGTACGCGCGTGTGCTTATGTGTGTGTCTGGGAGCCGTGCAGGATAGGCAGCTGTCCTGTTTGATGTGAGTGCTAGTTGAGATTTTACATAAGACAACAAATCAGCTGCACTGTGGAAGTCTGATGGGGCGAGCAAACCGCACACACGCACACAAACACACAAACACACACTCGAAACCACACAAGGTATGCTTATCAAAGCAAATCAGCGTCAAGCTCATCAGGATAATTTCTCAGGACGTACTTGAGCGAGCTTAATAACTACGAGAAAAGCCTGCAGTGTGTGAGCTGTCGTAGAAGAACAAAGAAGGAAAACACACCGACAACAACAAATCCATGTAACTGAAGCCTCAGTCTGAGTTTTTTTCTCTTTTTTTAGTATTAGACATACTTTGGGCGTGTTGACATCCTCCACCATGAAGTTCTGCTCCAGGGGGCACGCGGGCTGAGGGAAGGTGAAAGCATCGGAGGAGGCTTGGGGCACAGCAGGAGGGCGCAGCAGACGAACACCCTGAGGGAGCAAACCCACCTGAGCTGAACCGCTGGTTGACTGTAGAGAGGGAGACAAAGAGACAGAACGTGAAAAAGAAAGATACTCGACAACGTCCTTGATTATAATGCAAAAATATAACGCGGCTGTACATTTGAGGTTATAATCCTTGAAAAGAGAAGAAAAGACAAAGAAAAGAGATGATGAATAATGTAAAGAAGGAATTAAGATCAAGGAGGAGCTGATAGGATGAACACGGGGAGGTGACGACAGACCCCGGCTGGGTCCGATCTGCCCGCTTGTTTGTTTGTTTGTTCCTGGCTGCAGGTGTGAATAACGGCGCTTTGATCAGGGAGGTGAGAGTGTTAATTTCCATGCATGGGATTCAGGACCCTCTCGCTGCCCTGACGTTACCTTGACAACAGTCTGTTCAGCGATGGTGCTGGGCCGTCGCTGGCGGGCGTCGAGCCGCTGTTCGACGGGGAAGCTGCAGCGGTGGGCCTTGAGCCGCTCCACCAGCAGGTAGTAGATAGCAGCAAAGTGGTTGTAGCTTTTGTTCTGCAGAGACTGGAGGAGGACAGAATGAAATAATGAGGGTTTTTGCTTTAATTCATCGCAAATGCTCCTTCTTTCATTGACCTTACAGCTGCTAAAGAGCTGGATACTGGTTAAAAAGACAAAAGATGCATTATTGAAACACAGTATGAGGAAAGTACTGAGCAGATATTACACCCTCTTGGTTTTACAGACAAGGAGCAGATCTGAACGGTTGAAAATATTTCCCCTTAAGGTTCAGATGTGCTCAACAGGAGTTCTATTTTCCAGCAGTCAGGGCTTAAAAAAACCTTCACATGTGATTGTTGTTCAGACTTTTCGGAACAAACGCTATAAGCTACCACAGCGCCTGATTTGTGGAAAAATGTTTTTAATTCATCTTTCATAGTCTGTGTTTAAAACTTGCTAAAATTTAAGCGTTTGGAAGAATCATCAGTGCTTTTGTGTGTCCAGACCTGACTGGATAAATCAATCCGACTCCTCCTCACCTCTACAGTCTTGTGCTGGTCGATACCCAGGCTGTGCATGAGGCGCAGGACCTGCTCGCTGTACTCTCCGACGCCGGCCTCGCCCTCAGCAGACAGCGGCTGCTGATACAGAACAGGCCTTTGCACGGGGACATACAGAGCCATCCACTTGTGCTCCTTGATCTGAGCCACAGACAGACGCTTTGACGGGTCCAGGACCAACATCCTACGGATCAGGTGCTCACAGTCTGGTGGAAAGAACAACCACAAGAGGAAGTGAGGGGAGATTTTTATAGCCGTTCATATTTATGATCTAAAAAGGAAGAGGTTGTTTATGTTTGATATCGCTCAGCACTTCTTGTATAAGCTATGATGAAGCAAATTAAGCAACAGAGCGTCACGTCCTCGTCAAAGCAGCCCAGATGAAGTAGGGCGGAAAAAAAAGCACTCAGGAGCTTAAATCTGCTAAATTCTTCAGTTAACTCTGCCGTCACTTCTGGGCAGGTTTCCTTCCTCTCCTGCCTCCATCCTAATGAGAGCTCCTCACCTCTAGTTAGTGGCTAGATGAGTTTGACGTCAGACACAGCTGGGTTCTTAACAGGATTACAGTACCCCTGGCTGTGCTGCTTTGGCCTGTGTGCAGCCTTCTTGCCTGCACTGCATTCCTACCCACTGCACAGCATCTTCCTCACCGACAAACCCGGCGCTCAGATCTTAAAAGAAAAGTGTCATTCTGAGACATAAACTTCGAAATCAATTATCTCTATGCTGAGTTTTTATACTGGCTGAAAAATGAGGATCAAACCAACTTAAACTCCCTGCTCCACATTCTTCCCAGTTGCCCTGCTGGTCTGCTCATGTCCACTCACATTCCTTTTCTCCATCTCATTCCTGAAGGTTCAGCCAACTCCTTTTTTTTTTTCTTTCTCCTGTTATGTGCATAACAAGTGTGCCCTTAGGCGCACTTTAACCACATGCAGTCCCATCCTAGCTGCTAACTGCTTCGAATACAATGCAGGGTACAATTTGGTTCGACCCAGGAGTCACCCTGCCACCGCTCGTTACTACTGCCGTGTTTATAGCAACAGCTGAAGCCAAGCACATGTTTCGACACTGCTAACCACCAGGGGAGGTTGGACTATGTAGAAGGGGCCGACACTGCGTGCCCGGTCCAGGCAGGACTGTTTGATTGACGCTCCGCTCTCAGCCAGCGTGTTACACCACCATGACTTAACCACAAAACCATCCCAGTTAACACGTCTATATCCCAGCGGTGTAGAGTTGCAGCAATGTAGGAGAACAGATTGACTGTTGCAAGAAGTTTGAGAAGGTACTGAGAGGCGTAGTCTTCCTTTCCTATTTGGTTGATTACTTCACATGCGGACATTTCGGACTGAAAATGCGACACGATCTTTCAGCAGAGGCCTTCCGTCTGTGGGGGCTCTAAGTGGCTGTATTGCTGCATCACAAGACCGAAGGGAAAATGTCACAACAAGCTGACATTCACTCAGAGAGGCCACATGTGAAGTGTGTATTTCGACTTCTGAATGGGGCTCTGTAACGGCTCGACTGATTTGCAGATAAATTGGTTTCTGCAATTACAGTAAAACTCAAAATAAAGCATTCTTAGAAGTTTTAATCATGCCTCTCCTCTCTCAGTTATATATCCTTTTTAAATTAATTGGTTTGGGATGGTTTGATAAAATAATCCAGTTTGTATCCCCCACTTGTGACTGACATTTGTCGCACTTTTCCTACATTCAGTAGACCCGATGATTCATCAATTGATTGAGAAAGAAAAAAAAAAAACGCTGCTGCTCTGATCCGCTGTGTGCCAAGAGTGTCAGCTGCAGATGTCACACACAGATAAGAGACTCGAACTCAAGAGCTGGGTTGTTTGTTGTTCTAGATACACATGACTCTAGGCTATCCTACACTGCACTGCTGTCTACCAGGACTGAGCATTATGCAACAGCAGGATAAGCATAAGACAACATCCAACGTTTGTTATTAAAGTTGGGAGTAGACCATAGTGTGCACAGAGCTGAGATACTCTGGTGAGAGGTTACTGAATGGTGCGGGGCTGTGCTGAGCACCACAGCCTGGACCTGCGAGAGGAGATGAGGTGGACTCTTTCTGGATGAGGAAATCAGCACACTCTGTTCCCCCCTTGTTCAGGGAACAAGGACTTGACTAGCAGGGGGGGGGTTGAGAGGGTTAGGGAGGAGGGAGTCAGATCTGGATGTCAGTTTGGCCAGAGAGCTGACATTACACTCCTACATTCCACCTAAACGTCCTAATTGTTTCCAGAGAGAGGAAGGAAAAAAAAAAAGAAAGAAAGAAAGAAAGAAATCTGGTCAACTCTCTGAGTGAGCGCACCCCCTGTGGAGAAAGTGCTGCAGACTTGCAGATGGGATAGACAGACACATGAAGACAGAAACAGACAGAGACACAGACGGACTGGAAGATGTCTCACAGATAGGGAGTCGAACAATCAGACAGACAGACAGACAGACAGACAGACAGACAGACAGACAGACAGACAGAGGCAGAGTCTCCTCAGAGACACAGACAGGCAAGCTGCTGGAAGGCTTCACTGGCTCTTCCCCAGGTTATATAAACAGCTCCAGCTCTGGACTTAATCTGCTGCCAGATAGCGAGCTAGCACAGCGGCTAACAGCAGGGCTGCTTCGAGACGGCTCGCCAACCTGACTCACCCCCGCAGCCTGCACGCATGCACATACACAAACACACACACACGTACACACAGCACAGAGGACAATGACAGAGTGTCTCCTACTGTATCCCCGTCAAATGAGCAAAATGTTCTCTCGTTAATGGTATGACCCCCTGACAGGCTGCAGCCGCAAGAGAGTCTGCCAACAGAACATCCAACCGAGTGTTGACTCAAACAGGAGAGCGCAATCTATTCATCTGAGCGGCAGTGTCCCCCTCGTGGGAATTTTCATGCCATTTTCACCTCAGACCGGCTACATAACGTGATAAGAGAGGCTGGGAGAAGTCTCATAAGCACACTGCACGCGGCGTGAAAACCGATAGGAATGGGATGTACTGTGGGCTGGGGGTTGTCGGCGAAGTTTCTTCCTCTTATTTCTCCAGTCTTACCTTCAGTCATGAAGTAGGGGATTCGAAACCTTCCTTCTAGGACTCTCTGTCGGAGCACAGGCAGAGTGGGCCCATCAAAGGGTAAAGCGCCGCACACCAGCACATACAGCACCACCCCCATACTCTGTGAACAGAAACGCACACAAGGGTTAGGGCACCGGGTGCACCCATCATCAGAGGCTATTAGTACTCACAATTCATAAACCTACCCACAAATAGATGACCCTTCACACACAAAAACACAAAAATGATGTCATATATAGAAGCGCAAAAGTGCGGTTGGGAAATCACAACCATATGACAGGAACAAAAGCTGCTGACACAATCATAAAGAGTTTTTTTTTTTAGATTTGATTTTGGGCTTTTGTATTCATCAGAAAGAAATACTGAAGGGAGACTGTGAGAAGAGAGATGGGGGTCGTATACAGGACACATGTTTTACAGTGCACACTTTTGAAGCTCACACTGAAGATGTGGCGTCCATGATTACCAAAAAGAACTTCAAATTCTCTTTTGTTGAACCACGACTTCTCTCGGCTCGGGCCTTGAGAAGCTGCTGGCATTTCTGGATCATGTTTATAAGTGGTTTCCTCTTTGCGTAGTACAGGTTTGATCTTTGTTTGTGGATGGAGCAACAAACTACGTTCACTGACAACAGTTTTCGGATGTGGTTTTGAGCCCATGCAGCGTCTTCCGATGAAGGCGTATCTGGTTTTAATGCAGTGTGCCTGAGGGTCTGAAGATCATGACCATCAGGTACTGGTTTCCAGCCTTGCCCCTTCTGTGAAGAGATGATTCCAGATTCTCTGAATTCTTCATTACTGTTATGTACTGTGGCTGATGAAACTGAGTTGCTTTACTATTTCCTCACTCAGTATCTCAGAGTAGGGCTGGGCGATGTGGCCTCAAATCAAAATCACGATATATTGAGCAGTTCACCTCGATAACGATAAATGGATGATAACTACTCCACAAGCTGCTCACCCCCTCCTACATTAACTCCGACTACTTCAGCTTCTACAACTTTTGAACCGCCCTCCATCTCTTCACCTGTCTTTCCCTCTTTGTTACGGACTGGACATCAGACCATGGCCTACCTACACACATCTAAAACTAGGCAAAGCACCCGACACTGGCACTAATGCCAAGAGGTTTGGTTTTTATGTGGAGATGTGCGTGTTTAGTCAGATTTAAGTTATTCATATTTCTCTTGATGTAGAGCTGAGATACTGTTCAGACAACTGCGACTACCTGGATGTAAACAACAACAGATGACCGACAGGTGAGGTGTTGTAACGCAGTTTGGTTAAGCGGGGTTTAGGTGAACTGTCAGCGTCCAACCAGAACAGATATGTGCATTTCAAAGTCAGGTGGTGTTAGCTCTGCCAGTGGTAGACCAACCTAGGGCTGGGCGTTATGGCCTCAAATAAATATCACAATATATTGAGCAGTTTACCTCGACAACAATAAATAGAAGATAACTACTCCAAAAGCTGCTCAACCCCTCCTACATAACTTCGTCTACTTCAGCCGCTACAACTTTTAAACCGTCCTCCATCTCCTCGCCTGTCTTTCCCTCTTTGTTACGGACTGGACATCAGACCATCGCCTACCTACACACATCCAAAAACAACTTTTATTCTTTTATTTTTTGACACTGAATATACTGATATGGGCAAAATGACGTCGGTTATTGTCGTAAATTTCGGTATTTCGGTTTATCGCCCAGCCCTATCTCAGAGAGAAGCGAATCTCTTTCCATCTTTACTTTAAGGACTCATCCTCTTTGAAATCCTCCTTTATTTTTGACCTGATATAGACTTTAAATGATATGCATCGTAAGAAAGTTAGACCAGTCAAAGCTAACCAAATGCCAGAAATTAGAGCTATCCATCAATGACGTGAATTTGTTTTAACAGAGGGTTAAAGTGTTGGAGGGTGTTAAGTTTCACTCTAGGTACTGGAATCAGAGACAGGAAGGGACATATATTCACTGTTTGTCTTACTGTATTCCAAAAGAATAAAAAGATTTGAAGACACATGGATGAATCGACTCCTTATGCAATCACACATCTTACCCAGATGTCTAGCTGCGGACCCTCATACTGCTGGCCCTCGAAGACTTCTGGAGCAGCATAAGGCGGGCTTCCACACCATGTGGCTAGAGGCTCTCCAGGCTGGAAGAAGTTCCCGAATCCAAAGTCTACACAAGGTGAAACAAAACTGAAGGGTTAGCAGATGATCTTTCACGTAGAAGTTGGTTAAAGAGAAAAAGAGAAGTTTTGTTTTTCCCCATGTGCAGCAGTAGTACACTTTGTGCTATGAGCAGTTTCTGCAAACGGTAGCCTCTAACTAAAAAAAAAGAGGAAGAGGTGAGGGTCATTGGGGGATTGGTTTGCTGAAGTGGTCAAAGCGTACAATACAAAAGTCCAAAGAAAAGGTGGGTTATGCCTTTCGTGTCTCCAAGGGGTCTACAGGTTTTGCATAATGTACCATGTGTCCACATATTTGAATGCTGAGGAAACAAGCCTTTGTATGAGGTAACGCTCCCCTGGAGACTGACATGAGGTCATCAATTCTGCGCTCTGATTGGCTGCCCGTAGAATGACTAATGCTCAGATTTGACTCAGTGGAGGAGCAAGACAGAGAGGTACACGCACAACGCTGCGAAGATCTCGTCTGTGTTTTATTAAAATCCAACCAAAATCTGCAGTCCTTTCTGCCACATCACACTGAGTCAAGAAGTGGGCCTTCAACTCCTCTGCCAGATCTCCCCTTTTTATTCTATTAGTTCATATTATTCTCTGTCACTATCTCATTCCATCTCACTTCTTTCTTCAACCTTCTCCAGTTAATCACCCTTTCTTTTTTTCTTCTTCTCATTTTGTCGCCTCTCCAGTGCCAACGTTTCACTGGAGGGATTAATCCATTAGTGCCACAGGAAGTTAATTCATCACAATTTGAGTTAGTGATTCATAATTTTCTCTTGGCTGTGATAGTTCAGATTCATCAGTCTGATGGTTTTCTCTGCTGGACACTCACTGTAAGTGAAATCTGTCAAACTTCAACATGTGTTAGTTGCTGTTTTTTTTTTTTTACATTTAGAAAAAGAAAAAAAACGAAGCAATACACAACAAAATCAATTACATAAGAAAAAATAATCCCATGCTTAGTTGGTTCATTATCAGCCGAACCCTGTGATGGTGTCATGGGACCAGACAGTTACAGGAACAGACAATCAGACTCACTTAAACCCTCCCCAACCCCTACCATCATTCTTTTTTCCATCATGTCAAAGAGTTACATAAACAGAAAAAAAATGTAATGCAAAACAAATAAATACCACTGATATGAAAAAAAATAAATCTGTGTTACATAATGGGGCTGGAGGTGATGTGGGTAGGGAGTCAAACACTTAGACACAGGGACAGTGTTTGAAAAGACAGTCACCTCTTCCTTCGCTCTGATGTTAATAATCCTTTAAAACTGACAACAAACAATCAACAACCACCAGCATATCATGTTAACACCTGAGAGCAAACACAGAAACATGCAGAGCTGGCAGTCACGCAGCCTCGAAGGTTGTATAGAGATGCATCATACCGCTTATTTGAAAATTTCATCTGTAAACTATGATTCATCTTAAGAGAAAAGCCATAGAGTAGATAAACTGGGAGGAGTACGATAGAGTATTAGGGCCACATTATGAAAAAAAAAATTTTAGACTTTGAGATTAAAGTCATTAATTTATGAGAATAAAGTCGCAATAAAGTCATTTCTTAGAAGAATAAAGTCATAATAAAATCATTTCTTAGGAGAATAAAGTCATACTAAAATCACTACTTACAAGAATAAAGTCGTAATGAAATCATCATGATATTTATGATAATGTGGTGTTGATGTGCCAAAAGATTAAGTATCTCCTTGTTTGAGAAACCTATATAGAAGTATATTTTCACGAAATGCTCCATGGCTTTCATTTCAACAACTGTCATCTTAAACAACAGGTTAGAGGATGAGGACTTAATTCTGACTTTACTCTCGTAAGTGATACTTTACCACGACTTTATTCTCGCAAGTCATGATTTTATGATAACTTTATTCTCATAAGTTAGTGACTTTAATCTCAAAGTCTAAATTTTCTTTTTATTCTTAATGTGGCCCTAATACTCCCGTCGTAGAGGAGAGATTTAAGAATGACATTAAGTAAAGGGCAACAGGTCCTAATGGAAACCAGGCGGCCTGCTTTCAAGACTATCACCTCTGTGCATGAGCACGTGATTCAATGGCTATAACTTTAAAATCACTATTACTCTGAGTATGAGGAGCTGAACCAGTCTGAGGATGTCCAAGACTCAACTCTAGCACAACTTTATATAACTATCAGCATCTGTTTCTCATCCTCACAGAGCCTTTAAGTTACTCCAACTGGTTTAGAAAGGCAATGACATAACTGGAGTTAGAGTTACTGTATGATTACTGTACGGTTATCAAAGAGAATGGAGGTTTTGTCTTACACAAACTGTTTTTGTTGAGCTACCAATCCCTTTTAAGTCAACAGGAGTAGACTGAATGAAAAGAACAGGATGTGAGAGATGATAATGGTAAAGAATCGAGACCATGTATAACTGCACTGTCAAGAAAAAGTCTTCTTCAGAGGAGTTAAGTTCAGTGCAAACTCCTGGTGAAAAGCAAAATAACAGGTTTGACACTATGCATGCGAGTTCATCTATTCAATCCGTTTAATCACTGCGGCGCAGGCAGCGGCAGGTGTGCGTGGTGGAAATAAAGCCACAGTGGGGTTTATTACAAGTCTGTTTACTGTCTGAAGCTGCTGTGAAGGTGAGATGTGATATGCAGCCACAGCAGAGAGGAGCAGTGCAGTGGGTTTACCGTCAGAAGCTGTGACCCATTTCATGGAGCTGAATACTGAACAGACTGGTTGACGTCAAAAGCTCCTGCACGCTGCAGGCTACCAACAACACTCACAGCTCTGCAAGAAGGGCGGGGACGGGGACGGTGTGTGTGTGTGTCGAACACAACAGAATTAGCATAACATTCGCCGTAACATGTCACGCCAGAATACGCTCCTGCAAACAACTTATGATAGTCTGTGTGCAGTGATATGACAGGTGTAAGAGTGATAGAAGGACAGCAGTCAAATTGTTGTCACTTCTAATGACGTCTCAGCAGCGGTGCAGCTTCAGCTCAGGATGCAAAACCAAGGATTACTTCCCTTTTTCCTCTGGTACCTTTTAATAACTTCACTTCCTCTTACTTGCTTTCACACTAAATGTTATTGTATTTTTTCTAGTTTGCCTGAGGATTCCCAAAACCTGTTTAGAAAGAGTATCTAAATCTGTAACTTTTTAAGGGAAAACAGTTAAATCTGGCACAAACACTCAACTTGATCTGATCTGGTATGATCAGCAGCCCATGGTGGTTAAAATACCAACTCAAACATACATTATCCAGCTGAATGTCCAATACGGAGTCCTTTTGTTGGCTCCAGGAGTCCTATTTGTCTTTTACAGCAAAGACGTGTGCAGACATTTGTCAATGTTTGATAAGTCACACGGTTGCCATCAACTTAACAGGCAACCATTATCTTCCACCAGTTTAACTCTAATCTAACACAGTTTATGTTGGTGGTTGTTGTGATTTTCTGATTCATATATATTAACAGTCTTCTTTATAAATGTATATAACATTTAAAGGCTCCCAAAAACTTCTTATTCAACTTTTTAGCAAAGCTAGAAAATTCACCATCTCTAGTACACGATGTTCTGTAAAGATTCATTGAGGGAAAAGTACCCCGAGTACCTTTGCTCAAACATTTCTGATCAATCATCAAAGCACGCCCACACAGTCCCAATGATTCAGATTAGCTCCGTTTTTGACTGTGAAACACCGTCTTACAGGAGGATATTTTTAACCATTAAGTCCACGGATACGCTGATGTACCAGCTGAACATTGTTATCTGCCAATATTTTTCCTGTTGAAAGCCACAGGCACATTGGCAAATGATGTGCCATGCACCGGTGCCAGTAGCCAATGTTCTTCTGTATCATACTGCATCTTATCTTTATTACATCGATATAATGCAGGCTGGTTATTACACCTGACTGCTGATTCAGTGAAGGAAGCTTTTTTTTTGCAGAGGAAGTTGCCTGTCAGACAAACTCTGGTTTGTTTTTATGGTTGAACATCGCCCTGATTTCTGCAAACCTTGCGTCTCTACTTAAAGCTCCAATGAGGAGTTTTTTTGGCATTTATGACATAGACTGAATTTCATTGAGATGCAAACAAGGCCATAAAGAAGATGACTGGCACCTTTTTAATGTCTCACACCGGTGTGGTTGTTGAAGAAACAGTCCTATTTTTTACAATATCCAGATAACACATCTCTACGGTGGCCCTGAGGTGCAAAACACAATGGCAAATCAGAAAACACAACACAAAAAGAGAAAACACAATAGATTGTGTTGTTGTGTTTTCTGATTTGACGTTGTGTTTTGCACCTCAGGGCCACCGTACATCTCTAATAAATTATAGATTTATCCATCACAAGTCAGTCGGATTGGATTCTTCTGAGAAAACATGACTTGGACATGTCGTGGATAAGATAAACAAAGACTGCTCTGTTCACAGGGGCCCCTCAAATTAGACACAAAGAAAAAATTCCTCACAGGAGCTTTAAGTTTGAAATTTGTTTGGTGCCCATTTAATCAACGATATTTAATTTAAGACAATTGATCCTATGCAAAGTTAACTTTTAAATGTTTTCTTCCCTTATGTTTATTTCTGACCTTTGTTATGACTCATTTTAGATCTTATGTGTAGCACTTTGAGTGTCCTTGTTGCTTAAATTTACTGCATAAATAAACTTCCCCTGGAAATGTGTGTCGGGGGTGTCATAAATAACAGGGCTTGAAAGCATTGTTACTCATGGATTTAAAAGACAGACCATGATCAATAAATAAAATGATCAATACAGATAATAATAAACGTATAAATATAAATAGGCGCTAATAGAGACTTTGTTTTCCTTTGGGCCCTTTACTCTTATTGAATCTCTTGATTTATAGTCTATTGTCATATTACACAGCTCTGTTTAGCTTCACTCAAAATGTAATATTTGTATAAAAATAATTAGGAGCCGTTTCTCCAACAGGTGTCCTTGATCTGGAGACTGTTTGTACTCGATACATCTTTTATTGGAGCATGAATCCCTTTCAGGCTTTGGTGTACTTCCACTGACGTCACAGTGTGGATTATCACAACCGTGGCAAATTCACAGAATAGTTAATGTAGCTAGAATTCCAGTTTACATTTCAGTGATGCAAAACAAAAATTACACAAGGGATTTTGTTTTAAAAGTGGAAAAACTGAATATACGTTTTCCTATGAAGTCCAAAAGGGCTGTCTCCTCTTCTTTTGTTATTTCTCCTCCTCCTCCTCCCTCTCTCTCTCTCTCTCCATCCTCTTCAATCTGTCAACCTGACTGTGAAGGGGTTGTTTGAAGTGAAAACATGAAGGGCACCCCCCACTGCTGCTGCTCCCCTCTCCTCTGAGCCTGACCTTTCTTTGACTGACCGCTGCCTGGTTAAGCTGCGCGGAGAGTGTCCAGAGGTGGCCTTTGGAAAACAGGGACACAAAACTGGACTGCAGGGGGAAAAACCTCTGGGGCAAACGGAGCTGAACAGACCTGGTGCGAGACTCACAAATTAAAAGATTTTGTTCCATTTGCTGTTAGAAATTCTTGTTCTTTTAATTCTTCGTTTAAATTCTAGTGAAAAACTAAAAAAATGTCAGAAAATAAAGTCGCACCTGCATTTTATCCAAAGCTTAGAGCCTTATCTTAAAGACCATAATCAGTAGGGATGTAAAGTTCTGGTCGACTGATCGACTAATTGGTCGATACGTGCTGAGTCGACCAAAATCGTCTCGATTTCAATCACAGTCTATGGTTAATTTCATCAGGAGGAACATACCAAGTGCTAATGGGGATAACAGCCTGTCTCAGAACACTCCCCATGTTATCACCATTTTGGACTCAACCAACCCACTGGAGAGCGGCCGGAGACAGGAAGATTGAAGAGTGTCTACGTTAATCAACATCCGGGGGTTTGCTGAATATTTATTTTTGTTTTGAGCATTTCAACTTGTCTTCCTTTGCCTTCTTGCGCTGATATCAGTATATTTTTGGCCGAGCAGCGTCGTCCCCCGCTGCAGAAGGGTCTGCTGTCAGAGTCCCCCCACAATGCATGTCAGTATGAAACAGCAAAGATGGATTAATTGTTGTTAAATAAAAATTAGATGCAGCTTTAGGGAGAGAAAAGATTGGCATTAACACCATCACCTCTCTTGCATCATGGATAAAACCATGCTCAAATGAAAATATCGGTAAAAAAGTACACGTTGTATTTGGTATCTACAGCTCGGTTGCTCATGCAGACTTCATGTACCTGTTAACAGACCCGTCAGACTGTGTTGTGGGGTAAGAAAAGCACAGAACGTACTTTGCTGCTTGTGTCCTCCCCTGAGACATTTCCTCTAATCACAAGCCAGGTAATGTTCTGTTCATTGTTTTCCTGCATCTTCAAATCTAATCTGCCCGAGCCGACAATGAGTCAGACATGTTTGTGAAAATTACTGCTGGGGGTAATAACATCTCTGGGTTATCATCTTGGACCTCTAGTAGGAACGGTGGTCAGGGTGATGTGAGCGATGAAGCAGGTGGACCACTCACTTCTTTATCAATTATTGAATCGTTTTGTTTAATTGGTTTGGTGATTGAACTGACGGCACAAATAAAAGCCTTTGGGCACACAGGCCATGACCGGAAGGCCCAGTCTTTATTTTCATCTTATGAAGCTCGAGGAAAACACTGATTTTCCTCTATCATCTGGAGGTCTACGCAGAAAAGAGGCCATTTTCCTGGAGAACACACATACACAGTGTGTCTGGCATCTTTTCACACCTGTATTTTTAGACGCCCTTGTGTGATCAGCTCACCTTAGATGGGGTTTAGTATCAGCTCTGTATAAGCCTGAGATAAACCTCAGCTCACAGCTGCCACCCTGCTCCTTATCATACTTCCTTCTCTCTCTCTGTCTCAAATGCCGCTCTTCAGAATAGCCAATCCATATCATCACCTCCTCTCCACCTCCTCCAATTAAACCTCATCCCTCCCATCCTCCTCCTCCTCTGATACAGGGACACAGCAGTAGGGTGACATTCTCAAAAGCTAGCTCCAAATGCCAGTTCCTTCATAATCACACTTTGAAGCTTGTACGACAGACATCCAGCTTTGTCTCAAATCTCTGCCTCTGGGTCTCTTCCTCTTTTTGGTCCCCGACCTTTAATGTTAGCTCCTTAAAACTAAAGCTGAGGGGCCACTGGAGAGAGATCTTAGAAAGTGGCACAGGCATCAAGATTTTTCAGGTTGTGGAATTTCTTTTTAGCTTAAAGCTATCGAAGAGAGAAATCTAAGAGCATTTTTCAATTATGTGCAAACAGTCCAGGTAGGCAGCTAATGAATTTCTGAAGTACAATATTGCAGGTGATGCATCAAAACTAAATAATTCAGAGCAGGCGACCTTAATGTGATACATAAATGAATCCCACCCAGGGCAACAGCTGAAGTTCTGTGTGATGTTCTTCGTGATACTGTTGCTAGGATACGCACTAAACATCCCGAGACGCTTGAAACTTCAACCGTGTCATCCTCTCGTCTCACCTGACTGGATTTACACAGTTTGTCCTACCAGGAAAAACAAAACCCTGGATCTGTTGTCTGCCTTACCACCACCAAGCAGGTCGCATCAGAACTTGGTTTAAGTCAATTTCCCTTTGGGGTTTAATAAGGTCTTGTATTGAATTTGTGGGTACCTGCAATCTTGATGTTCATGTGGCCATCCAGCAGCAGATTCTCCGCCTTCAGGTCCCTGTGGACGATGTTTCGGTTGTGACAATACTCCACCGCCGACAGGATCTGCCAGAACTTCCTCCTGGCCTCAAGCTCACTGAGACGGCCATGCTTTGCCAGGTAGTCTGCAACCAACGAGAGGGAGAGAGAAACAGAGACAGGCCGTGTGTAATGTTAGGGGTGCATGTAGATTTCATTTTACATCGACTTACATAACAGGCCTTCATAACACCGTATCGGGTATCGCTTGGTGCTGATGACAAGAGTGCATTTGTGCAGATTTTTCATTCCTCTAAGCGTTGGCGGTTGTGTTGAAAGGATAATTTACTTTTGATGAGGTGCGGGCATGATGCCAATGGTAGTTTACAGCTGTTCTAGATTACAGCATGCTTTGTAAATCAGTGTATGGTGTTCGAACCCTGTGTGCTGGTGGAGAGCGTGCGAGTAGGGCCCGGTTTTCGACTGAGAATGAAGCAGGAAAAGGGAGGGAGAAATTTCTGAGAACTGGTTTTCTGCAACAAAATGTCCAGATTAGTACAAAGTAGGGGGAGTCAGGGTGTAAGTGGGAGGTTTAATAAGTTTGTCAGGAAATGACTGCAGAGCAAACTCACAGACATCCACACATAACTGATGATTATAGGGAGGAATCATGATATTTATGCTAGCAATTAAACTGAGTTCTTACCCAATATAGCACAAACATTTATCCGTTTGTTTGATTTATCTCAGTACTCGCTGTGTCAGACTGAGTATGCGGTTGTTTAGAAATACCCATGAAAGTTTACGTTCTAGCCGGGAGGCCAAAGTCATAAATTTCTGTCTCCTCTTCCTATGAGCATCCAGATCAGTGACCTATACCTCATTGTCTGCTCTCCTAAAGACCCCACCATTCTTCCAGCCTTTCACACTCAGCATTTTGTTCTTCAAAGTCAGCCTGACATAGTATTTTGCACATTTCTTGATTTTTTTTCTGCAGCCCCGTGAACTTTGGAAAGAGCGCTGCATTTGTTGCTGTCGGCAGGGTTCCTCTTCACACCTCTCTGTCCAGATAGCTTGCAAACTCTTCAATTCACACTCTGTGGCAAACAAGATAGGACACTCTCCGTGACGGCCTTCTGTCCAGCTGGCTCGGGTACAGACCGGCGACCAAAACCTGACAACAATACACAACAACCACAACAAACAGAGGCAGCTACATCTATCACCTACGAGAGTTCAAAACATTAGAGAAGAAATTATCTGAGGACCTACAAGGTTGTTTTCATAAAGGAGCTATTTGTAATCACAAAGCAGACGGAGTCGCATTTACTGTTTTCTTTGCATTAGAAAGAAATGATTTTGTTTTGATTTCCTTTGTGTCCCACGCATTTAAGTAAAGATGACAACAAAATAAACATAAATTCGAAACTAGGCCTCACTCGGGAAGCAAAGACAAGCCACAAAGCCAATTTTACAGCCCATTAAGATCAAAAACATCTCCCATCTATGAAACGTGAGATTTATAAAGTAGAGCACTGCACATCCTGAGGCCACGAACATGTATCAGGCTGTAAACACCTTGTCCTAATAACTCTGTACCGTCTGTATACGAGGTGAACCAAAGAGCCAGCTGCATATTCAAACAACGACGAGTGAAGGGTGGAAGTTGATGAAGCTGCTCAGTGTGTTTGATAAATAGCAAACATCTGACGCAGTGAGACAACCTGATTAGAGGTTGGCTGGTAAATACCATAGAGGAGGCCAAACAGCGACCAGGGCAGCTTTCATGCTATGCTGCTAATCAAAAAACACACTGTGGAGGGGAATGTGTCGAGGAGGTCCCGGTATGCACCAGACTATTAAGTACTAACTGGACAGGGATCAAACCTGCGAGCCTTGTGGTCTTTTCTTTAGGCGTCAGTGCGCTTCGACGGATGACGTTTTTGCACAAATAACATGAATAACCAGTTTGGTTTGAGTGGCAGCACATCTCTGAGGGAGTGTGTTACCCAGCTGGGTCAAAGACAGGTCAGAGACGATAGAGGTTAAAATGTGAATAGCTTAGAAATAACACCAATACCATGTCTACCAAGAAAATCTGCTTACTTTCAGTATTTGATTTTTTGAAATCATTAGGGCTGGGATGGGATTTCGATTTAAATTGCGATTCTGCAATATTGTCGATTTTCTCGATTTTTAGTCTGCACTGTTAACACCAGTGAAACAGTTGAACGATTATGATTGTCTACTGACTAAAAAAAGTACACATCCCATGTAAGTCAGTTTAAAAAAAAAGGATTTTAAAAATTGTAAAGAAAAATTGCGACACTTATGTGAATCAATTTTTTCTCCCACCCCTAGAAATCATGTTGTGTCTCAGTTGTAGGTTTTTAAAAGTTGATCATACACTGAAAAATGAAGCTGAGTCCAACCTTGTTTTTTGTTGTTTGTTAGTTTTGTAACGTTGTCAGTAGGGCTGGGCGATAACATGAAAATTTACAGATACCAAAATTTACGACAAAAATCGACGACATTTTGCCCATATCGGAATAATTGGTGTTAAAAAAAATAAATAAATAAAAGTTGGTTTTGGACGTGTGTAGGTAGGCTACTGTCTCATGTCCCTCTAAGATGCTATCCTACGTTGGAGACATGACTCGACACTATCCAGTCTGTAACAAAAAGGGAAAGACAGGCGAGGAGACGGAGGACGGTTCAAAAGTTGTAGCGGCTGAAGTAGATGAAGTTAATGTGGGAGGGGGTTAGAAGCTTGTGGAGTAGTTATCATCTGTTTATCGTTATCAAAGTGAACTGCTCAATATATTGTGATATTGATTTGAGGCCACATCGCCCAGCCCTATTTGTCAGAGAACTGCAGTAACTTTTTATCACCATCGACTGATGAAAGAGAAATAAAGAGTTGTGAAGAATCATCTCTTGTCTCCAAGCTAGCACACGTGCTCTTAGCCTACAATCAGCATGTGGAGACTTGAAAGTGTCTACAAAGCAACAGGGCCCTACTTCAGTGCAACCATCATGTTTTTGTCACTAACTATAGAGGCTGTAAACAGCAAATTTAGTCAAAAATACTGTAAAATTGATGCTTTTAGAGTTGGAAATCAGATACTTCCACTGTACCATAAGACTGCACATCATAAGAGTGTGTCAATAACAGTGTTTGTGGTATGCAAGAGAGGGTAAGGAGCTTTATTTTTCGTCTGAATACGCGGGTCAAAGTACCGAATGGAAGAGAAGTTAACCATGAGAAGCAGTAGTTGTAGCTGATCTTTGGATCCCGGGTTTGAGAGCAGCGCTCAGCACCGGCTGGCTCCACTCCATTTTAACCCCTCAGGGTGCCAGTATTGAATCAGCACCAACATCTATCAACACCCACGGATGTGTAACTTTAATGTGGCTGCTTTACTTAAGTGGTTTGGGTATCATTTACTGATGTGGTAACAGAGTGTGTGTCAGACTCATATCCTCCACACACACATGCACGCACACACACACGCTCCCCATGCCTGCCCCACACTGTTTTCTGAAGTCCAGCCAGCGGTCTTGCCATCAGGCCAGTTTGTACCCGTGATGTTTGTCCCCTCCAAACCTGAGCAGCTGTTAAGAGACTTAGCTCGTCGACCGGCTCTAAGCAGAAGTGGAACATGGTGCTTGTTGAGCTGTTCCCTAATACCCTAATGATTCATACCGTTCGCTTTCCCAGAATGCATCTCTGTATGCCTCACTGTGCTGAGGCCCTCGCCCTCGATAGCGGTGTATCAGTGGATTACTCATCCTTCCACTAGGGCGACATCCCAAATTGTGTGTGTGTGTGTGTGTGTGTGTGTGTGCTGCAAAGTGTTGATTGCTCAGACAGTAATGGCTTGTTTTTCAATTGCTACAAGCTGTCGCGACATAGTGCGCCTGTTCACACGGAGTGAAGACCGTTGCTGGTCTTCAGTGTTGAAAACGTAAAAACAGTCCGGTAAGATTTCCTTTTGCTGGCCTACCTCCTAAAAAAAGTGAATACTTGTTTTGGTTTTAAGAAACATTATTACCAAACTTTTTTATTTCAAACAACCACTGATACACTGGGATTGTTACACGCAACTATCTCTAGAGTTTGTAGGGAAAGGCCTGAAAAAAAGAAAATATCCATGAAGCATCAGTCCTCTGAGTAAAAGTGCGTCTTTGACGGCAGAGACCAGAGGAAAATGGTCAGACTGGTTTAACCTGATAGAGAGGTAGCAGTGATTTAAATACTCCAATGGAAACAGGATAGGGAGAAAAGCTGAGCCAACTAAATTCTTACAATAATAGTGCAAATTTTCACGATATAACCTTTGTTTTACTCCGAAAACTATAAAAATAAAAACTGATGTTTCATTCAGACTTTCAGACTGACAGATTTCCTCTTGACTTAGAAACAAATTTTTTGGGATGGGCCTCTTTAAGAAATCATAAAGAGGCACAAAAATGAATACAAGTATCAAAAAACTCCTCCCAGCAGCTTTTAGGGGATGTTTTCATGTCTGCTTGGGTTTTATAATTCCTTAGAAAGAAGAACTTAAAAATAAACTCACTTCAGTCTTTACACTTTAAGATGTTTGTCAGCCAAGATAATGCAGACGACATAACTTTGTGGTTGGGAATGATCAAAGCGGACATACTGTAAGTGATCCCTTTACTATTTTTACTGTGTGCAATAAAAGGTGGATGCAGAATGACTAAAGCTCTATCATTACATATAAGCGTTTGTTTATTGCATTAAATACCTCTGTGCAATAAGAGAGCTCAGAAACATCAGGTCTATCCTGTTACAGCATGTCTGTCCTGTGAATTTTCCTTCTTCCCCTTACAGTGAATTGGCAACAGTCCCTGTGAGAATCAAGTCTCACCAAAACCCTTTACAGGAACACATATATCAGGCTTTTCAAAGTGTAAGTGTTCAGGTAGGATCGATTAAAGTTGAATGCCGTGGCTGCAAAAACTACCAGGTCGATGGATTGTCAGTCACCCCAGATGAAAAAGGCGACTGTTTTTTTTTTCTATACATGTACGTCATTTGTTTGGATAACGTTGGCAAGCACATGCAACTTCGAGTAAGGTCACTAAACAGCAGTTCGCAGGCCTTTGTCCTTCAAATGCACCAGTGCTGCTGCTTTGCTGAATAGCAGCATGCAGAAGATCTGACAAACAGCGCCCATTGTTGCTGCATGACTCACTTCGCTCCGTCTGCCAAACGTCGACCATATCTAGACAACAATTCTTCTCCTTAGGTGAATTTGGAAGATATAAGAAACATCAGTTTGGTAGTTAATGAAGCCAGGCCAGTCCAAGACGTACTCCAGTCAGGCCTCTTGCTTAGTCATCCTCTTGTTTTCTCCTCTTAGGACCAAAACAGGAGAAAGTCCAGATTCGTCATCAAGACTTTCTGCTTTCCAGAGAGCTGTACCTTCAAAAGTTACATAATTCCTGTGTCGATCATTACATCTCAACTCAGCTTATTAAATGTGGGAGCAGTCCGTTGGTGGACTGAGGAGTAATAAAAGAAATAAATTATCTGCATGCCAAGTTTGTGGACTGTTAAGATAATAGACTTCATTGTCGCGTGGGTTTACTCCGGGTACTCCCAAAAACTTGCACAAGTGGGTTTAGGTTAATTGGTCACTCCTAAATTGCCTGTAGTTGTGAATGTGAGTGTAGATGGTTGTTTGTCTCTATATGTCAGCCCTGTGATGAACTGGCAACTTGTCCAGGGTATCCCCTGTCTTCGCCCCAAGATGCTGGGATAGGCTCCAGGATCGCCGCAACCCCCAACAGGAAAAACGGTAGAAAATGGATGGTTGGACTTCTTTCCTTTACTGGCTGTTCAAATTTGTAGTACCGAGCAGCTTCTTATTTGGCACCCATTCCTCTCATCATTTGGTCATCGAAGTCAAATCCAACCCACCCTGCCTGCTCGAAGATGTGCAGAAAACTGGCAGAGTAAATATGATGGATAGTTTATGAGGATATAGATATTGACAATCTAAGTACATACAAGTATGTCTGGGAAATATTTCTTTGAAGTCAAAAGTCTCTCTGTCTCATTCCCTCTCCATCAGTCAGACTAGAAATCCGCATGAGTGATTCTACTCACTGCCAACTATTATACTCCCCTCTCTCCAGCAGTGCTTTCTTAAATATGCATGCCCTACATTTCCCCACCACCTTCCAAATTCAAATGGATGTCCTTTGCTTTTGCCTCTGTTCTCCTCTGCCTCCTCTCTCCTCCTGTCTTTGCTCTCTGCAACTCTGCTTTATTTGCAGCTGACCCAATTTCCAGGTTTGATCCATACTGCAGTTTTGAGGCAGACTGTGCAGCGGCAGATTGACTGACAGACAGATAAGACACAAAAGACACACCAACAAGCTGGCACGGATGCCTCTGCTGTGCCCATTACCGTGCCCACCCACCCCTTTTTTTTGCAAGAATGAACCCATCACTCTCCGCCTCCTAGTGCCAAACGCAGCTCTGATTCTTTGTCTTCATGGCTCCAGACACTCGCGTACACACATACACTCACCCCTCCTGCTCCTCCACAGAACCATTTACTGTTTGGTCTGAAGAGAGAGAATCGGAGGCTCATCCATTGTCTTGCTGACATGCTGTAACAGGGTGGGCTGCTGCTGAGCATCCACAACAACTTCACATCTTCCTCTCTGGGTAACCTATTGTCAGGAGCAGACCTGAGACATTCATCATGTCAGGAAAAGTGGAGGAAGCTCTCAAGAGGGGAGAAAGTAGAAGAGGCTGGAGATGGTTTTGACTGAATGACCTTATCGGTCTCTCAAAAGTGTTTTTATAAACTTAGAATTATTGTTTTAACTGTGAAAAGATTAATTATTGTCCTGCTGCAGCTAACAGCCAGTGTCTGCCCGGCTGAGTCAAAGCTGCTATTGCTGCAGCTGACGATGACATATAAACGTCTTACATAACTATATTGCATTGTGCAATCAGGGCAGAGGGGTCGGAGGAATCAGGACACAATGGTTTTATAATACCCTGACATGATCCATGAGAAAATCTATGGATTACAGAAAAATGAGGTTGTCAAATCGGGATTGTAATTTTAAAAAAAGAACAAAAATGGCATTTCAGGAAATACACAATGGATTTAATAAAAGAACAATAACGCTGTAATAACCCCGGAGCTACAGTCATGTACAGTCTGCTTAGGTTTGCAAAAAGAACGCCAACTGGAGGGTACAGTTATCAGAAAAGCTAGGACAGAAAATGTCAGAAAGGATTGGCCTCCCAGCATCAGTGAGGACACTTTAATAACATGTTTGTACCAGAATACGCTTATAAAACAACACTTGAAAAGAGGCCAGGCCACTGTTTCTGTAAAGTAAACTGAAATAAGTTCAATGTTTTTGCACAAAGTGACATGTTTGTGCAACGCTGAGCTATGGCTGTACAACAGTTTGGAAAAGTTCGCTGTTTCCCTCCGCTCCGAGTTTCTTTTCTTAAAAACAAACAGTTTAGTAAATGTAGATAAACCGTAGCTGCTGCTCCTGGAGCTGCTTTAGCTAGAACTCGCTGCTGCTGCTATAAGATTTGTTCTTTATTCACATTTTCTGAATCATTCATTCATTTGAGTGTGTCGTCTGCTCCCTGCCTCTCTCTAGGTCACAGGAGCAGGAGTGTCGGCTGCTGAGTCAACATCACAAGTGGAACACTGGCCTCAGAATTACAAACACACACACACACACACACACACACACACACACACATACACATACACATACACATACATACAAACACACAGACACATGACACAACTAACAAGTTTACCGTAGACTACGGCTGAATTAATCCTCTCAGTCACCGTGTCTTGAACTAGGCTAAGAGCAAACATTCCCAGACTATCCAATAGGTGAGGCCGACGACCTACGCAGATCACAGTCCACATCAGACAGGTTTCATCAAACTTGTAAAATAAATGCCCACAGAAATTTTTTTTTTGTCTAAAAGAGGTCAAATAGGCGTCTAAATGTAGCCTACATGACTTGTTTAATATCAGGGTACCACAGGTCTAAAAGTGAAAGTTTTTTAGATAATGGGTGAAAGTGCAACGTCTAAATTCCGTCTAAAGATATACAGAATCTAGACGGTTGAAATCAGGTCTAAAACAAACTCGTCTTATAGCCGTCTATTGCTCAGTGGGTGCTTAATGGAAATAATTCAGAAGCTGCATGATACGTGATTTTCAAATCAAACCACGTCAACAATCCTGCTACAGGTACAAAAAAAAATGCGCAACAAACTTTCTCTGTCTTTCTCTGGGCTCGTGTTCAAAGTAGTTCAGAGTGTAAACATAGTACAAAGTGAGTGTGTGTGTGTGTGTGTGTGTGTGATAGAACTCCTGCGGTGCTATGGCAGGCTGAGATAATTTCTTATCTTCAAGTACAATTCTTGCTATGTCCTGACTTGTCTGTCCCTTACAGCACATGTGTCTTTATTTGTGCTTCACTCTAAGAACAGTACAACCCAAATGAACTCCTAACTCTATGTCAGACTTTCCCCTCAGAAACTTGTATTTATTTCATATGGCAAACCTGACTTCACTCACTCATTGGTCACTTTTGTCTCGCAAAAACCTGGTCAATGACTGACCAGAAATCATAACAGAGGAATCATTCTTCTTTCTCAGTTTGTCAGGGTTTTTTTTTTTCTTTTTTTTGCTCCACTTCTACCACTTGTTGCATAATGAGTCAAAACTACAACATCTGGTGCTCTTCTGTAAAATGAAGATGATTTTGAAATCCGCCATAAAACCTCTGAGCTGTCATTTGATGCTTATGCTGTAAGGCTCGGCATACCATCTGAAGGTGATACTTGAGAATGGTTTTTCTCCAAGCACCTGAAGTGTAAGAATTACTTTATGTTTGTGTTTTTTCAACAGCAGCACTTCTTATCTGTAAAGTAGGGGGAAAACAAAGTCGTATCTATTTGCCTTTTTGTGGTGCGTGTGACCCTAAATACTCAGATAAAACAAAATCTTGCTATTTAGATAATGAAGGTTGTTCAATTCGAAACACTGCCTTTTTAAAGTGTTTCTAGTTTTCCCATCTGAGGACATATTTTGATCCTATAGACCTTGGCAAATGTCTGCTTCATGGACCTACAATTTTTTGACCTCTCCTGGCACCTGTTTCTTCTTGTTATTGGTTATACTGCTGTTTGTTCAGTGAAAATACCTAAACTATCAGCTGTCTACATAAAGTGTTTGTTAAATGAAGGCTTGAACTATGCTCTTTCTTTGTTTTGCACAGCTCTTGAATCAACTAAAACCTGCAGCGTTCAAAAATGTTGTGTAACCGTCAGAGAAGGCTGAGAAATGAGGGAAGTTATTGTCATATCTCCAACAATCTGAACATTTGAATGATAAACCGGTAAGCGGCGAGTCATTCTGCAACACTTTCTGCAATAAATCCGCACTTCTCTCTTTGAGGCCGCTTTTACAAGCCGCGTGTGACGTTATTTTGTACAGCAAGGGTGCAAAGTCAGCGCTTTTAATGAGCCAAGCGCAGCACATGACGGGCCACACCAGGACGTTGTTCTCAGATTTCCATCAATCATCTGACCTTTGAGATTGAGGCCTCAAGTGTTGATGGAGTAACACCAACTCGACAAGACTTTGATACTTCCCCGTTTGTCAAAAACGCTGCTGACGCAACAGCGCAGATCGTTTTTTTTGGTGCGACTCACATGAGGAGGATGTGGATAAAACTGGGTGGGACAATGTTTCTTTTTAAGTAACTTGAGTCAGATTGAGTTTTAAAAAGAATCACTCACCAAAGATCTCTCCATTCTTGGCATACTCGGTGACTAAGTAAAGCATGTTCTTCGTCTCCATCACCTGAGAGAGGAAGGGGACGAAGGATTGGGGGCAAAAGGGAGGGGGAGAGAAAAGTGGGTGGGTGAATACACACAGAAATCCACCTTCTAATAGCAATGTCATCAGATAATCCATGTTAGCAGTCTCCTGCAACAAGAGAGGATTAGAGCGGGGAACAAGAAAACATACAAATGACCAAAACATTACACAACAGTCCACATGGCTCTGTCTGACATTCAAAAAAGTCGTGAAAAATAAAAATACGTGAATGGAACAAGATCTAAAAATGGCAGCAGTATAAGAGAACGGAGGTGGACGGTGGTGTTGGCCAAGTGTATCTGAATGGTACTTTAAAACCTCTCAGTCCTCACTCGGCGCTGAGTTGTGTGGGAGGAGGACAACCGATTTAGAAGCAGTCAACACTCAGGAGATGAATAGAAATAAATGCGGAGGAGAGAGAGAGTCAGATGGAGAGGGGAAGCATGAATCAGACACAGTGAGCCAGACATTCACACTAGAAATCCCACGCTTATTGTTTGTGATCAATTTTCCATCTGTTACACTGACCGATTCATGGATTTAGGAAACGAAAGCCAGCATTTGTTGCTTTTTTTTTTTTTTTTTTTTTGATGGTTGTGTAACAAACACATACTGTCCTCTCTGTTTTTATGGCTCTGGAATGAAACCGATTAATGAGTTAAGTCCATTTATAGGTATTCATAATGGTTCAATCAAAACAAGAGCACAGTGAGTCATTAATGCGTCTAATCTGGGAAATGAACCCCACAAACAGTGCTCAATTTGACTCATCACAGCAGGAGAAGCACAGGTGTAACTAATAGTATTAACGGTGGCTCGGTTTCTTCAAGGCGTGCCAGTAAAGCAGCATGTACAATGGCAGGGCTCTGGCACACCTGAGTGTGGCACAGCCATTATTAATCTTATTAGCCACACCTGTGTTCCACTGATAAAATATTCAACTTAATTAGCCGTGACTATTTAGTATCTGGTATTTAGGCTCAACTCTTTCTTTAGTTTTTGAAATTTTTGCTTTTAAATGTCCTGCTCTTGCAAAATACTCTCCAGGGCTCGACGGTGCGACTGTTTCACTTGCATTTGCGACTAAAAATAGATGTGTGCGTAAAATGTATTAAAAAAAAGTTATTTTAGGTGAAGTTAGTTTTAGGTTGGACATTGGACATTCACTGCGGATCTACCGGTGTCTTCTTACTCTCCATAACCGGTGATGGCAACAGCAGCGCGGTTAAATCTACTCGGTACCCTTGCAACATCGGGTGTTGAATAAGGGACCATCAATAAATTACCAGTTGATGTTTTAAAAGAAGGCTGTTTGACCTAAAATTGATTTCAAATAATAGTACTAATATTAACCAATAAGACACACCTCTTTATTTCCCTAATTTGTCCTCATAATTATTTTGTGTTAAATTTAAAAGGAAAATTTTGAACATTTTCTTCAATAGCTTCCATGTCATGTGACCAAAAGAGCTAAAATTGATTTCAAATAATAGTACTCATATCGACCAATAAGACAAACATTATTTAATCAATTTTCATTGTGCGCCTAAAAATTTTTTTGTGTGCGCCTTACTTTTTCAACTTAGGAGCACATGTGCTTCTTGTGAAAAAAGTTTGTGTCAAGCCCTGCTCTCTATGGGGTGTGATCCAGATGGATGTGAAGTCTATCCAATGCCATGGACAAATGAAACAGTCTATTTGGGATATCAGGATATCATCTTTATACCGCATTTCCGGTCTTGATAAAACTGTAACACTTCATTAATGTCGCATTCCTAGTACAAAACCTTTCTGCACCGCTTATAGTCACTGCAACCATCTTGGTACGGTGGAAATCATAAATTAGAAACAGTGTTATACAACGAGAAGCACCTGAAGTGTTCAGTATTTCTCGCGCAGGACTTCTTGCTGAGTATAAGCGCTTTAGGGGGAAAAACTGAAGCCAAAATCTGTCATGTAATAAATTGTCAAACAAGAGAAGAAAACATTCTCTGAATTCCAGATACCAAGAAACAAAAAGGTACACTCTGTATCAAACACAGCACGGGGTCTGACACTACCTTGAATCAAACATAACACAACTGAATGATTTACGGTTATTGTTTTGTTTGGACGATATTACAGTGAATAATCCATCAGCAGATTTCCACCTGCCTGAAGTATTAGCCGGTGAGGAAGGACAGCTACAGTCTTGGTGATCAATCACAGGCTGTGTACAGGCCAGACTGCTTAATGTTTCAATGTCATCCCTTCAATTTATCAACCTTACATACAATTATTTTAATGCTTTTTACAAAAGGAGATACACTGATGAACAGTGGAGGCTGATTTATTGCGATGATCGATCAAAAATCCTCTCCTTGGAAGCATTTTTCGCCAATTGAGGCTCTTATCTGGGTAATAGTACTCGTGGACAATAGAGGGTTTTGAAATGTTGGCACGTATCCAGTGATGATTTTGACCGCCTGTGACCTATAAAACTGTAGAAAGAATCTTGGCAGCGCTGAATAACGCGGAAAAACCAAAGGGACTGAGGGGAGATGTAAAAGGGGCAAAAAAGAGAGAGAGAAGAAAAAAGATGGCAGACTGGGGTCAAAAGATGAGAGGCCACACACCGCAGGACAAACTAGAGTGGGGTCCACGGCTGGGTTGTCTGCATATCTCTTCATTAGCCAGGGCTTGCTTCCTTTTGGGCCACGGGGCCAACCCTGGTTTATGAGACTGGAAAGGAAATCACTAATTGACCTGAGCTGATTGGACAGAGGGGCCGGTGGAAATAATGATACACACCAAAATAACACACAGCAGAGGGCTGGAGCAGTGCCTCATGGTTGTGTAATGATAATGAACACTCATTTACTTTCCCTAAACTAAACAAACTAACAGGACCCAAAGGCTTATGTAATACCACTGAATCACCAGAATTATTGGTAGTTACGGCTGTTTCGTGCCAGACTGCAGACATCACTGTAACTAGGTGAAACAAGTCTGCCTTTGGCTAGTTAACGTAGCAACATAGTGCGGCGGCAGAAACAAATGACTTCACAAAATAAACTCGGAGGCTTGATCAAAAAGATTATATACACTACCAAAGTTGGCAAAAGGGCATGATAATTAAGGGCTTTGCTTACATAAAAGTGCTTTATGCAACGTTCATTCAAATGACAGCAGAAATGGGTCGTATATAAATACAGTTGGGGAGTTTACAGTTTGAAAAGAAAGGACTTTGTGCACGATGTAATCATGCAAGTATCTCAGTGAGCCGTCAAGCACACCAGCAGGCCCCTTAAACTGAGACAGAATTAAGCAGTCATTCAGTTGATAATTTATGCCCAGGCTATAACCGCTTTCAACAAGCTTTGAGCCAATTCTGGTCTAAACAGGTAAGCTGACAGTCCATAAAGTGTATATAAATCAAACCATCTGTATTAGGTAACAAAAAACTGCACCGCAAGGCAGATTTGATGACCAAATACTTAAAACCTGTGAATCTGTGAATTCAAACATTATTGAGTTTGATTCACACAGTATAGAAAACACAGATATGTCCACAACCTTGAGCTTCAGACAGTCATTAACAACACTTTTATATCTTTATCTATTAAAAAGTTGCATATTCTGCGTGGCAGCCATTAATTGCCAGCGCATTAGAAATAAACCTGGCATGATCCTGCTCCCCTCCATGTTCTTTAGCAGTCTGACAATTCTGCTCAATTACATTTTTGTTTTGTTTAAAGATGTTTACTGATGAGCAGCTCATCCTACTGTAGGTGTCTTTGACAGATACTGACTCAGGCACCAGCTGCTTGAATGTCATAAATTCTCTCTTTGACCATAGAGCTAACCTGACATCAACAGTCACAACATATAAACCAAAAGTGCTGAAAATGACCTGTACTTAGTACCCGTTACTGACAGGTTACAACTTCCCTTCCTCTCACCTATACTTTCAAACAACTAGAGTGAGTTTAATGAATGTGCCAAGCATTTACTCTAACTATTAGGGGTGACTTTTTCCATTTCTGCTGATACCAATAATCAACTTTTCCAGCTTTTAACTACTGATACTACTGTTTGTTCATCCCTAGTTTCATCCCCTCAGCATAAGGTGCCACTGGCAGCTGCTGTACAGCACTTGAACGTCTAAGCCGGTGAATCAGACCTATAAATTCAGGATCTTCTAAATGTGAAACAACAGTGACTTATCAATAAAAAGTCATAAATAAAAAACATCTAGTCTGTGCATCAATCTGAGGACATAACCAGCTGAAAAAACCCCCACCAGGTGTCGGAATAATCGCAGTGAGACAATAACAAAAAAGAAAAAATGCAAAAGTGAAAAAAGTGAAAGTCATCTATGTTTTATATACTTCTATTCTTATTTCTACTGGAATAAACCTAACTAATTTTATAAAGGAGAACATCAGCAGTATGAGATAACATCTCAGAAAACACAATATAAAATCCTAAAGATGTTACTTTATTTCCAAACGCATGTACAGTGGTGTAAAGACACCACGATAGTGTGGGTAACAGGTGCTGAGTCTCACCTGGTAGAGCTTGATGATGTGGGGGTGGTCGAGCATCTTCATGATCTGAACCTCCCTGTAGATCTTCTCCAGGTTGACAGCATCCAGCTGGGTCTTATCGATGATCTTGATGGCCACCTGCAGAACAATCGAGCGTTTACTACGACGCAACTGTAATCAGCGAGCTCATCAGGCTTGATTGGCAAAAGAAACACCCCCCTATATTCACACACGCTGGTACAGACAGGAATTTAATAGGGGACAGAGTGTTCCTGCAGCTGTGAGAGAGCAGAGGAGATCTGTTTCTGAGACGAGAGATAGATGCTAAAATACAGCTTGTGCTCGAACTTCCATAGACAGTCTTGAAGCCGTGATGACATATCACATGAAGTTACAGCATAGGCAAACAGATCCGAGCGGATACACACCTACAATGACACACATGTGTAAATCACACTGTCACAACTTCAACACTCGTTGCTTTGATAAGTACTGTCCTGAAGCAACACGACAATATTCACATCCCTTCCTCAGACAGTCATAAACATTGTTTCTCCAGCTTGATGGGAAGTGTTTAGAGTGTCTGATAGCCAAGCTGGAGACGTAAACAACGAGACGCCCTCAGCATTAAATTGTGAAACTTTTATCGAGCATTCAGACGGGAAAAAAAGGTAACAGACGGTAACAGCTGAGACTTGAGCGGAATGATTCATTATTTTATTAGCATCCTATTTAAATGAGACCATTTGGGTTTTTCTAGAAGCTGTGAGGGGATTTTTGCCAAATCATGAGAAACCCGACGTATTACACTACCTATAGCTAAGAGAATACAAGACCCAGGAGTGTGAAGGTTATTCAGATGTGTGGCAGTAACAGGGCAGACTGTGACGCAGGATTTTCCTCTGGAAACTCAACACAATGAGGATCATTTTATCCTCCATCTTTGAGGTCATCAGATAAACGGTCCGATTCACCTTGATTACATAACAAAGATTTTTTACCAGGAACAGTAGATGGCATATTTTCAATGGCTATCACAGCTGACGTCACATTATGCTGAACTTTGCGCCAGGTGTGACATTTTCGTTGAAATGACCTTGTACACATTCTTGTTGGTTTCTTTTATATCTCAATAAGGTATTAATTAAATAAATAACGGGGTAGTGTTATTTCATGCTGTACTCAAGTCAGTCAAAACACAGCCTCCTGTTAGTGGGGGTTAACGCCTCTATCTCCTCGCCTGACTCGACTTTCTTTAAAATATATTCAAAGTTAGTACTTAAGTTACAAATATGTAATTGATGTTTTGATACGCTAAACAATCTCTGCTATTATCTTTCAATCCACTGATCAGACAGGTGTGCAATTTGGAGATAAATGCTCTGAAGAAATCCAAATCTTTTAATGGCACTCCAGCGGCGAGACGAGACCTCTGAGGCATTCAATTTAAAATAACTGACAAGGATTAAAGGGTACTTAGCAGGAAAAGATGTAAGATAACTGATTATATTGTCAACACTGCACACCCACACATAAAACTACTTGTGATCTCTTCTGGCACAGGGTCATTTAAGGACAGTGGACTGCAGGAGGAATTCAGCAAACACTCAGAGTAATGATTGCAGAGAGATGGGGCAGTGCCATGGTCAGAGCTGGGTAATTGCACAACTGGCTGCACAGACAGGCCCACATGAGAATGGCCCAGCGCTGTGTGAACCCACATGCTGCAATATGTACATAGTGGTATGAATGGGTCAGTATCACAGACGGAGGCCACGAGTGAAAAAAGTAGGTTACGCATACATACAGGTGAACCTGTCTGGAAATATGCAAAAACCTGCAAAACATGAATAACTCCGATCTGCCGTTTCATGTTTCATTAAACTCTGCTGTTCTCTACACACATGCCCCGGGCATAATATCTCCTTTGCCCTGGCAAATCCTCAAGGCAGATGGCATCACATAAAGTTGATAGCCGCAGGCCTCTCCAGCTGACCTTGGCGGCTCTAACAAATGGCCCGGCTCCGGCTTTGGTCGAGCCAAGCAGCTGCAGTGGCCTTTCTGTAGTACCGACCGGCACTGCTGAGTGACCTCTACTGAACAAGTGGCCTCAGAACCAGCAGAAACGTGTTAGTATTCGCTTAACCTGAATACCGCACTGGTTACTGAAGGTAAAACCTGCATGTTAGCAATACCTGGGAGAAGATTAGATGCTCAGACTAACCCTTCACCTCCTCACAGGCGCAAATCTCTAGATTAACATGATAAGAGTATTAAGAGCCATTTTCTTGACGGGTTATTCATTAAACCCTCTAAGGGGCCCCTCTTTAGATGAGGTAAACCGTTGTTTTTCTGTACACTGATAGCTCACGTTCAACGACACACAGTTGGAGGCTCAAAGATCAAAGTATGCTTTCACAAGTCTCCTGCCCTATTTCTTCTATCTCTGTGTCACACAACACAAAGACTGCACACTTTTACACTGAATCCTAATGTGTGTGTCGCTGCTATGCACTCAGTGGCACTGGTCAAGAAAGACCTCTCTGTAAGGAGCTGACATCGCCCCGTGGTCATGCTGCATTGCCTGGGAGCTTGTTCCACTAGTGTTTGTAATACCAACCCCTCTCCGAACTAGGCGCAGACCCCACAGCGGTGTCAGTGGGTTGCTGTCTGCATGCATGCGTGCGTGAGGAACACTTTGCTTTCCAATTACAGAGATCTGGCTGACACATCCTGCTCCTCACAAAGCTCTTGGCACTACAAAAAAACCCACTAAATCACATCATTATTTGGATTACATAATAAGACCACCGACCCATGCAGCATGCCCCAGATACAGAAACTTGGGGTGTTTACAGCAGCCAGACTCCTTTGAGTTTGGTACACTGTGTCACTGTCTGGGTCACCATCACCAGATCTAGTACAGGTGCCTAATCCTGTACTAGTGTAGGAAAGAAAGCGTGTTTTCACTATGTGTTTCCCAGCAGCAGCAGCACTCCTGGTCAGACCTCTTACTGGCAGTGATGTTGGCTCAGGGGGGGAAACGTGCAGTCTATCATTGCTCCTGTAACCTGCAGGATTCAAACACACCAGCTGTTGCTCCACACGGGAGAAGGTAAAGTGTCCAGGGCGAAGATAACCTGATCCAAATTCCTCCAAGTGCACGATGTGGACTGTATTACGGTACCAACTGTGAATATCTGGGGTGTCAACTAGTGCATAAAAGTTATGTAACTCAGCTGAACAGTAGCACAAGTTAGCTCCCAGGCTAACTAGTTCACAGACACACTCACCTCGGTCTTGGTTATGCGGTGTCGAGCCAGCTTCACGACAGCGAAATTGCCCTTTCCTAAAGTGCGCTCGATGTCGTAAAAACCCACACGGACCGGACCCCGGATCTGCGGTTTCTGGACACTGTCAGCCATGACCATGCTGTTCAGTCTGGGACTTGTTTAGTGGAGGAGTACGAGGTATACAGCCAGACGGAGCGAGCAGGGGGACACACGAGGGGGCTCACGCGGGCAGCTACAGATAAAGACGAGAGGAAAACAAACCGCCCGCCGCCGCTGCTGCCTCTGCCGCCGCCGACCCCGCTCGAAGCGTGTCCATTAAAAATAGACAAAGTTGATTTCTGTGTCGCCCTGCCAGCTTGAACACCAATGTGGCGGCGGCACTCTCCCGTCTGTGTCGCTATACGAAGCAGCAGCAGGCCATTTGCTGAACCCGGGGGCTGTCACACACACACACCACGCTCTCCCAGTACAATAGAAATATAATATTTCAGCCTGAGGTGCCTCTCTATCAGCTACAGAGCACACGAGTTGACTTGCAAAGAGGCATCATGTTCTCCGGTTGACGTATATTGACGTCAAAGCCATGGGGGTATTTGTACAGGGGGCGGGGCTACGGAGCCGCTCCACACTTCAGTGCCAATTGGTTGCCAGGACAACGAGACCCACCTCTTACGTCAACCGGTAAAATTGCTATTCCGAAATCTGTTTGCTCGCCTGCCCGTCTTGATTGCACGCATAGGTAACTTTGAAGTCTCGCCCTGCAGGTGTTTCAATAAGCTGTCTGTCAGCTGCGAGTGAAAAATACAGGTGAGAGGGTTGTATTTTTCTAAGTGAGTCTCAAACTGCACCTTTATCCTGCCATTATCTTTAAAATACTCATATAACAATATATAGATGAACAAAAAGGTCAAGTTTCAATAAAGAAAATAAATAAATAAAAATGATTAATTTCAGGGCATTTCTTCTTTAATCATCAAATAAGGACAAAAGGGTGCAAATTATAAAAATCAAAGTTAAATCAAATTTAATCTTCAAAGTGTCAAAGACAGTATGTTAAGCAAATACAGGGAAATATGTTATTCTTAGTATGTTTGTTTTGTGGAAAAAATGTGAATTAAAGGGGTATTTTCTGTTTCTTTTTGAAAAATAAGAAATAGTGAACTGTAAAAAGGCATGTTGGCTTGCAGCTCTTTTTTATTTTTATTGTGTTTAGTTGATTTAAATCTCCTTTCTGCTTCTTTTCATTCACATGTTTGAGATTTTCTTTGTTTGTATTTAATATTTAAATATTAACTGAATGAAATGAAATAAAATAAAAGCAGTGTATTATTGTATAACATTTAAAATCATTATTATCATCATTATTAATATCATCTTTTTATATTTACTGTCCTGTTTCCTGCTTTCTGACCTCCCTTTTTTATTACATTTCTTTTTCTTGCCTATTTTATGTTTTTATTTTGGTCTCATTTTATGTTGTAGGGTTCCTGTATTGTCTGGGTTTCTTATGACAAATGAAATTGGCCCTAAATTCGGAGGCCTTGTTTTTTACTGAGCTTTTGCTTTTTATTTGTTTTTATTTACATGTGCTGATGCTTAACAACTGTTTGTCAAAGCACTTTGTAAACTTCTGTTTTTAAAAGTGCTATACAAATTAAGTTATTATAATTATTATATTTTTATTTATTATTATTATTATTATTATTATTATTATTATTATTATTATTATTTTTTTAAGTAGAATGAAACTTAAACATTGTAGAGTTTTGTTTTTTTCAGCCACAAAGAATTCTTGGTTAGCTACATGACAGCACCATCTGTTGGTGAAATCACAATATTGAAGCAAGGCTTCACTTGCTTCTGAAACACATTTTTCAAAACTACAGTTGTAGTTGCCTTCAAGACACAGGTATTTTACCTTCAAACACATCAAATGTGACATAAAAACATCTTTATACACCAGTACATATATGTAAAAACATTCAAACAAGGGGATTTTTTTTTGTTTAAGGTGAAATGCAAATAGGAACTCGTAAGCAAACCACGCCATGTTTGAGATACAGCTCACATTCACAGCCAGCAGTGGCTCAAGCAGTGACAGTGAACACAGAGCAGTGGATTACTAACAGGCAGGCAGAGCAGTGCTGCAGAGGCCTCTGCTGTCACACACAGACTTCCTGAATGTAAGAGTTCCAGATGTGCTTTTGGCATTTCCTGTGTAACATTCTCCAAGAACACACTCAGCCTCTCCTTACTGGGCCTGCTACAACTTTCCAACACACAGACCCAACAGCCCACTCAGTAGACACTCAGGAATAACACAGGCGTATTTAAGACACAATCTACAGCCATGCTTGCTTTCCAAATGTACAAGGCAAGGATATTATTTTATTAACAAACACTGACGGGCGAGTCCACGGCATGTTCTGAACTCCTCCAAAAATCAGTGGGAGAGCTGAGTTTCTCACACAGTCAGGTGGAGTAGGGAAAGCCCGCAGCTTTGAGGTTTACTGTGGTCAGCAGAGTTCTGTCATCAGTGTTTCCATGAGTCCTGTCCTGTTACCTGACATCAGAATCCAAGTAGAAAGTCCTTACAGAGCTAAAACAACTCCTCAAGTTTCATGAAGGAAGCAGAATAGCCCTGTAAATAAGACAACACCCCACAGAGAGCTTTTGTATCATATGGTGGCATGACAGGAAAACAGCTGACATTGTATTGTTTATAACACGAGTAACTTTGCGTGTGTCCAGACAACTGGCATTTCTTCCTCGGGTTAGGGGATAAATCTACCATACCAAATATATCAGCACTGCTTCACTGCCAAACCCTGCTGACTTGGTAATGCTTATTTGAGCTCATCAATGCCTCTTTGATACCAAAGCCTCAGTGCTGCTGGTAAGTTATATGACCCTCTAGTATGACACAGCATCATCGCAAAGTTTACATTTTGGATTTTGAGTCGATTGTATGAAATGTAACAAACAGCAAAAACAGAATCAACTTTAGTACTTTGATTTGTACCTAAAACAATATATCGTTTCATTCACATCAGTCTGAGCTTTAGGCTACTTTATATTCAAACTCACGGTGAACACGCTTATTTATCTTTGTATTGACTTGATATTTGGTTGATGCAAAAAAACAAAGCAAATATAATTCCAATCAGTTTTAACTTTAAATGTTACTCTGGTGCAAATAAGCAAATGTTAGCATGATAATTGACAAAACAAGGACGGTGAATGAGGTCAACATTTAGCCGTTCAGTCTAACAGGTCAGCCAAACAAAGCAGCAAACTGAAAGTGTCTTTAATTGTTAATACGGTATAATACTTGAAACACTTGAAGACAGATGTAGCCCATGTAATGTAGTGTTAAATTACAAAGAAGTACAAGTGGTCCTGGTCTTCTTGTTGCCTAAGTGGCTTTAGAGCTATGATTGGTTAAAAGTTAGTCTGACTTGCAGTATGAATGTTGAATGCAGTTCTGGAGGAATACGAGTCCACGCGTTTAGTAATCAATTGCTGTACAAGGATGAAGAGATGGAAAAACATCTTCCTTCCCTCTGTCCTCTGATTGTGTTTAGTAGCTGGTTTGAGATTAAAGGACACTCACAGAGACCAGCAGTACTATCCATAGATCTCATTTTCCACCCACCCAGCCTGAGCTTTGCAGGTCTCATAAATGTCATTAGTCACAAAGCCACTCTCCCTGTGTGTACACGCCACATTCTCATAATCCTCACACTGGTAGTCCTGACATAGAGCAAGGTTATACTTTGTTATGATGCTTGTAGGCATGCTTCTGTCCAGAGAAGTGTGAGGCAGTTTGGTAATGTCACTGAATGCATAAGGTCCTTGTATAGGGCAGGGTGATGGTGTTGATGGAGACATCCATGGTTCTGATCTGCCGAGGTAGCTGTCTACGACTGTTTTCCTCCTGAATATGAACAAAACAACAACGAAAAGCACAGCAAGGTCATCGGTATTTGATTTATGAGGGGACGTGTATATCAGGGAAGTGACCACCTTATTAGCTAAATCTGAATTAATAAGTGAGTCATTAAAATACAGCATTTCACAAATAAATTATGACTTATCTGCAAAAAAAAGCATACTGTATATCCTGAGACAAAATGCTCCATCTCTAACATTCAAACATGTAGTGCAGTTGTCTTTTTTACCTTTTAGCATGCTGTTTGTAGCAGAAGAAGCCAGCAACTGCAATCAGCAGCAAGAGTAAAGCGGGAATAGTTGCATAAAGGATGTAGGAGATATAGAGCGTGTTGTCTGAGATGGACACTGTAAAGGAAAGAATATCACTTGGCATAACTTACTCTTGATTTCATTCTTTAAGATATTATTTTTGGTTTACTTCTGTTTTTTTCTGTTCCTCTTGTCTTACCTGAAGACTTAGGTAGTCCTAATTTTAGCTTCTCATCACTTTCTGTAGTTGAGAGTATGGCTGGCCTCAGAGATGGAACTGGAGCAATCAGAAAACATCAAACCCATCAGATGAACATGATAAGAAAATATTACACAAACATTACAAACAAAAAATGCTTTAGACAGAGTTTAAACAACATAAACAATAGAGAAAATATGTGATGTATGATTTAGACAGCTGAAGTCATCTTATATTATAGTTTTTATATTATGCCTTATGTGTTGTTAATCTATACTTGATTCCTTTTGAGGTCCCTGTTCTTAGGCAATGTCATATCACTAATAGAATAAATGAAGTGAACAACCTAGGAAAAACCTTGTATGTGCAAAAGCTATTAAATGAAAATAATGCAATCAATACAGTGAAGTGGTGTTAATAGAAGTCCAGCTTTCTTGAAGTACATATAGGTGCAATGATCAATTCGAACACATTAATGTACAGGTCGAAGGCAGTGCTCATGTGTATGTTGTACCTGCACGTGCTTTGTTCTCATCCTTGGTAAATACTGGTGCTTTGTCTGCAAATACAGTAAAAACAGGTGGGTAGTGTCATCATACAGCCATGTAATATTTCTAAAATATAACTGTTTTTTGTAGATTTTCAGTTTTGTTATTATTTCTGCTCTACTTTACTTAAAAAAGAGAAAATAAATAAAGGTACTGTTTTCCTCTTGAACAAGAAAAAACAGTCTCATAACCTCTTTGCATGAAAATCTCACATTTCATTTCAATTGCGAGCTGCTCCTTATTTTTTCTTTGGGAGGTTATAAGACCTACAGAGCTTTTAGGATGTGTAATGAAATGATTTCCACAACGGAAACAAGTTATCGCTCACTTGTGACATGAGTCATTCTACACGGACAAGATCGTTTTTTACTCAAAACAAAGTAAATAGCTCCAGATGTCATTCAATTTCTGGTATTACATAGTCTCTGAGATTTCCTGGCTCACCTTCTGGGTATTTGCAGACAAAGTTGTTTTTGGAGTTGCAGTTATCGTCATTCCACTGGAACAGGAAATGACCTTCATCAGGTGGTGCAGAGGGCTGGTGGTACAGAACTGCACACATTTCACTTCCACACGATGGCTCATCCCAATGCCAGTTTCTAAAGCAAAAAAATATATATACACAATTGTATGTTTTATATGAGTTTTTCAATTTTCCCAAATTTTTGTGAAGAAATTAAGATATTCAATCTCTGAAATACAACAACAGCCCATTTCTTCAAATGAAACCCTTCTTTATACCATTTTCAGCTTTGAAAGAGTCAAATATAGACAAAATACTTGGAAAGACCTGAACTTGGCCTTGCTTCCATCCAGCCAGTAGTACTGTGACGGGCAGCCTGGGCTTGCAGTCCCTGCTCTGTGGTATTGAGGGCTGCGGCGGAGTCCAATCCAGAAGTCTCCATCTCCAGGCTTCAGCCTTTTTATAAACCTCTCCATCAGCTGCTGCTCACTCTCTGTTTCAATGCTGAGCAGATCCCCGCCATCCAGCCTGCAGGCCTGCCTGGCATCCTCAAAGGTCAGCCTCCGCCTGCTATCCTGAATGTAGGACACCTTGTAGCATGGGCGCTGTGTGCCGTGTCTGCAGATCCTTTGGGCTGGACACCAGAGACATCACCAGAGCGATAACAAGACGAGGAGAGCAGAGGTTTTTAGTTTTCTCAGAACTGTAGCAACCACGAAGCACAAATGATTCTTACAATCAGAGCATCGAAAAGTAAAAAGGAACCATTAAGTTTACATTGCATTGCTTTGTCAAAAGCTCCTCTAATTTTCCTGTAGGAAAATAAACACATGGCAGCAACAGTCTAGTCTTAATTTTTCTTTCAAAAGAGACAATTTGTTTGTAGCTTTGTCCCAAAAAACATTTTTCAGAGTGTGACTGAAAACATCTGCAAAATGCAGGTTTTTTAAGGTGGCGTAATAAACAACATTCACTAATAAGATAAGAATTTTCCCAATACCTCTTTAAGGCACAATGGCTGTAGACCTTATATATATCGTCACCCTATGAAAAAAATGGCCTGAGTCATTTTTTGACGAAAATGAGTTTTTGGCCTAAAACATCTCTTGATAATGCTGTCCGTCTCTGGTAAAATCGCCCACATCCTCAGTTGAAAGGATCATGGCATGATAACATTACATTATGCAATTTAATACAACAGCTCTACTATAATCTCTACTTTCATGAAGCTTCTTAACCTCCTGTTTTTTTGTGATTGTTGTATTTATAATTGGAAATCATAGAAGGTGGTGGACTGGAGTGTGTTCTATTGAAATGTGTTCCTTATATTTTGTCCACTTCTTCAACAAATATGAGGGGAGAAGATATTAGGAACATCTTCCTTGTACACCTTCACACCCATTACAGCCTTAACAATTGAATAAAAGAGAAATTATTACCTGTCTGACAATGTAGACAAGCATTTAAAATGCAGAAGCTTTGTGAAAGTTGAATTGATGGTAAAGCAGTTTTATTGGGTTGCATTAAATTGCCTAAGTGTTCATAATGTTACAGCTAGTTGGTGCATTTCCCTAGACTGCATGCCCAGTTAAAGCTTTTGATCTAAGACATAGGTTTTTTTTTATCTATTTATTGGAGGAATGACAAAAATTATGTTCTTATTAAGCAGTCAACCTTGGCTACTGTTAACATTTCATGAAAATAAAAAATAGGGGAGAGTGGGGTAAGATGAGCCATTTTTCATATTTCGGATCACTACAGCAAGCCAATCATAGTTTTGTCTCTAACTAGTGTATCTGCATATATTTCAAGATGTTGTGCATCCCTGCAAACCAACAGCATGAGTGTAAATATAACATAATATAGCATAATAATATAATAGCATGCCGAAAAAAGTGGTCTCCTATGGTGATTCAGAACATTCACAGCTGTATTCTTGAAAAGAAAAAGTAACACATTTCAACAATCTGAACTGAAACTCTGATCCTCTCATCAGACTTCTTTACTTTCTCAGTTGAGTCACTGGCTCAACTTACCCCAGAACTATTATGATGACTTTATTAGTCCTCTAAGCTAAAATGGTAGACTTTTATTAAAAGTTTTTTGACCTCATGTTGTAGCTCATAGATACCACAATTTGTGTATAAAACAAATTTAACATGATCTTTTTTGGTCTGAAAACAATTCCTATATAACTAATGACTGACTAAATTCACTTTCAAGAGTGAAAAATGTTTTTTTGGAGATAAATGTCTAACCCTTTCATCCATGTGCTTCTAACCTTCACAGACTCCATGAATTGATGCCCATCTCCTTAATATTTGGTCACATGATCAGATTCTTTGACCATTTCCAAGCAACAGGGGGTGGCTCAACTTACCCCACTCTCCCCTACATAAAATTGGTTTCCAAATACTTTCCACTGAGAGAAAATCTCCTTAAGCAACTAAATTTGGATTTATTTTGAAAAAGATTTCATTGCACATTGCACAAACGTTAAGTTGGCCAATTAGTTTGTTTTATTATTGATAATAATATTAAAAGGTAAAAAGGAAACATTGAAATACAGCATCACAACTCTTTTCAGAGCCTCTGGTTTGAATCTGTTGTTGTCGACCATGTCACGTGCTGTTCTGCTGCGTTTTTGCCCCCTGTAGCCTCACTTTTTAGAAACTTTTTCATCAAATAAAGCCAGCATTGTACGTTATAAATCGTCTCAACCATGTAACTCTCTTCTCACTGCATTAACTTATGAAGTAAATGTGAAAAAAACACCCCCTATACAAATGGCAAAGTCGAGCAAGCGCTGCGAAGTCAAACTATCTTCTCCGTTATACTAAATAATATCAAGATTTAACAGTCGAAGTTACACTTTAAGCTATATTAGCCGATTAGCTTTTTTGAAGGACTTTTCTTTCTCACGAAGTTTCTTACCAACTATATCAGAGGCGGATCCTGGGTGGAAAAAAACGGCGATAAAAGTGCCCAACAGCTTCATACAATCCATCTCTACATGTTCACCTCAGAGTTCAGGGCGATTTCCCTTCATTAAAGTGTTAACCACTTCTTACTAAAGATGAACTTTTCTGTCCCAGAGACAAACACACAGACAAACGACAGAGGAGCTGGCTCTGTGCAGTCTAAAGTGGGTCGACTACTGGAGGCGTGCATATGGCGTCTGTCTGAGGGAAGAAAAAGTGAGACAGTCCAAGATTTTTTCTTTAAAAGTCTCAGTTTTGTTCCTTTTAGTGACTCCTTGCAACTCTACACGTACAACCTGATTATTGGAGTAAAAAACGTGAATTTTTGCATGTATCTTTCATGTGTTTTCCAGTTTTTACCAAATTTAGCAAAATGCCACTCCACATACTATAGTAATGTCATTAAAATGGGATGAATGGAGTCTTTGTGCAGTATCATGCTCTCTGTATTAAAAAAAGAATGGATCTCTCACTCTCTCTTTCACTCTCTCTCTCTTTCACACACACACATACAGTGACTGAGTGCTGGGAAAAACACCTCATTGGAGAAAATGAAGCAAGTAAACAGAAACAGACTAATGGTTCACCTCAAACCACCCAAAACTCTCTGTGTGTGTTTTTAAAGACAACTCAGATTTTCCTTTTCTTTCACCATCCAACTTGTTGATCTGGTGTGAAGTGAAGTTTATTGAGCACCCATGAGGCTGCTGAACCTCATCACAACTAGAACAAAACATCCTAATCTCCAGTAAAGCAAACATTTCAGAGGAAACAGACACAGAGCACGGTGTGAAAACATTGTGCAAAGAGACACGCATTATAGAGATAGAGAGGTGAGAGATAAAAAATGTGGAGAGAGAAAGAGGACTCTCTCTCTCTCTCTCCCTTTCTCCCTCTATGGTTCAGGAAAGCTTGCAGAGGAGGAAGAGGAAAGGATTTTTTTTCACACTTCCTGACTGTCGCTTTGCCTTGGTTTCCAGGCACTGCTGCGTAATTTCCAAAATATGAATGATTGTAAAAGTCTGGAGCACTCGTGTGGGTTATGCAACCAAAATAAATCACTTCACACTCAATCCAGCAAATTCATCGGTCTGTAACTTTCATTGACTCGCTCTGAGGCTGGCAGGCTAAATATTGGCCTGCACTTGATACTTAATACAAACGCTGCTGCGGGAGCCAACTATGGCCATGCAAGAATATTTGTTATTCTCTAAAAGCTGCTCTAAGATCAGGGACCATTGATTTGTTCAGATTTATATAAAATAAATTATATATCGCCTAATATTATAATGTGTAAACAGCCTCAGGGCCGCAGAGACTGTTGATGTTTTTAAGAAGAGGCTTTTTAACCAGGCTTTTAACGAACTGCCTTTTTATATTTCTCTTATTGCAAATGTTCATTTTAATCAAAGTTCTTAATGTTTATTTTATGTCATTTTATGAATTATCTCTGTTCTTAGTCTTTTTCTTAATTCCCATCATAGGTTTTTACTTCTGTTATCTCTTTTACATGGTAAAGAGCTCATACTTTTCATTAAATTTAATTTTCTTGTTTTAGTTGATCAGGTTTTACTCTTTCTTTTGACCATTTTTACCTTTTATTTCCAGTGTTTCCCAAAGGTTGTGCTTTCCTCATGTAATGTCTCGATTGTTGTTTTTAGTCCCTGTGAGGCACTTTGATTTGCATTTCTTGTCTGAAAAGTGCCATAAAAATAAAGTTGAATTTGAATTTGAATTTTAAATTTGCATTGCACCTATGATTTTAGATAAGAAAACCTATTACTGGTTTTTGAATTGACATCTCTAGGATGAACAGTTTATTAAGTTACAGAACAGAGTTGAGTTTTCTGACATGTTGATGTCTTAACAATACTTTAGCTTGTCAAAAGCAGGTTGAAACCAGGTCTTGGATGTTCAGGTCCAATTTCAACCTGTTTCAAACTCACTTCAGAGACAATGGTTTGTCAGTTGAAGTGCAGACATCCGCTCTTGAGTAGATGTTGCAGCTATTACAGTTCACAGTCTCCATAGAAAGAGAGGAAAAAATGCGAGGTATTGTGATTTCATTGTCTTGTTTGTTGCAGGCTTTTATCTGTCGCCTGAGCTCTTGAATCCAATACTGAAACTTGGCCATGTACAGTACTTAACAATGAAATACCCTTTAAATCAGGCTGAATGTTATGTAACAGGACATAAAGGGACACACATACATCCCACCACAGCCTGCAGTTTATCCTCTGTATGATTTCAACAACATCCATTATCTGATGACCTTGGATGCATGCAGAGTAATAAACAGAAGCTAATAAACAGAAGCTCCTCTCCACAGAGAGAACAGAGAAGCACAGGCTGTTTTTCAGTGTGTAGCTTTGCTGTCCACAACAGATCCATTTCTCTATCTAGCTGTCTTTTGGTAACACACACACATATGTCCATTATGTTTTGCGCTGGATGCTTCTTACATGACCTCGGATGATTTTGCTCTGTTTTGGTCTCTCGAAGCTTCCATGTTATTAGATTATCAGTCTGTGCAGCATGTGTTCGTCATGTGACGAGACACTGCATCTGTGTGCAATATATACAGTCAAGCTTTTTTTCCTCCCTCATCATCAGAGTGTCTATTAGTTTACAATAAGCTGAAAACATTTCCCTGCAGCTTTCATGTTGGACTGGATACACAGATGTTGGACTGTGATTAAAACCTTTTTTCATGGTGGATGAGCGTTTGAAAAATTGATGGTGAGAGTGTGCAGCACAGAAAGATTCCCATATAAACAACAATTGTGTAACTAACCCAAAGGAGAACATTTAAAACAGTTGTATAAATAGGTGTATGAAATGATTCATTATACTCCCGTGGGAGATCTTCCCTCAGGATTACAGCGGGCACATTGACAGGATAATCCACCACAGTGCTCTGAGGCGAAAAATTAGCTAAAGGGCCTTCATTTATCTCTGCAAGGCTGTTTGCTTCACTTTTTGGTCTAAATGCAGTTTGTCTTCATCAAAGTGACACATAAACATACATTTGTTTAAAGGTAATTTACTCTCATCTGGGAAAGATGACAGTGTGTTGTTTCAAGATAATTCGTTTGTCTTCTTTTAACTGAAGTTACAGTCCGGCTGTACTTTTCTAAGACTCGAATACATGACGTCTGTTGCTTTATTGTGAGGAGAGTTACATGTTAGGGCTTCACCTCCTCAGCACCTGTGGATAATGAGTCAAAAGGACAACACATGAGCTGTGACCCGCTGCAGCCAGCAGAGGGCATCAAACTACAGGGGAAACAAGGCAACAGCAGCATTGACTTATGATGTACAGTTCTACTATGTTAACACACTAGGAGTAGAGGGTTGCTGAGTCAAGAACAGTCTTGGTGTTGGTTTGTTGATTAAAGTCAAAGAGAAGTACTGTTCTTTCACTACCTAACTTTTTGTCCCCACTGTGGCATAAATAAAGGTTTATCTTATATTATCTTGATGTTCTGTATTAAATTTCTATATTATGCTATAACAACACTCACATTTAAATATAGAAGATAATTCATGAAAGTGTTGTTCTTTTTTCCCTTCAGGATGGCCCTGTAAGAGATATTTCCCTTTAAATATCTCAGTTTTATTTATGTTAATTATTCCATGATTTAGTCGCTCAAATAGTTAAAATGATAACAGTAAATAGTAGAAAAAAAAAACAAAAACAAAAATAAAAAAACAGAAATATATTTTCCCCCCAGTTCTCTACAATTAAACATAATAAGAAACTGCAGCAGGGACATCTCCAGAAATTTTGGATTCAGGAGACCCTCCAAGAGTACTAACAAATTCAGGGATGGCAAGTGTGCACACAAATACGTCCAAATAGCACTTAGATATTTTGTATACTTGATAATCCCTTTTTTGATATCTTTAACTGTATAAGGTGAGAAGGAAGCAATGTGAGTTTCTGATTATAAGACTCCAATTAGTTTGGGAACCAGCAGTGAATTGCTTGCTTAATTAAATGTGTTTCTTTTTACATTCATTACAGTTCAGTATTGGTAAGTATTATCACTCTTTGAACTTTAACAGTTCCCTCTAAGGATCTAGCTGTTTACTTCCCTTGCAAAGCTGTTTAAAAGTCTGAGGCAACTTTATAATGTGGATATCATATGTCAAGAGGGGGATTTTACGAAAAAACGGCTTTTGCAAAGAAAAGTTTAATATATTTAGGAAGATATTTACTATTCAGTGAGATATCTATATCATACAGACCCTGAGGAATCATTAGCTACCAGAGTTATCTACTTTACTGTACATCCTGACAGTGTACAGTACGGTCTCCTCACGAGCTTCCCAGAATATCCCCTTTCTCCCCAAACTAAATCTGTATCCTCCTCTAGGCTTTGTTTGCATTCGTTTCTTATATGGTTGTCTGTCAGAAAAAACATGGTGTCTCTTGGTGGAGGAAACGGATGCATATAATCTTTCTCACATCATAATGCTGTAATCGTCCCTCAGTGTGTCTCAAATTTAGCCTTTGTAGTAAAAATAATATCTCTGTTTCCTCTTTTCTGTTCCATATGGCAATAAAAAAAAGAAATACTTGTTTTTGAGAAATTTGAGAGCATCAGCAGCTGTGCTCTTCTCGTCAAAAACAGTCATGCCATGTATGTGATGTGAGCACTTTACATGTTTAGATAACATACGGGTGTTTTGTTGCTAATCCTCATGCATCAACTTTGGACAGTCGAGTATTATTCTTCCCAAAACTTCATCCAGACATTTTTTCTGACCCTGCGGCCAGGAAGATTACAGGATAAATAAAAAGACGGCCAGTGAGCTGTTTCCAAAGTGGTGATTTGGGATGGTTAATCCTCAGACACAGACTAGCAGCGAGGACATTTCAAAAGAGTGACGCATGAGTGGATAGTGTAACAAATGTCCTCTCTCACCATGGGCACTTTGGTAAAAACACCGATGCTCCTTTACATTCTGTACTTGTGGGGAACAATGAGGCTTCTCAGTTGAGTCCGAACAGTTGTGGCCTATAGCTACTGTATAGAAATAACCTGCAATGCAAGTCTGTGGAGACAATAGAGGAAAGGGTTGACATGCAAGTAAAATTAACAAAGCTTAGCAGTGATTGGCCGAGGACTCCATAGCTTGTGGCAAGTGTGATCAGCTTTCATGCATTCATGAAGATGTAAATCTTTACTCTATAGATTCACATAGATCTATGCATCTTGAAAAGGCAACCCCCCATTCTTCAGTTTATCTTTGAGGTCTAGAGTTTTTGAGTTTGAATACATTGGCTGTTATTTATATACAGGGGTATGTAACCGATCATTTAAATGACACACAATAACAAACTATGTTTTGGTCACTTCTCCTCATTTTTTCATTGGATTGTGATTGATCTGTGCAAGGTTTCTTGAATTTGAAATAAAACGTTTGAAACAAATGAATCTGTTGTTTTCTTATGAATGTTTCGGTATAAGACTCATTTGTTCTCAATGTTACCTTTGACCTCTGAATATCAATATAATCACTGAAATGAAGAATATAAAATATGATCGTTAATAGACATGATTGTTTAGTATTTGTTTTAATCTGAAAAGGAACCCTTGTCCAGGTGCTGCTGCTCTCTGAAGTCAGGGTGGGAACTTGCAGAAAGTTTGTGTGCATACATTGGGGTCTATAATTAGTTGAGGGGAGGGCTTGAGGGTCACACCTCTGTGGTTTTAGGTATCTTTAGGCTGCCTGACACTATAAAAGACTCACTGACTGACACCTGCTCAGGTACCAGCCAAGGTAAGATCTTTTTGGATCTTTTGATAGTCAGTCAGCATTTTAGGGATAAGATTAATAGTGAATCTTAAAAATGACTTAGACTCTGAAAATTACAGTCACATGCAAATCAACTGATTCATGTTTTGAAAGTTGCTTGCGTTCATATGTTTGGGCTTTTACTGAAAACTCTTGAGTGTTTGCACTTTTCCCTGTTAAAATCATTGTTGTATCTATTATTTATCTCTCCATATCAGAACAGGACTTTGAAACGTCTCCAGACAGCATGTCTCCTCTGCTTTGTCTCCCTCTGCTGGTTGTGCTCCTGCATCCAGCTCTCTGCATCTACAACTGCTCCTCTGTGTATGAGCGCACCCCAGGTTAGCTATCTGTCACTTTAACTGAGCTATAGGTGCTTTTTCCTCCCTACTTAATGCTACAGTATTTATTTGTAAATTTCACACTTGTGTCTTCTTCTCTCTTTAGACAACTCTGACCTGACAGTTGACTGTGGCACAAGTGTGATCACCCTGGAGATTAACCTGTGCACAGCTCAATGGGCCGGCTTCAACACCACAGACCTGGCTCTGAACGGCAACCATAACACTTCAGACTGCCTGGGCACTGTTGACACCAGCGTGGACCCTCCAATCATCCGCTACCAACTTCCTGTTAACCACAGTCAGGATAATCCCTGTCGCCAGTCTCTGCAGGTTAGAAAGTTGCTGCTAGAAGATGCATGATAAAAATTAAAAAAATAAAAGTAAATGGGAAAATTTCCCAATAGTGCTGGTTTCTAGCTGTGAGGTGCATTATTTCCCCTCCTTAGACTCAATCAGCATAAAAGTAATTTACTACAATGGAGGACACCATGTTTGAGAGGAATTATTGGTGTGCAGCTTGAGTTAAAGTTTGACTGATGCCATTGGTTAACCCAAGGGAAGCGGAGAGCACCAAGGCCTCTGAGAGCACAAGGAGCTCCAAAATAATTGACTTTACTTCAGCAAATTCTCACAGCATCCACTCTTTAATAAAGGTTGAGGCAAATTTGGATATATTTCAAATTAAAACATCTTTCTGTTTAATATCATCAGCGAAATCTGCAAATGGTAGCATTTAACCACAAACTAGTCAAAACTGGCTGAAAGCTGTTACCTTTCAGGTTAAAAACTCTTACAGATAAGCGCCTTTAACAAATAGCCAAGTTCTAACTGTGTGTTTTGTTGTGGTGTCCAGATTGTAGATGAGGCCCCGGACCCCACAGGTCCCTTCAGCAGCTTCTCAAGCATCCAGTCAGTAATCATCACAGGGTACATCGACACACCCAGGTCTGACCAGGGACTGATCAGCTACTCTACGGACCTCTACTATCACTTCTCCTGCCGATATCCGCTGGAGTACCTGATCAACAACACAGAGATTGTGGCGTGAGTATTGAGGGATTGATCATTTGATAAGTACGATGCACATGTATCCTTGTATCCTTAATCGACATAGAATAATCTTTTTTTTCCCCATTGTTTTGCAGTTCCTCAGTGTCTGTGGCGACTAGTGATAATAACGGCACCTTTATTGACACTCTGACGATGGGTGTTTATAACGTAAGTACTTGGATCAAACCAATCAGTGAGCCATTTTCACTGTTTTTGACTTTTTTTAACCTAGATGTTTTCCCCTCCAGGACTCTGACTACTTTCACCCATTAGTTGTACCTTCATCAGGACTTGAGCTACGTTCCAGGATCTATGTAGAGGTCAAGGCCGTTAACCTCACCGGAAAGTAAGTGAAGCCACTTTCTCTGTGACCCTTTATCTGGAAGTAGAAACTGAAATTGGAGTGAATGCAGGATGTTTTTAAGTTAAACTCAAACCACTGTCCTGTTGTCCTGTCTTCAGCTTCTATATTCTGCTGGATCACTGCTTCGGTACTCCCACATTGTACAACATGTCCCAGACTGAACAGCACAACTTCTTCCTCGGGTAAAGATATGCATTATTACAGTCAGCATTATCGGCGTTTGAAATGTCTACATATTCTAATTATTCTACTCTCTACTAGCTGCTCAGTGGACCAAAGGACATCTGTGTCCAGCAACGGCCTCTCCAGTATCGCCCGGTTTAACTTTGAGGCCTTCCGCTTTGTTCAACACCGTGACCAGAGCAAGTCGAAGATCTATATCCACTGCATACTGAGACTCTGTGAGCCCACCAAATGTCAAGAGCTGCTCTCTGTAAGTGAACACAAATGCTCCAAAGACACTTCTAGATACAGGATTGCATGGTAATGAGGTTTAAGAGGATGAAAATAGACATAAAAACATAGAAAGACACACTTTATGACACATTTTTTCCAAATTCAGTGAAGGCCTAAATCAAACTAACTCTAAGGGATGTTTTCTAGGCCTGTAATAACAGAAGAAAAAGATCTCTGACTCCTTTTGGAGAAGAAAGCACTGAATCTGCTACTGTTTCAGTTGGACCCATTTACACCGCCAGAGAAGGTGAGACTTAATCAATTAAAAAAAAACAAAAAAAAAAACACCACTGTGAATTATAGTTTACTTTTTTTTGCTGACTTTCTCTTTCTCCTCCTCTGCCAAAGACAGTCAATATTCAGCTGGACAAAGTGAGTATTTTTTTTAAACTCAGATTCATTCATTTATTACAAACGCTTCACATCTTGGAGGATATTACATCTTTGAAAAGGTAATTTTCAACTTCTCCCCCTCCTTCTACCAGGTAACAGTGTGGGATCAGGGATGGAGGACGTGAACGTGACAGGCCTGGTGGTGGGGGTGGTGTTTGGGTCGGCTGCTGCCGCCGTGCTGGTTCTGGGTGGCTGGTTTGCCGTGAAGAAGTTTTATTTTGTGGGAGGGTTACCTCGTGCTTTCAACTGACAGATCTACCTGCAAATCGTCATCACCTCATGCTACGTCATCTGTGAGGGATCTCAATAATAGAACATTGTTGCTCTATTCTTACTGATAGTGTTGCGAGTTACCAGGGACAAATCAGAAGTGTTTGTCAGGTTGCCATAGGAACCATGCAAATAAGGTGTTATCGTATTTTCTGGTTGAATATCACGTTTGTATTCAGAAGTCATCTTTAGGTCCTGAAGGAACTACTACTAAACAACTATTAAAATAGTTAACAGAATACATTCAAGAGCTGAAGTTGCTGTAAAGTTTTCTTTAAATGTATTTACTGTATATATTCTGTAATGACTATTCTGAACAGATATTGAGTCTGCTCTGACCACTGTGTACTTGTATTTGGTTTATCATGTTCAGAATCTGTATTCTATTTCTGTTAAAAATATATTTTTGTGTTTATTAAAGTCTGCAGCATGTCAGCGAAACTTGTTTCTGTGTCATAAACTGATCCAAAATAAAGTTTGATATGACATTGTAGCTGTTTATTTACATCATTCAGACAGCAGTACATCAACAACTTCACTCTATCCAAGCAGCATCTATTTACACGGTGCAGTGAATTCAGACTGACAGGTACGCGTATGTAAACAAAGAATTTCATCCACCCATCCATTTAAAACCATACATTCAGAAGTATTTACAGGATAGCCACTTGGCGTGTGTGAGAATATTAACAAACCAAATTCACGGGGAAGAATACAGGTTGAATGACTCACTTCAGTGGGATTGTAGAGGCAGTTTTTTTTGTTGTTTTCTGTAAAAATGTGTAGTTTTCTTCTTCTACACTGAGTGCAGAATGTCTTGGATCAAAGCAGACAGTTTCACTGAGAAGTCTTCCTGTAAAGAGCTGCCAGACAAGGAGAGAGAGGAAGAGGAAGACACACTGGAGGCCCCCTCCATCTGCAGGTCCTCCTCCAGCCCCTGAAACAGCCTCTCCATGCGCGCCTGAAACACTTCACTCTGCAGGGCTGCATTCTGGCAGAAAAGCTCCAGACTGGCTGTCACTTCTGTCTTGCGTGGATTTGAAGTTTCCAAAAGAGAATCCAGCTCAGTTTTCAGAGCGCTAACTCTAGTCTGTGCCTCCTTTCTTAGGGAACTCACTTCCTGTCCCAACCTGGAGCTCATTTCCTGCCACAGCTCGGACCTCTCCTCCTTCAGATGTTCAATCGCGCTGACTGCTTTCCCCTGAAAGTCACTTATGATTTCAGACACCTTTGAACTGCTGAGCTCCAGAGTTTGGCTCATCCAGTGGAAGGCTTCCTGGTGGAGAGTTGGACTTGCCTCACCTGCTTGGACCTCGGCTGTCTCCAGGCCCTGCAGGTAGAGGCTCAGCTGGCCACACAGATCTTGAGTGTTGCTGCTCAGAGAGCTCTGGAGCTGCTGAGTCAGGGGGGCTAGGCGCTCCCTCATGCTGGCCAAAGTGAAGTCGAGCTGGCTTGGAGATGGGGACAACCTCTCCCGCAGCTCTGCCAGCTCTTGGCGCAGGCGGGCGCGCAGACGCTCGGACTCCATGTTGAGTTTCTGTTGCATCTCCTCTGCAACAGGGTGTTTGTGCTGATTGTCTTGGTTGTACAGGCTGCTGCTGTCTATGTGACTCTTGTAGGTTATTCTGAGGATGAGGGAACGAACTTTAGAGGGTGTGTTGACATAAACTCCTCATGAAAATGTATTTGAGTGTGTTGATGCAGCGGACTTACTCTACATCCTTCAGGAGTTCTGTCTTGTCGTTGGCCTGGTTGACTCTTGGATCAGTCCATGTCACGTCCCTTGTGTCCCGATGGATTGGATACGCTACAGGCAACAACAAAAATGAAAACAAAAACATGTAAAAAAAGGAGAAACTTGCAAAATTATTATGCATTACTTAAGAAGTTTTGTATACCTAGAGTTGTACAGAGAGACAGTGCGAGGATCACAACTTTCGAACACATTTTCATCTTGCTGCAAAAGGGAAAAAACAGATATTTACATTAGACCAATACATGACCGAATGCTGAACACTTTCATAAATTATCTTTAAATCAGGAACAGAAGCAAAGATCAATTTGTAAAGAGGCTGTTGGTCTTTACCAGAGGATCAGAGGTCTACAGGCTGACTAATCCTCAAACTGGACTTATAAAGGTAGTTGTTATCAGAGGGGGCTGCCCCAAACTCTGCCTGTGTCAACAGTCAACACGTGGAGGGTCACAGTGATGACAGAACACAGGATGCATATACTCACACTCACTCACACACACACACACACACACACACACACACACACACACACACACACACACACACACACACACACACACACACACACACACACACACACACACACACACACACACAGAGGAAGTCCACGCCAATAGCGTCCACTGATCATGTAATCAAACAGAATTCTTTCAGGATCGACTCATAGGAATTATTTCAGAGTCCTGTAAGAACCGTGATAAGAAGCATAGTAATGGGATAAGGAGGGGAGAGTTGTGCAATAACAATTTCAGGAGAAAAAAATAGATGCCAACTCAACAACTCTTTCCCAATCTTGATCTGATAATAAAAGAAAAATGGGGTAAAAGTTTATTGGAGCAACCTTACTGAAGTTCAGCTAGTTCAAGTGTGTATGTCCTCAGCCAGATAACAAGTGTGACTTGATTTTCAGGCTTTTACGTCAAAGCTCCCCTTTTCTGTGAACCAGAATGATATGGTTATTGACAGTGAGGTCCCTCGTTTGACCTACAGTGTTTGTTGTTTTTTTTTTCTTTGTGTATTGTCAAAGTTTAAAAGTGGGTTCTTCTGTTTTGTGTGTTTTGAATTAAGAGAGAATTCAGTGTAATCAGCTTTGGATTTCTCCATGAAGACATAATTATGAAGTCTTGTTTTGGATGCATGACAGTCAACAGTTTACTCATCAATGTTTGTGCCGGGGTTCAGGTTGAAGTGGCTCGCAACAGCCAGGGTAAACATGGCTGATTGTGGAAAAACACTGTGTTTATTTGTGTTTGCAACAAATAACAAGATGTCAGTGCGCAGGTCAACTCGAAGGCCCTCACTGTGTTTGTTGATTTTCCTACTTTTTTGGATAAAATGAGTTCCGGTGCGTCTGTTTTTGATCGGACTTGCTGTGGTGTGTTCATGGATGTGATGTGGAGGCTTTTGCAGCAGTGACATGAACATGTGGGTGAAAGTTGAATCCTGCTCAGTTAGGTAAGGAATACGGGACGTCATTAGAGGGTCATAGTCCATGGTTACCATGATGAAATATCTAGGTTATTCCACTTATCCAAAGTCCAACATTTATTTCAATACAATAACAGTAGAACAGGCAAGACCTTGGTTACTGTAAATAAAAACAGGAGAGTTTTCTGCTTTCTATACATGTACAGTTCTTTTTGAGGTGTTAGCAGCTGTATTCACTCAAGAAAGGTAGAAACCTTAACCTTTGCAACCGTGTCAATGTTTTGTTATGATCAGACAGCTCAAAGAAATTTAAGCTATGATAGGCTGGATTTTCTGTTTCATTTTGATTTCATGAAAAGAGTAATAAAATTTCCTTTATTTTGTGCATATGTGTGCAGAGACAGACACCAAATGATTTGTATAGGAGTGAAAGATTTGGATAAAAACCAACTGAAATGTTTATTTTAAGAGGTACAATCATTGGAGAGGCTTTAACCATGATGCAATCCAGGATGTAATTAAGCTTCGGCGCCACTGGATCTGGAATGGAACAACCTTCTTTTGACTACAGGTAGCCTGACTTCTAAACAAGTCAGTTCATTATGGGCTCATACTAACAGGTTAAGTTGAAATTTTTGGCTGCAACAATAAAGTCTATTATAATATAGTATGATATTTTATGTAATATAATATAATATAATATAATATAATATAATATAATATAATATAATATAATATAATATAATATAATATAATATAATATAATATAATATAATACAATACAATGTGATAAAATATAATACAATATAATACAATGTGATAAAATATAATATAATATCATAGAATATGATATAATATAATATAATACAATGTGATAAAATATAATATAATACAATCTGCTGTAGTATAATATAATATAACATAATATAATGTAATGTACTATAATATAATATAATACAATGTGATAAAATATGATATAATATAATGTAATATAATAGAATAGAAGATGATACAATATAATATATGTAAAATAATATAATAAATATAATACAATGTGATGTAGTATAATATAATATAATGCAATGTGATGTAATATAATACAATATAATATAATATAATATAATGTAATGTAATATGGTTTTTCCAGGTGAATTAAACAGGCTTTATGTCAAGTCAACTCCCCTAAAGCAAAGCTGTGTTAAAGTACATCAGCAGCCAAATCATTAATCAGTTTCATGGTGGGATTGAGAAGAACAATACTGTAATGTGATCGGGCAGCAGCAGGCAGCTGTGCTCTCTGTTTGTGCAGCTTTCTCAGGCCTTCCACTCTCGCTGTCACCTTACCTCGCGAGTCTCATAAATCATTCAGAGGGCTGGTGAAAGTTACACAGACTAACTAGCCTGCTACCTAACTCCCTGCTCTGTCTACCTGCAGGCAGATCAGGTCATGTGAGCTGGAGTGCCGCAGACACGAGAGGTTTTATCAAGCCTGCTAGATTTGCTTTCTTGTTGCTAATTAGTCTCTTTGTTAGGTCTGAACCAAGGCAGGATGCTACAACAGTTTTTGCAGGTTTTGATGAAGAAATATAACTTTATTTAGCTTCTTTAGCAGGTGGAATGACTCTGCTAAGGACATGTGGATACAGGAGTGTGATGTGGCTGATGCTCCTCTCTGTGGTTTATGGGAACAACATGAGTCAACACTTCCAGGAGGGGCAGTCCTGCCGGCCAGGTAGGCTGTCCTGACTGCGTACAAGTATCTTTATATGGCAAGAAAAGTAAACCTGCATTTGTTGTAAACTATTAGACTTTTCATGTTTCCCATGTTTTGGTTTGTTCCTCTCCTGGAGACAGTTATAGGCACCTGTTGCATTAAAGTTTGCAGCTCTTAAACCTGGGTGTTTAATCCTCATCAGTGGTGACAGTATCATCTTTTTTCCCTGATAGGATTTTACTGTCCTTTGGGAAGCTTTTCTCCAATCCCCTGTCCAAAAGGAACCTACAGGCCCTCTGCTGGTGCTGCGTCTGTAGACAGCTGTTTAAAGTGTCCTCCTGAGCACTACTGTCCTCGCCCGGGCCTGTCTGCCTGTCTGCCCTGTGGCCCTGAGGCTCAGCAGCCTCTTACCGGTCAGGACACGTGTGTTTGCCTGGGAGAAGGACAGCATTTTCAGGTGACAGGCTTTTTTTTTTCTTTTGCAGCAGGATCGACCTAGTATGAGAATGTTTGTGTGGACATGTAGTCCTGGCTTTTATATTGACATTTCCCATTGTACCAGTCACCTACTTTTTTTCTGTAATCTCGTGAGCTGAGTCATTATTCTATATACGCTCATAAAGGACAACTCTAATATCTCACGCACATGATTTTTGTATACAGAAATACGAGAGTGGCTTCTTTGGGAAACTTTGTACAGAACAATCTCTAGCTCCAGGCTGAAAGTGGAGGATCAGGTTCCCTCGCTGAAGTATACAGTTTCCTTCTCTGTGACTGCCTGCATGGGTGTTGAGCCCTCCACTCAACATTAGAATAAGGAGAGTGAGATTTTTCTGGCTGTTGCATAGGGAGAAGAAAAGGAAGTCAGAAGCGGAACAAACAAAAAAAGACAGGAAGATGAACTTGATTGAAGTAAGAGAGGGAGGAAATGGGTCAATGCAGTAAAGAACTTAAACCACCACATCTTAAATCAGCTGCTTTCTACAACAAAAGCCAACAAAAAGCCACAAAGAAAGATGCGACAATCAAAAAGGGGACAATCAAAAAGAGGGAAACTATAGAGATAGAGTAAGAAGGGGAAAAAGAAAGGGGTTTTTTGTTTGATCATCAAGTACAAAATTACTGATTCAATATGAAAATCTGTCAGACATATATCTTTAAATATCTATGACATAGGGTGTTTGGGATGTCTGCGATTTGTCTGAGAATAAATTGATCAGTATTAATTGATGAGCCATTTACAAGTTAATGTTGTACAATAATTTTGTAAACATGTACCAAACATTGCAATTTGCTTGAACAAATAAAAACATTTTAATTCGCCATGAATGACAAACTAACTGTTCAGAGATAGAGGGTGCTGTTTTTTCAGAAATAAGCCCAAGAGAATGAGAACCTTTGACCCCACCTTAACATTTTGTTTTTATCTTGAGTTATAATTTTGATATTGATTATTACATGATTAGTTTACATGAACCTGATATACTTTCCATTATGTTAACATAAGAATAAGAATAACTTTATTGATCCCTGAAGGGAAATTCAATTGTCTGTTGTCTCATTTGTTATGTCAATCTAAAACATGTCACCCAGTCCAATAACTTTCACTTAACTTGTCACTTCCAACACAATATTGTGAGCTTCCTTCCTTTCTCTAGTTTGTATACTAAATTTGTAAGACACTGTCATTGCTTTCTTTTCTTTTATCTGTAAAAGGATTTTCCAGGCTCGAGAGTTAATACTTTACAAAAAATTCTGATTCAAAAGTCAACATTACAGCATTCTTTATGTTAAGATTTTGACTAACTGCTCAGGTTTGCCACACAAAATCACATGTAGGATGACTTTGCAGTAACTTAGCGTTTCTCAGGTATCCTGTTTTGCGCACTTTTTTAAGCATGGCAGTGAAAAGGTTTTCAGTAAAATAGTAAACACTACAGAGATGCAGAAGAAGCAAAGAAGCAGAGTGATATGGTCATTATACAACAGTCAGGAAGCGTGTTTCTACATACATGTAAATGCAAATAGAGAAAGTTAAAAATGAGCTAAAACTATTAAGAAAAAAATAGATCAATGAAGAAAGAACAGAGAAGGATGGAATCACAGAAGGAAAGGAAAAGGGGGAAGGAAAGAGGAGAGGAATGAAAGAAAGATACAAGGAGTCAAAGAAGGAAAAGGAAACAAGGAAAGAAGTGAGAAGGTAGGATAGCTAGACAGACGGACAGACGGACGGACAGACGGACAGACGGACAGACAGACAGACAGACAGACAGACAGACAGACAGACAGACAGACAGACAGACAGACAGGCAGACTATGTTCAGGCTATAAATGGATGACCAAACTTGCACATTAGGTAACACTGTGACCACTGAGTGAACTGTTGGTGGAGTTATACAACTCCCTGCGTGAACCCTCTTGCCTCTCCTGCAGACCAGCGACGGGCAGTGCCAGTGTGTCCTCGGCTACCGGCTCGCCAACAATGGAGATGCATGTTTACACAAACTGTATGATGCCTGCAGAGATGGGAAAACTCGCACCCAGTATGGAGACTGTCTGGATAAACACCAGTGGTCCCTTCACTGCAAGGAGCAGGTTAGGCCTTTCGCTATAGCAACAGGCACGTGCATCCTATAGACAAGACATAACAAGAAACTCACACAGAAGATCTGTTTGAGTGAACTGATACAACTCGACAATCGGAGGTACAGCTAATGACTATGACCCAGGTGTCTTTGCCCTTTCCTCCATGAACCTCAGTGGTTTTATCTGGTACAGACTTGTATCAGTCACACTTAATGTTTAACTATGAAGGGCTTCCTCTAACTGTTTGTTAGAAAGGACTTCAACTCACTTTTTTCCATGCTGTGTTTATTTTTGTCTCTGCCCTCCACTGGTACAAATGACCTTACACCTAGTTACACACTTAAAAAAGATAAGCTTTAAAGAAACACATCCATGCAAATAATATCTATAGCGCCTTCTTAGCTTTGCATTGGTTATTTTCATACAGGTGTGTCGGTCTGCAGAAGACTACAGAGGGTATGATGTAGAGCTGGGCCTGTGTATCTGCAGAGAGCCTCCTGGAAGAGCTGCATGTGGGGGCCTATGTAGTACAAGACCAGCTACTCAGCTGCAGCTCCGATGTGGGTCTAATGGTGAAATTGAGTTGGTGTTGAGCTATGACAACCAGGTGAGCATACAGTATGGATAAACAAAGAGCATATGCAAGTGTATGATAAAAAGATAAAGTAAAGTTAACATTCATTTTTAGTACTTTGATTTCTATAGAGTTGTTGCACAGACTGTTTTTGAAGGCTTGCATTGGGTCTCGTGTTGCAGTGACCTATTCATAGAAAACACAGTTATTGTGTGTGTGCAGGTGTCAGCCATATCAGGCAGCCTGGTGGAGATGCTTTTCAAACAGTGGGACTCCCAGGGGACTCTCCAGTGCAATAGCCAACACAACTCATCACGCCCTGTGTATATTGTTCTGGCAACAGGTTAGACACACACACACGCACACTTGACTGAAAACACACAATTTCTGAGATGGTCTGTCTGGCCCTACATCTCTTAGACTGTTTTGCGTATCTCATCTTCTCCTCTGCAGAGACAGGATTTCTGGGTATGTTTAACAGCCTCCCGGAGGAGCTTCAGCAACTGTTTCCTGTCGTTCAAAGCTCAGCTGGTTTGTCACAATCTAACGATATTCCTACAGAATAAAGACAGGATAAAGATGTCTTGGCAACACTTTATTTGACGCCTATCTCTATAACACATCATAAATATATTAATAATGCATTATAATCATGTTATAGCACTGTATAACTATAGTTATAAACACTCATAAATGATCATAATGCTTTATAGCAATAATCATAACACATTATAAAGCATTTTATCATGACTTACAAGGTCAGGTATTATAATGTGTTATAACTGTGACCAACAGTTGCATTGCATTATCTATGTAGGCATTGTCAGTGAGTTGTTAACAGTCATGATAAAATGCTTTATAATGTGTTTTGATTATTGCTATAAAGCATTATGATCATTTATGAGTGTTTATAACTATAGTTTCACAGTGCTATAATACATTATATATATTTATAACGCATTATAGAGATAGGTGACAAATAAAGTGTTACTGATGTCTTAATGCGTTTCCATCTTTATAGCCAAATCACCATAGCAACAGTGGACATCCCAAAGCATTTCAGGATGATGTTTATAATCAGTTTCAAACAATTAATCTAAACAGTAATGGAGATCCTGTTTTACTTGTTTTAGGAAGTGATTCTAGTATTATCTGGGATTTCAATGAAGTTGAAAGTATAAGCCATGGAAGAGAGAGCAATTTCAGTGGAAGAAAAGGAAACAAGGGAGACATAAGCGAGAGAAGTGAAACAGGAGTTCTGAACCCCACAACATGTCTCCATCTGGGTGATATTTTGCTCTTCACTGTTGACACACGTCACTATCCTCAGTATGATCTGTGAGTCTAATAATGTGTGCTCAAGTCTAAATGTAAGCTTAACGTTAGGTATATTTTGATCAAAATTCATTCCCGCCCTTGTGTCTTCCAGCGATAACTTATACAACACAAACAGCGACTTCGACTGGGGGGCGTTCAGAAAGCTGGAGGAGGAGCTGACTCTGTCCTGGACTCCCCCCAGCTTCTTCTCAGTGGTCTTTACCCAACCTGGGGTTTATGTTTTTACACTGAGCAGCCACCAGCACAAACATATGGTGACTAAATTAACCTTTTAATGCCTTTTGTATCATATTTGATACATACCTTTATATACTTCTATCAAATCAATATGATCAACAAGATACTAAAAAAAAAACACCTGAATACAGTCCGATAAATGATAAAAATATCCTCTTGTGGTTTATTAGTTTCCAAAAACATCTAATATCAAACGAGATAAATAAATATATTTGTTAAATTTTAAGGACATTTTGATTTTTTTGGTTTTCAGTAGTAAGTGAAATAAACATTTCAGCTGGTGTCAGGCATTAAAGGGCTACAGAACTAATACAGGCTTAAAAATACAATTTAATACAGACAAACCATGAGTTGTTTCCTCATAATGTATGCTATTTAAATTTGTTTTTTTGCGCTCAGTATGTGCGGGTGATGCCTGCAGGGGGCCAGTGTTATGAACCAGGCCCCTTCTTCCCCACACTTCCTCGTTATATGACTAGAATGGGAATCAGCAGGAGGCGCAACCTGCTACTGAGGCCTGACTGGCTGGTGACTGGAGGACTGGTGTTTGGAGCTGTTGTTATCCTCTGCATATGTGTCACACTTTTGGTCAGTGCGAATACACAAACTCATATTATCACATTTAAAGTATATCTAAAAAAACATAGCCATCCATCCCATGTGTAGATCCTGTTCCGTGAATATGGATGGCCTGAGAAGGAGCCAATCAGAGCGCGGTACCGCTTGCTGCAGTCAGCCTATCACATGGACGACTACTCATCAAAAGGTTCAAGGGTGGTCTCAATCAGGAAGACTCATCGAAACCAACAAGCTCGAATGACTCAAGGCTCCATTCAACCAGGTGCACCACACACACACACACACACACACACACACACACACACACACACACACACACACACACACACACACACACACACACACACACACACACACACACCTTCCCACCAAAGCTTATTCATTTGAAAGCCTAAAGGCCAGCATGTTACATAACTAACATTCAAACATAATCTGCAACACGCCAACGAATGCCACACACACACTACATATCCACAGAAACACCCTGCTGACTCTTTGTTGGTCTCTGAGACCCCGGCTTACTCTTATGTAACACTGACACTGACCCCTGGGCGTTTCTCCCACCTGACCAATTACAGTTGAAAAGGCTGCTGTCATACACCTGACATCACGTGCAGGTAAAATGGAAACAGTCCAAATGTCACAGGACTCAGGAAATCACCTCAAATGACATAATCCTGCGATAACATTTTACGATGGCGGTTGTTGCCATAATCCATTTGGTGTTGTGTATCATATTATTTTTCCATACTGCCCAAAAAAAGACACAAACTGATTTTAACACTCAGGAACACACAAAAAATTAAGATTCATCTGGGTTTGTTATTGTGATTGACAGTCAACTACACTCCCTTTTAAAAACCCACTCAAGGGAGCAGGAAATAGATCTAACATTTGACTCACCTCTCGCCCTGTCTCTTTGTCACCCTCTTTATGACAGTCTGCACTGAGACCAGTGATGAATTCTGGGATTATGAACATCAGGTGGATCTGGAGGCGTTCAGCAGCAACACCTTTTATAGCCTCCTTCTCAAGCAGAGTCTATCTGTTACCACACGACTGGGACAGCTCACCACTGAGGTCCTTATTCCTAATTTTGGTGCATTTTCAATGTAAAATAAGTAAATGTGTGTAAAGATGAACATATTCGTCTCTTTGTCCAAAACACAAACTACAGTTTATGAATTATAGACGATGCCAGAGGCCTCCTGGAACAGTTAAGACACTGTGATGTTCATTTATAACACCAAAATCACTTCGGATAAATGCAGACTTGTTGTTACACTGCTCTAGCGACAAAGATGTGAGGAGAGATGGCACATCTTAGTTACCTGTGCCATAACATTTTTGCAGTCCCAGCAGTAGTAGTTGTAGTCTAGCTGGCAGCATTTGGGTGGAGTCGGGTGTATGGTCTGATTTATACTGTCAGATAGATGTTTGATTACATGTGTGTGTCTGTGTGAGTCCAGGTGAAGGAGCTCTACCAAGGAGTGCTCGGGAAACTGCAGGTGCTCCACCCACGCATGATCACAGAGGAAAGGATGGGGGAGAGTAATGACAGCATGAGGAGAGAGGTGGAGAGGGAGGTGGTACGACGAAAGACCCTGGCCTCACAGCTTGTGACTCTGCTTGACAGTCAGCTACAGGTTCTCAGCCGTACATCTCCATTATCCCTTTGAAAAACACACAAAAAATCTACATTACATGATCATTTTCAGTATTTTTAAGCATTTCTTGCTTTAAATGTAACCTAATAACTCATGCTTGTAAAATATGCTGTATTGGTCAGTTATTTCTCATTTCATATGCACAAAAATCAGAATTATGCACACGATTCTGAAACTTCAAACTTTTGTTTCAACAACACAACAACACAATTCCACTATTCTCACATAAATATCACTCGATCAAACAGTGAATCAGTCCTCATTTATACAGCACCATTTCACAGCAAACAGAACCGACAAAAAAAGCTAGTCCAGACGATACTCTTCATTTATGTTACCAAACACTCAACACCAAGATGGGATAAGACCGAGCCCCATCTTGCGAGACCAGACCCCATCTTTATCTACCAAGAGTGTAGCACACAGTATAGGGACACAGTTACAGGCAGAAAACCTGAGCAGAACCAGACTCATGATTGCTGATTCAGTGTTGGGATTAGAGAGGGGATAGAGTGAGATACAGAGATAGAGAGACACACAATAATGACAAAAGTACATACAGACTATCAAAATAATGAAATCAACATGTTTACTATTTATAAAAACAGTGTGTTTATGATAATAGTCTGTAGCAGTAATAGTACTTGTAATGATGAAGGTTAGGTAAAAAGTGGAGGTTGGAATTTGATCAGTTGAAGCAGAAAGATTAAAAAATTATATGGAAACAATGAGACTAATGCATTTAGTTGAAACAGCAGGAAGGAAGGGAGGTCACAGCAGCAAGATATTATCATACATCTATTATTATTCTAAACCCCAGATTTGCAATTATTTGAGTCAGTTTTTCTTATTTGTGCAGGTTTTGAGGCGAGAGCAGCAGGCTCAGCTGAGAGTCTACAGTGCATTCACATCCCAGCTGAGAGAGTACATGAGACTGCTGTCCAAGCTTCATACCAGCGCACAGCCACCCTGTGAGCCACAACAACAAAAGTAAAACTTCCATCCACTCTTTCACAGATGCCACAAATAACAAAAGGTCTCAGTTAATCCCCCTTCATTCTCATCTTCATCATTTTCAGTTTGATCCAGAGACTAACTTCCCTGGTGGATGAGATGGGAGAGCTAACATCAGCAGAGTGTCAGCGTCAGGGTGCCTGGGGGCTCCTGGGTGAGGGCACAGGGGCCAAGCTGCTCTGCCCAGACACTGGAACAGTTCTGACCAAAAACCACATCTTTGGTGAGGCCAGCACTTCTAAATTACATTTACCAAACCTCTTTAGTCTGAATCTTGGAGACACAGCACCATCTGCTGCTAGAAATACATACTGCAACCATAAGAGAGCTGGAGTAAGAGAAGGAAATGGCACCTTTACAAGCCAGGTGCCTTGTAGTTGACTTAAAAAAAGGAATAAAGGTTTTTAAGTACAGATAATATTCGATGGAAAGGTGACACGTGTACTTTAATTATAAAAATGACAAGTTTACTCTTGAACTGCATTTTTATACCTCCTCAATCTTCCCAAGAAGAAAATCACATTAGAGTAAGCTCTTCGCATGATGTTTGACCACACTTCTATATTAAAACAGCTGAAACAATCAAAGATATCTGTATTTTGAAGGTCCCTTTTGTTCACTCCTACATCCTTTTCTTCACTCCAGGTCCTGATGGGTCCCTCCGCGCCTGTCAGGCTCTTCATTATGATTCAGTTACAGGCCTAATAAGGCCAAACACCCACAGCCACATGCTGCTGAACAGCAGCCACACCATGGCAGTTCCCCCTGAATTCTTTCTTCACCCTCAGACTGGGAGGGTCATGCCCATCGCTGGCAACGTCTCATACGATCCTGCAAGCTCCACTTTAGTGCTCACAACTGACACATGTACAGGTAACATGGAGGGTTATAAATAAAATAGTGTATAAAATAATATATAATAATAATATTTTTTTTGGATTAACCCGTGTTTTCTTCCATATTCAGGAGACAACAGGACGTGGGACAGTCCTCTCCTTTCTTTCATCCCCTACCCAACCTCCCGACACTCAGACCAGCCTCTGTCCAGCACTCGGCTCAGAGGACTCAGACCAGGCCAGAGACTGCAGCTCGGTGCAACCATGGCAGACCCAGACACTGGGGTCCCGGTGCCTATTCTTGCTGTAACAATTCACCCACAATCTGGACTAGTTTACCCACTAGGAGGGGTGCATGTCTGTCCCGTCACCCGTTTACAGCAGCCCATACAGATCGGCTATCCCATGTTGGACTCCAGGACAGGGAATCTGGTGCTCACTGTTGGGGTCAGTCTTGATCCAGTAACAGGTCAGTACAGGAGATTCTTCATCACGCCCTGTTTTGATTATCACCATGAGCGTGTTTGTTCTGTTCTGCGTTTTTTCAGGAGGTGTGCTGCCAGTAGGAGGAGTTCTGTTGGGTGAGTCCTTCATTGAACCCCTGAGTGGGCGAATGATGAAGGTAGGAGGGGCCAGCACAAGAGCCGGGGTGCTATTACCTAATGCAGGAGGGTACCAAGCTTTGCTAGACACTAAGGTACTTTATATTGCTTTTTGAAAATTGATTTTGACATGTTCAGATACATTTTATTATTTATTTCAAGGATGATAACTTCACTGCTTATCCCCTGTATGTAATTGTTCCATCTGTTTAGACTGAAACAGAACTTGTTGAACTCATAATTCTACTTTGCAGCTTCACTTTTTTGCACGAAACAGATAATATCTGATTCACTGATGTAGTTTTTCTCTAATAAAGAATTTCCTTCCATAGGTCCTGGCAGTGATGTTTAAAGTATTGGCCCTTCTGAAGCCACTAACTGAAGAGTGGGGATCAGACCCCGCTCTGCAGCGGTGTCAGAGCAGTGAGAGAGGAAGTGGTCAACCTGATCATCTTCTTGCTGCAGCCAAGGAGATCCAGCAGGCCTGGCGAAAGAGTCTGCACTGCCAGCTGCAGCTGCAGACCAGGTTAGAAATCCTGCTGGACTGGGCTGTGGATCTCCAGCAACATGGAGGGGCTCTGGGTGGGTAAATGCACTCAAGAAACCACATTGTCTTTTTTATTTATCCCCCACTCAGTACTCCGTGTTATGGGAAATGCTATCTTGTATTCTGTCTTCCACTTTGCATAAAATTATCCTAATTTTGTAAAGTTCATTAGCCTCAAGGAGATCATGTTTTTACCTCACAGATTTCATTTATGACCTTTCTGCATCGTTCTCCCTAGAAATGAAGCATGTGACCCAATTATCCCTCACTACAAAGGCACAAATCCTTATTCTTTCTGTTATACCATATGTTACTCTGACCCAGGTGTATTAAGCTCTCTTGGATAAAGCTATTAAATCCATTGACTTTGGGTATAATTCCTGAGTCATCGGCCTGTAATATTACCTTTTTGTATCATAAAGTATTAAGTTTATTACAAGGTTCAGTTTTAAATTTTACAAGTGACCCTGTCAAATGACCTTAACACTGACATTACATTGTTACCTTATTCTGTTGTTGTCTTAGTTCATAATTCGTCAATAATCTAATGTTGGTACAGAAGTATTGTACCTTTACTGGTGGCTGTATTTCTACACATCTGTCATATCTGCCATCATGAATTTGCTTCACTGTCTAATTTTTGCTCCTGCACCTTTATAATCCTGTGTGCTGGCGCAACAGCTTATTAGTTTTGCTTCTTACATCATATAATGCGATTTACCAAATGTACTGTTCATCAACGATCCTCTGTCATGACTGTTTCTGTGTTTATTTTTACATTGACCTTTATTCTATAGTTGTTATTGACTCTCAAGCACTTCTACACTTCAATTTTGCGCCTCTTTCGAGTTTATCTAACTTGTGCTTGTATTACAGCCCCAAAGAATTGGAGGAATACTTGACAAAATAAATGTTTACCATTCTGTCAGCTCAGTTTCCTCTAATCTAACCTCGGACTTGTCCTGTGCTGCTTTGTCTAGGTGAGATGCCTCTCACAGGCTCAGATATATGTGTACCTGCATTGCTCGGGTTCGAGTACCCTGACCCTATGGGGTCTGGTCTCAGTGTACCTGTGCTGGGATGTCACACTGACCTTGTTTCTGGGATGGTGATACCATTGGCAGGAACCATGGAGGACCCAGATGGAAAAGGTGCTTGAAAATAACAAGTTTCATGCTCACTGGGTACTTCTGTCAGCCTACAAATTTGAGTTCACCTCTGTCTGTGCTGCATTTCAAAGGCCTGGTAGCTATCCGCTATGGATCTCAGACTGTGGATCCAGTGACAGGACTGTTGGCCCCGGTTGTTGGAGCTAGGCTTGATGCATCCAGAAAAACTGTTGTTCCTGTCACAGCTTCCTACTGGCAAATGATACTAGATCAAAATGACAGTCAACAGGTGAGAAAGCTAATGAAATGTATACCTAATAAAAAACTACATAAACTACAGAAACTCACTCTTGCAGCTTTTTGTCTGGCTGCATTGACAAAGAATATCATGAAACTAACTTTTCTTTGCCGCTGTTGTGTGTCAGTTAGAGGCGCTGCAGAGAGAGGTGTGTGCGAGAAACACTTTCTGGCAGCAGCAGAGGCAGCGAGAGGAAGATATCCTGTCAGATCTTGACTCAACTCTGTCCCATTATCTCTCTAAAGCCACAGAGGCAACCGTGAATAAGGTCAGCTAGAGTTTTGACTATAAATATCATTGCATAGCTTCACCTCGAACTGAGTCTGTGGTATTTTTCTGTAAATGTTAGCGGTAACTGCATTGATGAGAAATTCAACCAAAGCCTGTCCCAGCAGATGTGAATTGAAAGTTAACAAGTTTGTAATGAGGTTTTTGTGGGCGAACTGCACAGTTGAACACTATGACTGCATGTGCTTAGCACACAGTGCTTTTGTGTCTTAAATTGAGTATGCAAGTTTGCCTACACTTTTTCCATTTTCCGAATGTAAGCATGTGCTCTGCTGTAGGTGCAGTGGTCAGGGAGGCAGCTTAGGGAAGCAGCTGTGGAGCTGCAGGATTCAGCACAGTCCGAGACCCAAAGGAGAGCAGCTCAGCAATCGCACTTGGCTCTGATCTTGCCTCCGCATGTATTACACATCCTCACACTGGGTAAAATTGGCTGGCAAGCTTGCAGAAAAGCATGAAGGAAGTTACACCCGTGACCTGCATTATGCTTTTGTTCATTTCTCTCTGGAGGAGAGAGACACATGCTGCCAGTGGCTCCTATCACACACCCCCAGTTGCACAGCAATTTGCATAATTTCAGTATTTTGTTTTGGCTGGTAGAGTTTCTTCGTGTGTCTCTGTCTGTCTGTTTAGGTGATGAAGAGGAGTGGGATCAGCAGCGTGTTTTTCACTCAGAGCTCATATCAGGCCTGGAGAAGGTGGATGTGTGCATGGAGCAGCTGCAGCAGGACCAAGAAAAGTGGGCAACGCAGGGACACAGCCAGAATCCAGCTCTCCATACTACGGTCTAAATAATGGCTCTGTAGTCTATTTTTGTCCCTGTGGTTAAATGGAGGACTGACATAGCTGGTTTTAATGTCCATCCTCCGCTCAGAGGAAATGTATCAGTCTCATGACGCTATAGGGAGCTTTGAATGTCCAGTAATTAAACTTTAATGTGAGCTTTGAGCTGTGAGGTACAATTCCAAGCATCTTTGTCCTAATGTAAATAAGAACTTTATGCTTTCTTTATCTGTCCTCCAGGATACAGACATGAGGCAGAGAGAATTATGGGAGCAGTTTTGCTCTGTACAGACAGAGTTGGAGGCTGCTGTTGATGTGCTGCGGTGTGCCAGACACTTCTCTCAGCTCCGTTCTGACACTGCTCAGGTCAAACCACACACTCGAACATAATAAAATTTAAAATATGATCCAAGGAAGTTTTTCCTTTTCATTTTTAACTCTTAACATCAGCACTCAGTTGAAGAAATTTCAAGCTAATGGTGCTTCACTGTTTGATTATAGAGGGTTGCTGAGAATGGGAGAAATGTTGTTTTTCTGGGCTGCATATTTCTGCTTGTCTTTTTTAGGCGGTGGTGTGTGGGGACTTTTGGTACAGAGAGTATGGTCTGGTTCAGTGTAGTGTGCACAGACACCACGTGAAGCTTGTGGGTTTGCTCCGGCAGAGGGCTTTTCCTCTGCTGCAAAGACTAAACCAGGTCCTGGAGGACAAACAGCCTGCCAGCTTCTCCCCCAACACCTGCTATCAGTTTGTCTCTGGTCAGTAACAAATGCGAGTAATACATCTACAGCATGACAGGGGGCACTAAAGCATGTTAGAGGGCTGGCATAATGATTTACAGTCCATATTTTTTGGAATAAAGCTCAGCTGCTCACTGATAATGACATTTTTGATATAGCTAGTAAACTGTGCTTTGATTTACAGAGTTGGAGGTTTCTGTTCGGCGGCCCAGAAGTTTAAGTGTTTACACTGTTAGAGGACCTGTGAAATCAGTCTTATGAACACATTGTTTACATTTACAACTCTTATGAAGTGTCAAAGGTTCAAAGCTGGTGACTGCTGCAGTTTTATCAGATATGGAACAAGAAGAGACTGCAACTTTGCTAACAGCCCTCTATACAAGAACGGCCATGGGTTTTTTCTTTTTATATGCACCATTTTCTCGTAAAAACAACTTATTATCTCGCTCTTTCGATAAAACAAAGTTCGTTTCCCTGTGATGATAAATTGTTTTGCAGACCTAAAATGGTAACTTTTAAAAACAAGTGGGATATTTCTGAAAACCCTGCTGTTCACAGCAAGCTGGGTTTTCAATGAAAATGCCGACGTCACACTCCACACATGCAAATTACACTTTCATTGTGGGAGCATTTAACTGCCTTGTGCAAAATTGGATTACAACAGGCGGACACATTATTAATTAATTTGTCATCACGAGAAAACAAACTTTGTTATATCGAGATAATGAGATAATAAGTCGTTATCATGAGATAACAGTGCATAAGAAAAAGAAAAGCCCATGGCCGTTCTCATCTTCGGTACATCTTAGCTATCTGGTTTGATTTCTGTTTTCAGGTTCATCAACAAAGCAGGTCCACAGGTTAGAGACAGCCTCACGTGTGTGGACAACTTCTCTGCCTGTGGTGAAAGGTTTGTGTTTTTTAAGCCTCCTGAGCTCTGGCTACATTCCTGTATTTGTGTAGATAGAGTGTGGTAAATATGAGTCAGTAAAGTATATTCATTGCGAAAAAAATAAGAACAGGATGTTCAAAAAAACACTGGGGAAATTTCCCAGTAGCCTAAGCCTGTAGTTACATAAAAAGGGACTGGCCTAAAGTACCTGATCCAGCCCTCACTCTCAGCTTTAACAACAACAAAGACAGTTTAAGCCAATTTTGTGTCCGAAGAAGAGCCTGGTTATTGATTCATAAAAATAACATATCTGTACAGCTGCTTGAGGAAACAGTGTCTTGCCTGATAAGTGTCTTGGTGTCCAGTTTGTGATCCTTTGACAGTCCTTGACAGTTTCTGTCTCTGAAGGCAACTCCACCCAGTCCCTCAGAGAGAGCCTGCCAATTTAGCCCAGTCCAGGGAAACAGGTCTGCAGGCCAGCTCAGCACCAACACACAACTCACAGAGATGCACCACATCGTCTGGCGTTCACTCCCAGGGTGAGACTGAGAAGAAATTGTACAACAGTGGTGTATTTAAGACAGTTTTCACTCCGTGTTGCTCTGCTTCTCTGATGCGTGAGAGAGCTAAGTTTTAACCTGTTCATTCTCACAGACACAGACATTGTTTTTACTACAATCTTTACCTCTAAAGGAACAGTGAGACATTTTGTGAAACATTTTGCCCTCCTTCTAGCTTAATGCATTTATAAGAAGAGGCAGTACTTCCACTTTCAACCATTTAATATACAGCTAAAGCTGGATGCTAGTTGCGTCATAAAGTCTAAGATAAGAAGGATAAGAAAAGTTGTGGTTTCAAAAAAGTTCCTGACCTGAGGCGGTAACCTTCTGCTTTCTGCGAAAAAACTTTTGTAATTGGGAGCTGGAAGGCAACTAGGGCCTCAGGAAGTCACTACACTTTACAAAGAAAAAGCCCTGCATACTGAGCAACATATTTTAAACCACAGCTGAGCTTTACCAATTCTGTGGGTTGTGTAAAAGTTGTGTACAGCAGGCTTCCCTTTTTTCACTTGCTGTGCTGAACCGTACTCCCCTGCTACTGGTGCTATAATCAACGGTTAGATTTCAGAAGGGTCTTCAACTTTTGCCAAGAAAACAAAAGTAAACAAGAGAACATTAAACACTTTTCTAATCTTGATTTTCTGTCAGAGAGCCAGCCGATGAAAGAGCCTATACACACCAGTATTTCTCTACCCAAGATCCCAGGTAACATCAATATGTGAAATAATACATAGTTAAAATATGTTACACGTTGCATGAAATATTATCTTTATCCATACTGATTTTATTCTCCAGAGGAAGAGTGGAACAAGCTGCTGGAACTCTCCCCTCTGTTTCATCTGTTAAAGGGTGTAGAACAGCAGCTGAAGAGCTGGGCCAGAGGGGCAAAGCTGTTCAGAGGAGAGCTCAGTGGTAATGTATTGATTCCAATTTTGTTGAACATTTACTTTAAAACTGATTTCCTACACTTAGGGTCTTCAATCTGTAAGATGCACTTGCATTGCCTTTATGTTTTATCCAGTCTTAAAGGGATATTCCACCGTAAAATTACGTTAGGGTCAAAAACATGGTAACACCGGGTTAGACACCCCCGTCAAGAGATGAATGTTGCTGACTGCTTGCTTTTCTAGTTATACCAACTTTAGTAACGACCGAACAATAGCAATAATGCTCAGGACAGCACCTAACTTCATCAACAGTACATATAGGGTCTCAGCCACAGCACTAGCCACCAAACATCTTTTTAACTTTGCCTAATTTCTTTAGCAAAGAGACTAAACACAACTCACCTACTTTACTCCAGCAGCCGCTTATTTGTACTGAGACCTCCGGGCGAGTCTGTCAACTGCAGCGGGGGGATGCAGCTCAAGGAAGAACATTTATGGTCATTATGTTATCATTTCCTTGAAGTAATAACCATCATATTAATCATTTTGCTCTGCAGACACCGTAGTTCTTATGCTTTCACGTCTCTGTCTGATTGCGTTTCCATGAGGAAATGATCATAAATGTTCTTCCTTGAGCTGCGTCACCCCGCTGCAGTCCATAATGGACTGGCCTGAGGTCTCGCTACAAACAAGCAGCTGCTGGAGGAGAGTGGGTGAGTTGTGTTTAGTCTCTTTGCTAAAGAAATTAGGCAAAGTTAAAAAGATGTTTGGTGGCTAGTGCTATGGCTGAGACCCTATATGTACTGTTGATGAAGTTAGGTGCTGTTCTGAGCATTATTTGTGGCTATAGAGTGGCTTTTTGGTTGAGTGCGTGGCTCTCTGTATTGCTATCTGCGGCTGTTAATTTTACGCAGGAATATCCCTTTAACATCTAAAGAGCCTTGATAAAAACCTGATAGATGACACTTTAATGAAACTCAGTCACTCGGGCATTTGTTGGTTTGTTTGGCTTCAGAGGCTCAGGATAGTATTAAAATAATCTCTTTCGATTGGTCCCGTGCCTCTGTGACGTATATTTCATCCAAATTCTGATTCTGTGTTTTGTGCAGACAGAAGCCAGAGTTTTGTTGACATCCTTGAAGCTCAGTGGGAGTGCGAGGGAGAGCTGATTCCTCTGGATTCGTCAGCCCTTAACCCAAGAGAGTTCCTTGTCTACCAACACGGACTTTATCTGATGCACACGTTGCATAATTTAAAACTGGTTGGTGCCAAATTTTTACTCCTACTCTCAACCCCGCCGCTTGCCTGTTTTTTAAATTGCTCTCACAGCTGGATTTTAGGGCTTTGAGTGACATGGCCCTGAGCTATCTTTTTCATTTTTATATTTTACTTGTGAGTCTATGTGCAGCATGAATTACAGAATAACTTCCAACTCATTTTCAGTTTCATGCCTCACACTGGCCCAACTTAGATCACAATCTTTTGTTGTAGCAATATTAGGGTTTTGACGAGGATGAAAAGAAAAAAATGTATGTATAGCCCGTGACTGAGGGTGAGCAAAGTAATCAAAACTATCAACAGACTCCTCCTCATTTGCACAATTCCTAACTTCTGGTTTAGGGTTCTGCTTCTGAGCTGCTGCCTCTTTAATCAGTTCCTGAATAGACTGTGCTCTCCCTTTCACACTTTCTCCAGTTTCCCTGGACTCAAAAAAAAAAACACATTTTGACTTAACCAATTAAAATACTTTCAATTGCAAAATACGCAGGCTGATTTCATATTACTTTCATCCTATTCCCCTTTTAATTGTGGGTTTTGTGTATCATACTTGAAATGACAAAAAATATTACGGGTCTCTAATATTGTTTGGACAAAGACAGTGGTTATATTGGAACTAATGCTTGCTTGTTCACTCACTCTGTTACAACAGCTCACCTGTTTTGGCCATACTGACAAGTGAAATCCTCCCGTCTCTGTTGGCTCCTGGCTCAGCTTCTGACACTCACTACACTAAAACAAAAAACTTATCGGACTTCTTTCACTATCGGACACATAAACATAACAAACGTAGAAGCCTCATTGGCTGACGCTGCCTAATGGAGCTCATGTATCAGCATGTCCGCCATCTTGGACGGATCTGACGGGTATGGGATGCCCTCCTCACTCCACCGGAAAACGGAGAGATTCATTGCCATAGCAACATAAAGACGCGTCCTGTGCAAGGCAGCATTTATTTTCTTAGACTGGGTCTGAAATGAATCACTCAATCCCCAACCCCTAACCCCCGTATGGGGTTTCACTATATAGCTGACTATGTAGTGAACTCAATCACCAGAGGTTTCGGACACTACATGGCAAGCCGCAATGCATGACGGGATGCCCACCACATCGGATGGTCACTACATTTTGCAATGCTCCATGGGAAATTTTGTGTGTGTGTGGCATTGGAATTGATCACTCAGGTTTTGGACACCCCTCAAAATGGTGCTAACCCTCACAAAGTCGCCTATACAGGGGTTAGGGATCAATTTCGGACACAGCCTTAGTAAATGGACATTGTGTACAGTTCTGAGCCGCATGGCTGCCTCGTTTCTTCTGCGCCTCCGAGTGTGTAGTAGCTGAGCAGATAAGGAAATAATCGTTCACTTTGTTATACAAGCATGAAATTTGGTACATATACTCTTCAAACCCCACTTTTTTCAAAAATAACGTTAGCCACGCAAAATTCCAAGATGGCGGCCCCAAAATCCAAGATGTCCGCCCCAAAATGTGTTTTTTCCTTTATAACTCAAAATGACTTGATTTTAAGCCCCATACATATATTGAAGTTGAATATAAAGTTGGGTATTGCAGACATTTTGGTACCTAGTACATCTCTGTATCCATTACGGTTCTTGAGATACAGCATATAGATACTTGGGAGAGTGAGACATTTGTAACACCGATTGTTGTTACGTGCATTTGGTTATATGAAAATATAATTTCCATTATCTGTTATTTTCATTAGGGTTATAACATTAAATTCGAAAAACCAAGATGGTGTCCAAGATGGCTGCCATTGCCTTGAAGTAATCATGAATTCAGCAGAGATGAATCATGAATTCAGAAGAATGAAACTTGTCATAAAAGGTTAAAAATTTGGCATTTTGTGACAATTACTATAGGAGTACTATAGGAGGCGGTTTGGGATTGGGCCCTTGTCTCTCACACACGCTTTCCGCTGTCTTATCCAATCACATATGTGCTCGTGCCATACACATTCACCAACAGTCAGAAAACACAGAATACCTCAACAGTGTGATCATTAGCCGACTGCAGGATCGCTACCATCACCGATATCAATACCATACTTTTTCTATATCTTATCTCGTAATTACGAGATAAGGAGTCAGAGTTTTTTTTTTTTTCATCTTCAGCGCTTCCATAGAGGCGCCCCAGAAACACCCTGTGTCATGACTGAAAACCAGCCGTGGCCCAAACATCAGACTCCGGGCCTGCCCCTACCCACCCCTGTATTGCTAAAACATCCAAAACTTCACTTTGGCTTAGCTTAAGTGGACATTTTTTTTGTTGAAAAGGATTGACCTGTTTTTCATTTTTCTAACAGACTCCAACCATCTCTCTTCAGATAGCAGCCAGCCTCCCCAACAACAACTACTACAACAACGCCTTCAGAAATTCCTTCTTTTATCAGGTAAACTTTAAGCTCTTTTCAGGTGATTCCAGGTTTTAAACACAGAATCAGCCACAGTGTTGGTATCAGATTCTATGATTGATAGAAAGGAGCTTGATTCTTATTTTGTATGAGTGATTGGGAGTATTTTGGAGAAGCTTGGTGTTACTATTTCCTGGTATGGTAAGGAGGTCTGGACACACCCTGGACAGATTGCCATTCAATCATGGAGCTGAAATACAGAGACGGACGACTACTCATCTCTGCTCTTACAACTTCAGGCACTTTGAGGAAATGAGGAAATAGGAAATGCAGCTTAGAAGAAACAGCAAGAGAATCAGGCAAAACCATCTTCTAAGAAAACTTTCTCTGTTCCTTATTATCGTCCACTCAGGCCACAGCACGGCAGCAGCTTTCTATGCTCACCTGCTGTTTATAGCGATCCCCAACACTGATCGTGTAGAAGAAAGTCTCAGTAGAAGAAAACTTCAGAGAACATCTTGTTCAGTGTTCAGACACAAAAGGCTCTGTTCTGCTCTGCCCACTCCTTCCGTGCTCACTGAGTGAAGAGGTCAGACTGTAAGAAACCTCGGATCAGTAAATCACGCACACATCCCATAGATTTCCTGAGAGACAGAAAGTTCGTTTCATGTTTACTTTTTTACTGTTTCAGATTCCCTTACGGATGCAAAAGCTTAAAACATATCAGAAAGAAGAAACCAGCTGCAGACTTGAGGCTTCAGTTTTATAGGCTTTGAAGTAAGAGTAGATAAAATCTGAGGTACACTGCTTTTTCACATCTACACTTTGTCTAATCCTTTAAATTCTTCATCAAGTGTCTGACACCAGACGTTGTACTCCTTGTCTATCCATAGGAGGCCCAGTTTGCCTTTTATCAGTAAAATTTTCACATGTATGTGAACAGTTGTAATGTGTCCCTGAGAACAACTCTGGTGGGCTTGTGAATGATGCCTCTGTTGACAGGAAGCAGAGGAGACACTCTTTATCCGACGACAGAGGCTCCAGTCAGTTGGAGGCTTCTCTTTGTTGCTGCTCCACTGTCTGTCCCATGTCAAAATAAAAGACATGAGCTCTGACTCCAGTCCTCACTTCCAGAGGCTTTTCTTTAAGGTAAAAAAAAAGAAAGTTTGTAAGGATGAAAAATTTTGTTGAATTTCTTTGACTTCAGATTTGGCTTCATGGAAATGTCTGTAATGTTATGCTTTTTAATTAGAAATTGCCTATTCATCTCATTGATTTTGCAGGCACTTCAGGCTGGTCTCGGGGAGCTGTTCCTCACCAGACTGGGTGAACCTCTTTCTGGTCAGGGGACAGATTTTTGCGAGTTGTCTCACAACAAAGAGATCACATCAGGAGTCTTACATGGGCCCTTTTCAGACTCTCATGCTGCTTCACTGCTGCACAGACTTCACAAACCAAGCAGAGGACTGCTTTCTGAAGATGTAAGAATTCCTACAGCTATGATCATTTGTCATAGATTTGTTCACATTTCTGTGAACTTTTGTGGGTCATTATAGTCGTGTTTTGGCAATATTTTGCACGAATGGCAGTGAACAAGTCGTGAGTTGAGGGACAACTAAAGCCACTGTGCGTGTCTTGTTTTTTTCCTCTTTGTCGTTGGTGGCGCAGGAAGTTGAAGATCTACAGAAGAAACATTGCGAAACATCTCTGTTCGCGCACCTTGAAAGTCTTTTGGAAACCTCTGAAACTACAAAGAGAAACGATGAGCAGACTGGGTAAACCAAGAGACTCCTCTGTATTTCCTCTGTATTGATGTGAAAGTTCAAGTTAAAATTAAACTTAAACAAATTGAACTAAACAGGGCCATTTTTTGAGTTGTTTAAGGATGTTACTGAAATGATGTTCTCTGCTACTTTTCCCCATCACATGGAAACTGGAAAGAATAATAATGAGCATTTTTTAAGACTCTCATCCATCAAATTCAACAATGAACAAATCAATAGAATAGACTGAAAATAGGATATGCCTGTAAACAGGTCTGTGTGTAACTACGATGTCTCCACTTGGAAACAGTCAACTCTTTTCAGATTGGTGTTTCCACATTTAAAAAAAAAAGTATCATATTTTTATTAGATATTCATTAAAAAAAAAAAACTTGTCTTTGATCATATGTTGACACAAATACAGACAAAACTCACCACCAAGATGCCAGAAGTAACCCCCCAAAAACAATGTCCTTTAAAACATCCACTGGTTTTTGATTTACCTTTACTCGGCTGAGAATTATTGTGTCACATTAAAAGTTTCAAAACTTTCAAAACTCAGGATTCATAATGTGCTGCCTAGATTTCTTATCATTCAACTTTTCAATAGTTTGCGGTTTTCTGAAAAATTACTTGAAGCAGAATTTTTTGACATTTCTTTTATTTCTTTTATCCCATAAACATTCATGCAATATTGATTATTATTTCTAAACAATACAACATGACATTTATTTAATCATGTTCCAGAGACAACTTGAGACTTTAACAGTCACATATGTATTCGGAGTTATTTCACCAGCATATTGCATAACGAGGGGATTCCTGGGATTGTATCATGAGTATTTGAGTAAAAAAAATGCACAGACATATATCAGCTTAAAACTTATACAATATAGAGGAACATGCGCACAACATGGCACATTCAGACATCATCTTTTCATCAGTAATCTTATTGTGGGGAGCTGCTGGCGTTGACAGCGATGAAAATAATGATGAGAAGTATTCCACAGACAATTCCGACGATGTTCAGTATCTTTGCCGTTCTGGACGCATCCTGGGCTAAAGACGTTTGTCCCAGAGAATTTGCCTCTTGTGCCTTCAGAATTCAAAAATAGGTACCATTATATTGCAATCCAGTTTGCCAGAAAAAAAGAGAATTTATAAATGTGCAATGTTGGAAAAGAAAAAAGCCCAACTTGATTTAAAGGCATCTCAAAAGTATAAAGCTTGATGCGTGTTTAAAAGTCACCCACCTTGCAGGAATAGATAAGGGCAGCAATCCCCAATGGCAGACAGCAGCACAGAAGGTTAAAGATGGACAGTCCAATGTAGGATGGAGCCACAGCAGCGGCGCGACCTCCTTCCATTCTGGATCTCTGTCTCAGCTCAAGTGGATGGGAGTTATGCTTTGTTGACCAAAGTCTGGGTCAGCTGAGTGGTGGGGCTTACAATCTTGAAACTTTTATTCCTCATGGGTGGAGTCTGAGAGGGTGTGTGACAATTTCAGCCGTATAAGCAACCCAGTCTAGAGCTGAACAGAAACGGGGGGTATCTGAGCAGCTTCAGCTTTATTAACAAGTTTACGCAACATTTCGAAGCATTGCAACTCTTAGTTTACAACATTTTATTCCTGCTTTCACATGCGGTTTCTCGAATAGATTAGAGCAGAAGATTAGAGTATCTCCTCTTTGACCATTTCACAAGACTTGTTTCAGCTCTGTGTCTCAACATGCTTCTTGAAATTGTAAAACGTTTTTTTTAAGGTACACTACTTCTGCAGTTTTCCCGCAGGATTAACTGAAAAAAATAAATAAGTGACTGATTTCAGTAACACCAGTTAAACATCTTCCCTATAATTTCAGCCTAAAATGACTTTAAACACCAATTCATGGGCAACACTGAACTCTGTGACAGATGTTTCTCCCTGCTCTTAAGGTTGAGCAACATTTAATCATCTGTATACAGACTGATTCATCACTGCAGTGCAAGATTGTTGGAGATAAATTGGAGTCACTAAAACAGATGGGTTTGTTATCATGCTAGTTGAATGATTTTCATTATGTCTTCAGTTTCTTCTAAATAGTTTTCTTTTTTTCCTGTATCTCAGACATGTAATCTTTTTCAACTGAGGTAACACTTCTGAGGAAGGCGGAAGTTTCTGCCGAAACATGTCATGGTACATAAAAAAGACTACATGTTTTAAAATAAGGAAAAAAAGAAAACAATTTCTTGTTATGGTGCTGTTTTCTCTTTGAAATCTTTTGCCAAATCTGAAAAGATATAATTTTACAGTCACAAATCCAGTGGTGTAAATCATGGTAATACTTTGGCAGCCCTTTGTTCCATTTAATCCACTTGTAATCCCTGACTCTTCTGTGTCCTTGACTTCGATTTTGTTTATTTTGTGTTTATTTATTTTACTATCAACTAATTAATATTAAAAAAACTGCTTATTGGTTCGGTGTATTATTATCTGTAGTGCAGAGTTACATCCACAGATGTAGTGCAGATTTACAGCCAACAAAATGGTTTAAGGGCTTTTGAGTGATGCAAGTAGGCCCTTTTTGCAACTACCCACAATAGCTGTCACCCACGCAAACCTCAGGTGTTTTTCACACCCCTTGTTTTTTTTTATGTGACCCAAATACTAAGGGACGAATTTCTCATGCAAAACTTCCTATAAAAATTTTCCACTGTGAGAAAAAAAAAAAAAAACAGTTTGTGTCAGAACTCAAAGCTATTTTACTTATTTCCTTTTAATTTAGTTTATATGATACAATACTTAAATTTCTATCTGCACGACTGCTCAGTATTAATAGTTTCTCAAACTCTTAAATTCAAACTCTGGGACAAAAATGTGTTTGTGAAATTGCCGTTATTGTTCGTTGACAGACAACAGGATAAAAAGAGAAGAGAAAGAGGAAGTCGGTATGAGTAATTTACAAGTGAGGACTCAACTTTCAATGGCGTAACCACATTAAAAAAATCACTGCTGGCGTATGTCCAAAGAGTCAGTCAATGTGCAGTTTTCCTGTACTGGTTTACTGAAACAGCCTGACTGGAAAAAAAAATTTGAGCCATGTTGAAGTGGGGTTCATCTTCTGAGATAACCCCAGAGGAAACACTGGAGCCATGAGGGGGTGTATGGTCTAAGGGGGATAGTAGGAAAGAATGAGAGTACTGTGCTGCCTGTATCTGTCAACTTCTCAGACATGACACTATGGCATCCACAGCAGTGAAGTCTAGCTATAGGAAAGGCCCTGTCGATACTATAAGTTACCACAGCAACAACTACACACATTCTGCATGGCTGCAATACAGACACACTGCAGAGGCTATTTTTAGATCTCAAGAGTGTACTATGAAGCGCTGGTTATCCTCCTGACACACACAACTCATATACGTATCAGCTGCGTGGTCAATTCTATATGGAAACTCTTTTAAATCTGCACATTTCTATTGGGTTGCTTTTCAGTGCACATGCTTGATCTGATGCATTAGCGTCGGTCACACTCATCAGTGTTGCATCCCTCCTTCTGTCTCAGGATCTATCTTTACCTCTTTACTGGTATCTCTTTACCTCTGAGGCCCTGGTCGTGGAAAAGTTTCCAGGTTTATTTTGAGACTAAGTGGAATGTGTGTGATACAACCATCAGTTTGACGCCGCATTATAATCCTGCAACTCCATGTTTTCACCAAACAAGTTGAAAATAAATGGGTAGAGTCATATTGCTGGAATGTTTTCATCCACATTTGCTGGACAGAGAGCCCTTTGAATGGCACTACACAATGACAGCAGAGAGAATGAATCAATACAATCTTCTGTTTCTCAGAAATGGGAAGTTTTGAGGTTAAGTTATGTTTCTAAGTCAGTTTCCCGCAATGTGACCCTTTTACACAAAGAGTTTCAATCTCTAACGCCTGTTCTCATTAAGCTGCTGAAAACAACTTTAAATTAGGAAATTTTGCATCTCTATAGGATCCGTTGACAGAATGTTCCTCTTTCTTACTCAATCATCTTATGTGTGCTCAACATCCCAGAAACTGTGAACTGTGAAAACTGTGAAGTTCTTGTTTTGTTGCATGACGTAAACAGACATATTGTTCTCTACATTTTGACTACGTACTGTATCTATTCATGCTTGATAGCCTGACATTATCTGTAAAACTTTGAATAACTCTTGCGTATTTGGTTCATTCGTCCTAAATTTTCTGTTAAGTTTGTAATTCACTTGCAAAAATAACTGCACATGTACAGTACAGGCCTAAAGTTTGGACACACCTTTTCATCCAGTGCATTTTCTTTAATCTCATGACTATTTCAATTGTAGATTCTCACTGAGGGCATCAAAACTATGAATGAACACATGTGGAATCATGTGCGTAAGAAAAAAGTGTGAAATAACTGAAAACATGTTTTATATTTTAGATTCCTTAAAGTAGCCACCCTTTGCTTTTTTAAATAGCGCTGCAAACTTTTGCTGTTCTCTCAATGAGCTTCATAGGGTAGTCACCTGAAATGGTTTTTACGTCACAAGTTCACAGGTGTGCCTTGTCAGGGTTACTTAGTGACCGACAGATCCAGTCACTAAGTACTTCTGTCATCAAGAGCAAAGGGTGGTTTGGAAACCAGAATATAAAACATGTTTTCAGCTATTTCACACTTTTTTAGTAAGTACAAAATTCCACATGTGTTCATTCATAGTGTTGATGCCTTCAGTGATAATCTACAATGTAAATAGTCATATAAACAAACAAAGAAAAGACATTGAATGGGAAGGTGTGTCCAAACTTTTGGCCTGTACTGTATATGTTAAGAAATTAGGAGATCCTTTTTCATAGTTTAATTCCTAAAGGTAAATTACCATAGGCTACATTTTCCACTCACTGGATATCGACTGAAATATTTGAAGCATTTCAAAAATTGTAATGACTCAGTCCAGGATCCCAAATTATCAAAATATTTCCTAAAATCAAGAAAATAAGGATTTAAAACACAGAAACCTTCATCTAGTGAAAGTAGGCGTATTTATACACTCACCCTTTGCTTGGAGCTTCATTATGACAAATTATTGCTCTCTGTTTTGGCCTGGAGCCGATCAGCCTGCAGCTGTGCTGAGGCACTAGCTGAGGCACACAGCTCATGCAGCTGTGATACTGATAGATTTGTATTTAGTTTTTATTTTATGGGTCAGGTGTCTCTGGTCTTGATCTTGACAAATATTCTCTTAGAGGTTTAAACCAGTTAGCTGGTCAATAAGACAAATCAGGGTCAGCAAACCATGTGGTGGTAGATTTGGTGCTGTAGGGAGGTGCTAAGTCCCACTGGAACTTTTTAAATTGGGCTTCTAGGCTGTAATTATTATCCAAATAAAATTTGAAAATCATATTAACCATTTTAGTTTACATGTAACAAACACATTTTTTAAATAACTGATGGAAAATGTTGAACTTTTACCATGTTTATTTCTTTTCAGTTGTTATCCCTGGTAACTATGAACTAAAAAAATAAAATCAGCTGGAGTGAGAACGTCCCTTTTCATGGTAGCAAGCCTAGGTATGGCCACAGGGAGGCAGTGTTGTTCCGTTGTCTGGATGTTTGGAGTTAAGATGTACAGTCAGATACTTCCTTTAAAACCTTTTCCCTTACAAAGTTCAGATATGGTATTTGTAACCTCCTGTTAGACCATCCACAGAATTAATATGCAGTAACCAGAGCACTTTAATGTCAAAAGAATAAATTACCAAAGAGTAAAGGTCGCAAATGAAGTTTTTATTTGGATTCATTAAAGGAAATATATTTGACATTTGTGTTGTTTTGGATTGAGGCAAAAAATTATGACTGCCCGAGTGTGCTGCCTTCAAAAGTTTCTGTAACAAACAATGACATCTCCAGCTCTCTGACAAAGTAATTCAACCAAGTGGTAAGTAAACACGTTACTTTTGTAGATTAAACAGTGAAAAAGTATTCATCGATAGTTAAAATAAATGACAATGATCATTTTTAACAGGGCTGGAAAGAGTTTATGAACCACTAAATTACCTTTCTGTTATTGCAAATCAAAGTAGTTCATCTCTTCTTCATTTGACCGAGGAGTTTACGACCAGCCTTGAATGCATCACGTCACCATGGCAACTGAACGCAGACACTCGGAGGGGAAAGTTTTAGCGTTGCACTCCCGGTTAAATTAATGAGAAAAGGCGACATAGTTTCACGAACAATCAGCGAGGTCTCAAGAGGTTAAACACAAGATGGATAAACTCGATGACTTGGAGGGTTTTTTGAAGAATGTTGACAAAATAAGTGAGTATCACCGAGAAGTGTTAGCTAACAGAAACATTGAGGATTGGTTTCGTCTGTGTTTGCTGTTTACAATAACTTATCTAAGCGGGAACAAATTATGCTTTGAATTCTATGCAAGAAGGTAAAAAAAAGGTATAATTTTCTAGGCATGACTCGTTCAAAACTTTTTAATCAAAATAAACATTTAGCAAAGAACATCACATGCTCAAACAACAGCATGTAGCTAAGAGGGGAGAGTGGGGTAAGTTGAGCCAAAGGGTCCACCAAGTCCATCATTTTAGCTTAGAGGACTAATAAAGTCAACATAGTAGTTCTGGGGTAAGTTGAGCCAGTGACTCAACTGAGAAAGTGAAGAAGTCTGATGAGAGGATCAGAGTTTCAGTTCAGATTGTTGAAATGTGTTACTTTTTATTATCAGAAATACAGCTGTGAATGTTCTGAATCACTTCCTCATGTTAAAATGGCTTGTTACAAAACAGCTTTTTAGCAGTTATATGTAATAATAATAATAATAAATTTAATTATTGTACCAGCCGAATAGCGTATAATAGATAAAAATACACATGAATGTGAAGAAGTGACTGTTATTTAGGGAGAGAGAAAGTGAGGGAGGGCTGGGGTGGAGACTGGGGGGTAGTAGGGATACGGCTCAACTTACCCCATACATGGGGTAAATTGACCATAGGAGACCACTTTTTTTGCCATGCTATAGTATCAAGACAGTTATGGTTACACTCATTCTGTTGGTTTGCAGGGATGCACAACATCCTGAAATATCTGCAGATACACTAGTTAGAGACAAAACTATGATTGCCTTGATGTAGTGATACGAAATATGAAAAATGGCTCATTTTACCCCACTCTCCCCTACCACATGGACATGTGAGCACATGTGCGCCAAGGACATTAACGCAAACAACCGTGTCTTTTCAGGTGAGCTGGTAAAGGATCTAAAATCCTCAGATGCCGAAGTCCAGCAAAAAGCAATAGAGAAAGCTGATTACTTCATCGCAGATCTAGATGAACACTGCAGGACGAAAGACAACAAGACGACTATTAACACAAACCCACCACCTCAGCCTTCCTCGGTACAGACATGCACACAAGTACAGTCCTCTGTTGCTCCCTGTCCATCGCACTTTCTTTCTTTCTTTCTATTATTGTTTTTTCTTTCTATTATTGTTTCTGTCTATCAAACAGTACACACAAAGATAACACCGACTTGTTGTGTTAATTATTTTGACCAGTCTTGTCAGATTAGAAAGACAAGGGCAGTTTATATAGGTTGTGATAGTTACTTGTTTTTGGTTGACAATCTTTAAATAGCTCTTTGTCTGTTTTTTTCTTTTTTCAGAGTCTGCAGAATGACAGTCAAGGTAAGCAAACAATTTGGTTGTTCATTCAGACTGAGATAATGATTCTTTATTTTGTATACCATAACTGTCTCTCAGAGTCAAACAGGAAATAAAGAAGTTAAAGGTATATTCCAGCGTAAAATTAATTTAGGGTCAAATACACCGTAACACTGAGTTAGACACCCTTCCTTGAGATGAATGTTGCTGACCACTTGCTTCTCTACCAACTTTAGTAACGACCGCACGATAGCAATACACACAAACCTCAACCAAAACGCCACTCTATAGCCACAAATAATGCTCAGAACAGCACCTAACTTCATCAACAGTACATATAGGGTCCCAGCCATAGTACTAGCCAACAAACATCTTCTTAGCTTTGCCTAATTTCTTTAGCAAAGAGAATAAACACAACTCACCCACTCTCTTCCAGCAGCCGATTATTTGTAGCGAGACCTCAGGTCAGTCCAATATGGACTGCAGCGGGGTGACACAGCTCAAGGAAGAATATTTATGATAATTTCTTCATGGAAATGCAATCAGACCGAGACGCTAAGGCAGAAAATCTACAGTGTCTGCAGTGCAAAATGATCAATATGGTGATTATTACTTCAAGGAAATGATAAAGTAATGATCATAGCAGTTGTTAATATAAACATCCTTGCCAATGAAGCACACCAGGTCTTGGAATATATTTGTCCACCTTTCTTTGTTGGTTTCATCCAGAAATTGTAACCTATTCTGTGCCGCGTGTGGTTGTTGTTCAGCGTACAGTGTGATCATACAGTAGTTTCTTATTACACCTTGTTCCTATTATTATGAGGCCACGTTGCAGTTTAGAGTAGACATGACATTTTCCTGTGACACAGTGAGTTGTTTTAATCAACTGTGCTTGTTTGGTAAGTGGATGACTCATCATGTGTAATACTAGAAAAAGAGTCACAAGGTGTGACTCTTTTTCTTCAGGATTTCCTGTCACAGGGTGTGCTATTTTTTGTGGTAGAGGTTTAATAAGGCAGTGTGGTGACTCTTTTATCAACCTTTTAGTATGTCCTGGTGAGGAGGGCATGGACAAAATGACTGGACGTCCTTGTGTTTTTGAAGACCTCTCAGGAAATTGGGTGTTCAGGCCTCCAAGCCACACTAGCTGGAGCTAACTCGAGGTTAAGATGCATTTTTGTATGGCAAGAAGTCACGATGATAAACCTGAACGCTTGTATTAGTTTTTTCTTAAGATCCTCCTTGTATACACTTCCTTTTAACCCCAGCCACCTGAAAGTGGTATTCAATGTCAAACAACTTTTTATCCAATTTAGCCCTCTTTTCTTTTCATCCAAAGGTAAACCTCATTGAAAAATGTTGCTGCAAATATGTAAACCTTTCAAAAGAGTGTGTGTCTAACTGTGTAACTATTAAAGCTGACCTATCAAAAATTCAATTCACTGAAATGCAAAAGAGAAATAACTGTGCTTGAAGCTTTGGGAGACAGAAAAATAGATTTTAAATTACTCCCCTCTGATATTTATTACTCTGGACACAGAGCAATACTGAATCTGTCTTTGGGAGAACATTTTTGCATGAATTATTCCGAACAGTTAGAACTTTGTGAGATTTTATTGTTCACCAAACCCAACCATTAAAACTAAGTTTTCAAAGTATATTTCTGACCCTGTTCAGATTATTTTTCCTTGTTCAAAACTTTGACAAGAAAGACCTGAATTTGAAAGTCATACACAGGTTTAAATATCGCGTATGCAGACAGATTCAATCAGTTCCTCTGTCTGTTCGAGCGCTCATGCTGAAGAACATTTTTCTTTTGCATCTAGAGAATTTTATGAAGATTGTGGAGAGGGACGCTGAAGAGAGAAGAGTCAGAAGGATTGAAAGAGAGAAAAAGGCAACTGGTGTGTGTGATCCTCTCTTAAATCATCTTGCTGGAAGTGAAACGTTGTCGTCTCTTTTCTCGCTGTTTGGCTTCCGTTACATTCCTTTTAATCTTATACTGTTTGTGCCACTGTAGCTCTGAAAGACAAGGGGAATGACGCTTTTGTTCACGGAGACTATGAAACTGCTGTGAAGTATTACAGTGACGGTTTAGAAGAACTACGGGACATGCAGCCATTGTACACCAATCGAGCACAAGTAAATATCTGTAATCTGTGATATTCTCCTTTTACAAATTGGCTATTCAGTCTTTTCTCATCTTTAAGCCTGAAGAGTTATTCAAAGATTTTTGATCGGTCTAACTTTATACTGTTTATATGTGTATTGAAGTTAATTAAACAATCAGTAAGTTCTCTATGAAAGTCTGCGTGATATTTCAATAACCAAATCTTTTTCCATGCATGGCCAGATCTGTTCTTTTTACCCAGTTATATGTAATGTTTTGATTTATTCAGGCATACATCAAGCTGGGAAAGTACGAGGAAGCCATCAGTGACTGTGAATGGGCCCTGAGGGTAAGGCTTTAACGGTGATAGTGGTCAGTCATTTCCTGCCATATACATCATGTCGACACCTGACACACACTGTAGACCTGACTGCCAAGTGGAGTGAAGTTGTGAATGAAAACACTGCGTCCTGCTTTGCACTCAAACTTCAGTGATAATTGCAGGTTGTGTGGGTCATGAAAGAAATGAACCCTGAATAACTGGACAGAAATGAAAAGTGTGCTAAAGTTCCCTATAATTTACCGGCTTGCTTGGAGTTATGTGCCTTTCAGGCTTCTTGAACGAAATCCAAGTTAACAATAAAAAGCAGTCTAGTTTTGGATTATAAATATTCTCCATTATGATCTATCTCTTTAACTCTGCTGGTGTTCACAGTGCACAAACATTAAATCATCATCATGTAAATGGGTTGCTGATGAGTCACTAATACAATCCCATGACCATTTTCCTCTATCAGTGTAATGAGAAGGGCATAAAGGCTTACCTACTCATGGGGAAAGCATATCTGGCTTCTAAGAAATATAATGAGGTGAGTATGATTACCTTTCACTGCATCTAATCACACCGTATTTTTTTACACACGGCTCTTGCATACAAATAACCTCGCCTGGTACCATCTAAGTAAAGCAGAAACACGGCTTTATTTCCAGGGTTGTGTACGCATGATGAAGTCGAGCCGTTCAAGCCTTACAAAACCTTTTTAAAAGACTTGACTTTAGGGATTAAAACATGTTCACTTTAAGTTGTCTTACATTTAGTGTCAGAATCTAAAGACACTTTTTTTTTCTCCTTTTCAGTCAAGAAGCTACTTTGAAAAGATAATAGAAATAGATCCTGGGAGAGACAAATTGGTGAAAGGTAATGACTTTTTTAAGGTTGGAAAAAACAGAACCAGACTTAAATTATTACTTCATTACTGTCCCTATTGACCATGTATTGTGTCCCTACTTCTTTAGTTTAGTACACATTCAGCTTTACTTTAACTCCATGCAATCATTTTAACATTATTTAAAGCGGTTTTGCCATAATCATCTCGAAATTGAACTTAATATGAAACTATTATAGTTATTTTTTCCGGGTTTTGGTCTTGATAGCATTTTAAGTTGCAGCTCCAAAGGGTCATTTGGTTTATTACACAGCGTAATTATGTTCCTCACTAGTTTTTGCTTTTACGATATATAAAGTTTTGGGCAACAGACCTATCCTGCTCTGCCTTGTTTACAGAAATCCATCACAGTAGAAAAGACTTTTCGTTTTCTCATTACCATGTCAGCAGTCTCTCTTCTGTCTTTAACCTCCTTTACTGGATCTCTTCAGACTTCCTGACACAAGTAAACTCGGCAGAAGAGAAAGAGAGTCAGGAGATAAAGGCGATGCAAGAGTTTGAGAAGGGAGAAGTCAAGGCAATGAGAGTGCCGCAGCTGCTGGAGAAGCTGTCAAAGCCCGGCCAGATGCCCCTCTACTACCGCGGAGGACTGGAGATTCTGTCACAAGCAGTTACCGACTGTGAGTGTGCTGACTAGAGAAGCTTCACACAATTACTTTAACCCTTTAATCTCTTTGTCTCTACTCCTTCACCATAAAATGTGCTCCACATGTCCCCTTGTTGTCCCGGTTACGCAGAGGCTAAAAGATTCTTTAGTATGGAAAAGGCCTGAAAAGTCAAGAGGACTTAAAGGAGAAAAGAGGAGTTGATGTCATGCCTGAGGACTCACAATAGAGAAAGGGGACTTTACAGATTTCTTCTCATGCTCCATTTGCTTGTCACACTGAGCACATTTTCAGTATGGAGAGCAAGGATAGGTACACTATAAGACCTTCGCTGCATCACTGCTGCTGTCTATTGGGCCTGTGTGCACAAGACAGGGCTATATGTCACTTCAGTACACAACACTATATGATAACCCTTAGACAGTCGTTTGAAATTTGCAGTGCAGAGCAGTTTTTGTTTGTGTTTATTCTGTTGTCAGATCAACACTAGCAGGTTTTACACGAGTTTGCAATGGCAGCTGATGAGTGAAACCTCCAGTGAGAGTCTGATTTGATATATGATCTGATAATGATCATCCCTATCATCAGTTTAAGACAGTCCCTTGATATATACAGTAAGTGTTGATGTAATTTGGTTGTTGGACTGCTGAGTGAGCTGTTTCATGTCAGCAGTGTCAGCTGTTCCTTCATTAAAAGACACTTTAAGCACTTTTAGTCTCTTGAAATGAAATCTCTGTTATTTGGATATTGTGATAGCCTTCATTAATGGCAAAGGGCTGTGTAGGCAATATGAGTTCTATTAGGGGTATGGTGCAGATATATGGAGGGGGGTTGTTACTGGAAGGCTGCAAACACTATTAAGCCTTCTGGAGCTGTCTCAGGTGCAATTTAATGAACACCTGTTATAGCAGGTGTCCATTTCATAACCTCAGAGGCAGACCTGCACTCAACCCTGTCAGAGTAGGCAGACGGTGAAAAGGATGATGATACCTGTCTTTTGGCTTTGTGCATTTATGACAACATAACAAGAGGTGCCTAAGGTAGACTGCAGCACTGGACAAGCCTGGTGTTATTAGTGCTTATATTTGATGAAGAGGGAGCTGTGCTTAGGGCACGCAGATTTTATAGAAATCTCTTTTGATTGTTGAAAAGAGGGCACATGAACAAGCTTTGGTCCACAGCAGAGCAAAAAATCCTGTAAAACCCCTGACTGCCATATAATGAAACAGATATCTTTTATTTATCCTTCCTTAAGGAGTTTCAAGCTGGCTATGCAACTGGATCTAACTAAAAGGGATCATTATTAACACAATTGACTTTTTCTTTTGAGTCGTTATAAGTGCTTTTGAATGCAACTACTGGGTAGAGGTCAGATAAGATGATTAACAGAACCAGTGCTGCGTGTTTTTAATGAAATTTTACTGCAAAGATTCACAGTAAATGATAAGTTTGACCATTAGATTTTTATTTACATCATAAAATATTGTTTCAGTATTTCTATGATGAGGTAGGGTGACCTTAATGGACACAAACTCCCCAGGAGTATGAATGTACCTAATGTAATGGCACAGTGCTTTTTGCTTTAGATGTAATCAAGAGGAATTAAATCAAACCAAGTGTACAGGAAAGTGTCCTCCTGATTAAAAAAATGTCTCTTCAATCAAAATTATTTTTTCTGTTTGTCCCAAGTGCACTTAATTGATAATTATGCACCAGATTGTAAAACTGATTTACTCAGTCCTCAGCTGTTAAAGTGGTCCATTGTGCACAGTTGCTGTCCCCCCCAGGTTATCTAAAGTTTAATTCAAAAGGCCTTTTGGATTAAACTTTGCATCACTGGGACCTTGATGACTGAGAGCCTTCACTTCCATGACTCTCCCTGAGGTCGTCGCCCCAGCTGTGGATGTATTTTAAAGGTTTTTTGACCGTAAAAATGACTTTCAAACTGCACAGATAGTACGTTTTTTTGTGGGGGTTATTGCTAAAGGCAGCTTTTGTGTAACAAGCTTGTTCTACAACACTCCAAGGTTAATGACACTCTAAAGAGTATTTAATTTGCTATGTTCCAGCTAACAAAGAAGACATTTTGCACGCTTGTCCCATTGTTCCAACAATTCATGTGTAACTTAAGTTTTATTGACCATGCACTCAAGGCTGGAATAATAGAGTGAAATTATACACCGGTGTTTCAATGAACCACACTCCTATATAAAAAAATCCACACCGCTGTGTAACGCTATCCCCTTATCCTTTTTATTTTTTTCTTGAATCACTTCTTTGCATCTCTATGTTCTTGCATGTCCACTGCATAATGGAGAACATTTTTATCCTTACTCTCATTTTTCTTCATTTGGATGAATACAAGTCTACTGTCGAATGATATAAAGCCTATCTCACAGTGCCATTCAATGGAAAAGGGCAAAACTTACATAACTCATAAATGAAAGGATCACAGCAGGCCTGACATTATTTGCTTTCTCCCCTACAAGTACTTTCACACTGCTCTACATTCTGTATACTCCAGCTATCTCTATTTCTGGGTAACACACCATTCCTCCCTTTATCTTACTCTCTTGACATATTTTATTTATTCTTTTTCGTCTTGGCCTTGTAAACCAGTGAACAATTACAAGCTAAGCTGAAAGTGAGAGGTGCCGTGATTCGAGACCACTTGGTGATGATATATCTTCTGTCTTTGTACACTATCTGCTCTTCTCTTCCAACAGGCACAGACCAGACCCTTTTCAGACTGCACAATGGCTTCAGTGTCATTAGCAGCAATGACATGGTGAGGAGGTAAGAAAACCAGAGGGGGAGGTAGCTGTCAGCTCTCAGTGGCGCTGTGACAGATGGACCCAGGGACAGGGGAATACAGAGACAATGATAGCCTAAACTGGAGAGATCATCCCCCCCGTTCTCCCTTTCTCCCCCCTCATATCTCTCACTGGTTGTTTGTGTGATAGCCCAAAGAGGAAAAGATGATCTCACTGAAGATTGAGATGTTTTCTGAAATAAACCAAAGTCTTGTGTTCTGTCCCAGAAAGAGGGAGTGTTCAGCACAAAGCACAAATTATGACTCCTGCACGTCAGTTCAGTAGGAGTATTATGAACTTGTCACATCCTTCCCATTTTTTTTTTCTTGTTAGGGCTGCCATTATTCAAGTTAGAACACAGTGTCCGGTGAGTAGACAGTGCCAAGAAATTGGAGTCTGAACATGATGGAAAGGGCCAGTAAGGATATTGCTGTCAGCTAGAAACAGGCAACTGTAACCAATTGGAGCCCTGTAGCAAAGAGGGCCAGTGCTTTGTTGTCTGTCCTTATCCCAAACTGAAAGAGCGGACTGAATTCATGTCCCTCTGGCACTGTTATAGAAAGCCTAAATTCTCTCCTAAGACTAAAACTTGGAGTAAACACGAGTGCTTCTTGATGTTGAACTTGTCAAGATGTCCAAAACTTGTGCAGAGTAGGACAAAGGTTGTAATATATAGCATACTTAGTGTATAAAGATTCTTAAGAGTCCTTAAGAAACCTTTCGGTATCTCAAAAGTACTTTACTGTTCGCAATATGTCTTCCTCTCTAATATCTATGCTAAATTTGGATCATGGATAGCTGTCATACACTATTATTGTGCTTTAGGTCTTTTGTTTTTATTCCTTGTTTTCTGCTCGATATATTGGTATCCTTATTTATGAATAACACCTTTACTATTAGACTTGATTGTTTAATTAAAGTGAAATTTCAACTTGGCTGTAACAAACTTTTTTGTCATTCCCACAGTTGCCTCCTGCAGGAAACAAAGGATCGAGACAGCCAGGAGTTGTGTGAATGCGTTCTGAAATTATGGACAGCTGTTTGTTCTGGAAATGGTACGTTGATATTGATGCTTTCTTGAAGGCAGAAGATAATACTGATGAAATCTTCTTTTTAGTGTGATACTTATGTCTTCTTTACTCCCTCAACAAGGCCATGCTTCAGCATATTTAGAGCTCAAACAAACTGATATAATCTGTTTAAAGTTATTTACAAAGTATACATTTAACACAAGTTGAACAGCAATGCTTAAAGGGATATTCCGGCGTAAAATTAATTCAGGGTCAACCACACCGTAACACGGAGTTAGACACCCCTTCGAGGGATGAATGTTGCCGACCTCTTGCTTCTCTAGTTATACCAACTTTGGTAACAACTGCACAGTAGCAATACACAGCGGTCAGTGTGACAGTGTGTTTGACCCTAAATTAATTTTACGCAAGAATATTCCTGTAAGTTGATTCTTAATGCAAGAATAGAGACTTTGTGTTCATGCGATCCAGTTACCAGAGTGGGGAGCTGTCCATTTGGGACATAACAGAGTCCTGTGTCCAGTGAGGCAGTACATGTTTCTTTTGTTTTCAGATGAAAACCAGAAGATGTTGATGGCATGCCCAGTCACCAGACAGTCCATCATTCATTTGGTAGCATCAGAGCATGTTGCAGTACGGAGGGGATGCCTGGCATTGGTGTGTCTGTTCTCACAGACGCCACATGGCAGAAGTTTGGCCATTGACAACCTGAATATGAACTTGTAAGACAGTCCTTCATATTATATTGTTATCACACACACCTGATAAGACCTATAATGCAGGATTTCTCAATCCCACCTCTATGATCCTTAGTCTGCCCAGAGCAATATTTGTGGGATTTTCAGTCCAATTGCCATGTCCATGGAATGAGATTTTAAAATTAATGTTTATTGTTGCTCTGGGACCTAGTTTCAAATTTACAATAAGAGGCCCAAGTGACTTCATATTATATTTAGGTCTGATAATATCGATGTTACGGCCAAATGGATTTCCAGAGAATTATACCTTTTGGCATTGTTATCAAATTTATTGGTCCAAAGGTGAACAACATCATTATTTTGGTACAAAACGGTCACTGATACCTTGATGATATTCATTACTTTTCTGTGTTCTCTTCCCCTTTTGCCTCTAAATCCCTCTCTTTTACTGCTCTTCTCTTGATCTGGATCAAAAGGTTGGTGAGGAGCCTTATGGTGTGCATCTCAGAGCAAGAACAGCGGCGAGCGAACACAGCGGTTGATATTCTGGAGAAGTTTGCTGCAGAAAACAAGTACGACTGATATGAAGTTAACCCAAAACACCCAAAAAGTTATTCTCCTTGCACACTAGAGAAGAATCATTTCATTTCTGCATGAAGACGCACTTCATTTCACTTCCTGTAACTGCACAGAGTTAAGATTTTGACCCACAAAGCAGTCTGTTATCCTCCCATATGTGTATCAAAGCACTTCAAAAACTCTTGTCACATCATACCAAGAGGGGTCCCATGGGCAATGGAAAGTGTGACATCTTTAATAATTCAACATGTTCAATCCAGGTGCTAAAGTCGCTTCAAGGCAAAAGCCCTTTTTTAACCTGCTTCCCCTCCTGGTGCCTCATGAAAATGGACATGGAAGAAGACTGTAGAGCACGGCAGGAATAAGTCAAGGTGTCAAGCAGTGAATAGAGGAGGTCCAGTTTTTCTTGTCTATTGCTCAAAGAGAGTACCTCAACAAAAAGAGAAGTTATATCCAACAAATTTCATCTCCCTTTTCCTTTTTTTTGAAAGTTCAGCTGACCCACTGTGCAATGCGACGTTGAAATGACATCTCAATGTCTAAGAGAGGCCCAATAAAGACGTCTAAATCTCGGATCCATTTTGCACGTTGTGCCGACGTCTAGATTTGGTCTTCAGATGACGTCCAAATTCCAAACACCAGAACGACATCTGAAAAAAGTCCATTTGGACGTCGAAATTTCTAACCTATTTTGCATGTCGCACTGACATCTAGATGTGGTCTTTGACGGACGGACCCAATAATGACTTGATCTGCACGTCTCTCGGGGAGGTGTAGATGGATATTCTTATTTTAAATGAAATTGATACACATCCGTATCTCATATTGATCCCAAGTTTCTGCTTTTAAGATTGTAACATTAAATACATTTGCATAATTCATTTGTATAAGAGATGTCTATGGCAACATATAGCTGTTGAGAAATAACACACTGTTGCTATGGGGTATTGACCAATCAGAATCAAGTTTTTAACACAGCTTTAACTACAGATTCAGAGCACAAATCAGAGCATCTGTGTAGTTCTACATTTGTAAAACACCCCAAACAATCTACAGAGCTACAAAAACCACAGCCTTTTCAACACTCATTATTACCCATCTTATCTTATTTTCTCCACCATCATGCATATCACTAGATTAAAGGTGAATTCCTCATATGAACTATAGTGTGTCTGTATAACTGCACAGTAACGGTGTTTTATCATCTTTTACAGATTTCTAAAACAGTTGAGGAATACAGTAACAGCCTCTGTCATCGTTCCACTGACAACAATACTGGTAAGATCCTGCTGAAAAACAGGACCTAACTGTGTTCATTATCTACAGGCGTGTCTGAAAATGTACATTTTTTCTTCACACCTTAGGAAAGTATCAGTGCCACCAATCGTCATGTCCTTCCGTCATTAATATCCACTGTTGACTGTTTGGCAAGAGATGATGTCATCCGTCACAGTTTTGCCCATGATCCAGAGTGTTGGAAAGCGTTTCTGCTAGCTATCGTAAGTATCACTGCTAGGTGGTCCCTTTGCCTTGGACAGTACAAATAGTTGAATTCAGATGCAATAGGTTGACGAAAAGCTTTGGTGTAGTGTGACTGACAAAAGTAGAAATAGTAGATTTAATCTATCCAGAGTATGCTCTTTTTTTTTTTTTACAGAGGCAGTGCATTGAAAATGAGTACAAAGATGTACTCTACCCTCTGCTTGGTTTGATCATCAACCTGTCAACTATCACAACACCAGCCATTCGGGTAAAGCAAGTCATGTTTAATGTGTTTGCCTTCTGCTGTCCGAGTTACATTTAAATCTTGAATTTATGTGCCATGGGTGCAAAAAACAATTTTGTATCCACAATCATCAGCTATCTTCATTGTTGGCACTTAAATTTTGATAAGATGAAACCTTGTCTTTATTATTTATTTAGATTTTGACAGTGAAATTTCCTCATACTGCTGACACCCAAAAGGTTAAAAATGTACTGTGTAGTAAAAATAAATGCAATGGAAAAGGGAAGCAGAGGAGGGTCCTTGTGGTAATAGGATGTGACCTAATCAGCCACCTAATCAGAGGTGAAATACAAGTGAAAATTGATTTTTTTTTTTTTTGTCCCCCTTTGTAGGAACATGCTGTTTCACTCTGTGGTGGCTGCTGTCTGAGCCTGTTGAAGGATAGTGATGGAGGAGTCATAACTGTGAGTAAACTTAACTGTAGCACAACACTACTGCACTCAGGAGGGTTAATAATAGTAAAAAAAAAGTCGATTTTTACGTTTGTTTTGGCCAAAAAGTTAGATCCCTCTCCAGTTGTTGGAGGTTGTTGCAGAAAATTTCTCCTTGTTGGTTTTTCAACAAGTGCATCCATGACATAAATAAGAAAAGCATCCAGTCAAGTAACTGTAGACAAACAGTAACCTGAAGTGATTTACTATGAATGTGAGGTCTTCTTGAAGCCCTGTGAGAGCACTGGCCAAGGTGGTTGCAGCAATCCACATTATACACTGAATCCTGTATGCGTGCCATCACATTTGATTGAAAGTCTAGCTCCAGGTGCTGTTTGTGCAAATGGTTGTTAAAGCACTTTCATGCTGCTCATGCAAAGCCCTTAGAGTCCTATACTTCTTCCCACCTTTCCCTGTATTCCATGTTAATCCTCACTTTTTGCCTGGCTGGCATTTTTCTTCCCTGTCACCTGGTGTCAACTTCCTTTTTATGTCATCAATACTTTTCTATTCTCTTGTTTCATTTTTGTCATGTCTTTACATCACCTACCTTTAGATTTTAATGCATCATAATGGTTTAGCTGTCGGAATCCCAATGGCTCAAGTCTATAGTGTCCCCATTGTTGTAGCTGTTCCAATTCTTTGGTTGTTGTTGTTGTTATTTTTAAATATGAAGTGTTATCCCTCTTTAAGCAGGTGAAAGTAGAATGCATGCACATGCCAAAGTAGGTGCTCTATTTAACCGCTTATCCTGCTTAATCTTTCTGCTTCGCCTGCAAACTGCTTTGCAACCTGCTCCTCTTTTTTATGGTGCCTGATTTTACCCGTGTCATTTGTATTGTCACTGACGCCCTCTCTGTTCTGCACCCTGTGATTCTTGCTGACTACTCACGCAGAAGTGCAAGGAGCTCGCAGAACAGAGTCACATCACCAAGTACAACTTATTTAGTGCAAAAGAATAAGTTTCTTTAAAAGGATGGTTGACGATTGGAAACAGTTGGAAAAAAACTGAGCCGTTGAGCCAGATTTGAAAAAAGCATCCCCACACACAAATCTGTCCCCTCTGTGCTCCACGATAACTCCCCCCTGAACCTGTGTCGCCCTGGCAGAGCTCTCTCTACTGCTCGAAGAATGCCCCAATGTTTATTCAAGTTAGATTCCTTGTTTGGTCACATTTCCCCTTTGTCTCTACCCTTTCTTCTGTCAGCTTGCGTTTTCTTCCCACTTTTGATGGTGGGGCAATCAGAAGTGTTTTTTTTTTTTTGCGTCCTTCTCCATCACAGCTCCTGTAGCTAAGCTGCTACGCTACTTTTAGCAGTTCAGAGCTCTGAGGAGGGCCGGGAGAGTGGGAGGGGACAAGTCGGAACTATGGGAGAGGGGTGTGTCGAATACAGCGAGGTGATTGGATGGAGGAGACTGACCAATAGAAGCTGTCCAGGACGGATGGCTCCCATTGGTCAATGTTTTTGCAGCCCTGTACCTGCTAGGGTGAACGGATTTTTTCCATTCTTTTTTCTCTGTACTTTACGGAGATCGCACTATAGGACCATGATCGCCATATAAACGAGGGTCATAATAATTACCAATCTCTCCAATCGTCAACCACGCCTTTAAATAAAGTGGTCCTGATTGAAGCTGACAACTTACCACTGTGGTAAAACAGAAGGTACCAATTTAATGAAAAGGTGCAGAAAAACTAAGAAAGGCTAACAGACACTCCATCTAACATGGCCTATTATTGAATGTAATCACTATTACGGCTTCCATGTGGGGATACATCTCCTCTTTTTCATCATCTGACAAACGTTAGACCAGTATTTTGTGGCCTCTTACTTCTGTTTCCTTGAGAAAAACCTCTAATATGATGTTAAGATTGTGTCTTTCATTCTGTGCCGAAAGGTAGAGCAGAGTAAGTTAATTAGAGCCTATTTTGTTTTTCATTGTTCTCAAGAGACAGCCGAAAAAAGACAAAAAAAACAAACGTAATCCCTTAGTAATTTCAATTACTCAACATTATTTCGTCTTTACTCATAATGAGACTCTATTAATTACTCATTTGTAAACTCAATACACTTTTTTTGTGGTTTGTCAATTTTCTTATACGACTTAATTTTTGAAGGGAAATTACCAAACTGCACCCCCACTTTCCTCTACACCCGATAATGTATCCTTCTACAGATTATGCTTGCAACACAAAGCAGGCACCCATGTGTGACTTTGCTCTAATTCTTCCTAATGTTTCATAGCCCCATGTTTTCTTTGAATTATCCTGCCTTTAAAAGGGTCACTGTGGTGCTATACTAATTGAAATAGGGGCTCAGACAACTCTCTCACCATCTTTACAATGGACTCTGCATTTTGTTGCAGCAAAAACACTTCATAACACCTTGAGATCTCATGTCCTGAAACAAGTGTTTTTTTTTCTTTTTCCATCCAAACTCTCCTCTGGGTTTATAGATTGTTTCTCAGCTGTCCTTCAGCTGAGGTTTCTTTTCATCTTGCGCTTTCCTGCCTGTTTCTTTATGTTTACATCCTTCACTCTCTGTTTTTCTTGTTTTTTCAATAATCTCTTGTTCAAATGCTGACATCCTTCTTTGTCGGATAGAGAGCCACAGGTGTGCTGAGCACTGTCCTTCCACAGTCTCCAGAGGCCGTCCAGCATGTTATTCAAGGGGGTGTGGTTAAGACAATGCGCCGGCTGCTCAAGGTGCGTCACAGTATTAACAGCTAGTTTTAATAAATACATCAGCAGGTATTTCTTCTTTAGTTGTGAATATATTTTTTATTTCTTGTTAGGGCTGGGGGATAAAATGATGATGGTATTTATCGAAAATTGATTTCCCTCGATATAAATGTAAAACATGGTCAATATGCTTTTCAATTGTCGACATTCTGCCATGATTAGCAAACAACTGCGTAGTAGCAGGCTGCAGCTACATGCAGAAGTAGGGATGGGAATTGATAAGATTTTATTGATATCGATGCCATTATCGATTCTCCTTATCGATTCAATTCTTTCATGATTCCCTTATCAATGCCTTTCTTTGATTAAAACAAAAAAAGTAGACTATAAGTTTTCACCATTAACTCAAAATAACAGAAAAGATGTATGCCACCTTCAGTGAGAGTATCAAAAAAAATCAAACAACAAACTATTTGTAGAGGATTTACTTTGGTAGGTATGAAGTCAAATTAGGGTGACCATATTCTAGATCTGCAAAATTTTAAGCCACACTTCAGATCGTTTCTGCCTACTTTTTGTACCGTCCGCCATGTTTTTTCCTCCAAGTCTCTGTTCTCATTCACATAGTCTGGCACTCGTGAAACTGTTTTTCAAGGCACCCCGAAGAAAGGAATTGTTAAGGGAATTGTCAAGATAAAATGTAAACAATGTCGATGGATTGAACCATTTCAAAACAAGAACTGGGTCTCGATTCCCATCCCTACGCAAAAGGTTACAAACCCCGAGTAGCGCATGGAGCCCATGGCACCTGTGTACCCGAAACAGCCGACCATTCAGTCTACTTTCTCCAGCCCAACGCCTCACAACAATATGTCAAAGAGACACAAAGACCTCACAGATGCAGTAGTTTATGAATTGCTAAAGACATGCTACCAATAAGCACTGTTAAATTTCATTTTTTATATCATGATATATATCAATATCGACCGATATGAAAAAGAATATTGGAATAAACTTTTTCCCATATCACCTAGCCCTGTTTCTCATTAAACTTTCACTGTCTCCAAAGTTCATAATTCATCACATCTATTTAATATCCTCTCAAACTTATTCAACTATGTGTCTGTCTTCATAATTTGCAGGGTCATTAATAACAAAGTTTGAGCATATCTGCATATGAGAAACTGGTGCATCTAATATGATTATTATTTTTTGTGTCTGCCTTCTCAGGGAACAGGACAGACTGCTATTAAGTATGCCATCAAGACGCTAACAATGTGCACTGCTGCCAGTCAGTTGGCACGGCAAGAGCTGGTGAAGTCTGATAAGAGTGAGAAATGATTGACATGTTTACACAACTTATACAAGCTTTTTATTACCCCCTGAATAATATTTGAGGGCTGACCTAATATGCTAATTCAATGTGCATCTGTGTGCTTGTGCTACATTTGTATGCATTCTGCATGTGTGTGAGTAAAGTGTGCAGTAGATAAATCCTAACATGTCTTTTATGTGTTTCCGAGTGCTATTTCCTTCATATTTGTTTTTCTTTTGCCACAGAACTGTCCGTTTTATGTCGTTTACTGGCGTCCAGCTGTGATGAGATGGTGACGGGCAATGCAGCCCTGTGCTTGGCCCACTGCCTTGAGTTGGAGGGAATTGCCAGTAACCTGCTGGGCACTGATATTGTGCGGCTACTTCTTCGCCACGCTGCAGGGGATGCTAAGAGGGCGGCTGTGAAGCAAAATGCTGCCATTGCTCTTGGAAAGCTGTGTCGGTCTGAGCCCAGGTGCCCTCTCACCTCACTCCATAAAACCACATGTTGATGATTACATCTAAAAATCCTAGCCTGAAGGAATATTGATAGACCACTTGAAATGTCATGATGACAAGAGGGGGAATAAGGTCGTATGATTTTATTGGTTTGATTCAAGATGTTGATAACATATGAGGCAGCTCAAATTGTGTTGTTCGATAAGATCTGCTTCATTTTATGTGACAATTAGTTATTATTAGATATTTATAAACCCTTAATTTGTATTTTAATTTTCAACTTTATTCTGTGTTTTGAATTGCATGTGATGTGATAGTTTATGTTCATGGGCTATCTCCTGAAATGAGTCATAGAAGAAAGCATCAAATGTAGGAAGACATGATCAAAACAGCTTATCTACATGTCTGCAGTTTCTCCTTTCCATCCTCTGTTCAGTATCTCAATTTATTCTGTAGTCAAAAAAACCCTATTTTATTACCTCTCTCAAAGGTGAATGAAATCAATCACATGCTTCGTTTAACAGTGCCGCTCTCGCCAATATACTTTACAGTGTTGCACATCTGATTGTGTGAGTGTAATTGTAATGTGGAATTATTTTTAATGATAGAGGAGAAACACTGCACCTCTGCTGTGACAACTATTCTTAGTGTCCAAGACAACAAATTCTCACAGGTGTATTTAAAACACTGCCACTATCCTTTCCTTTAATACACTTTATTTTTCTTTCTGTCGATCGCAGACATTTGGAGAAACTCAGAGAACTGCACGGCCTTGAGATCCTGCACTCCTGTATGAAGCTCATCCCGTGAATAAACGACATAATACTTGACACAATCTCTTTGCTGCTCATCAGTTTGATTCTCTTCTGTATTAAGTTTCAAGCTATAAGGCCTGAGATTTATCCAAGTTTATACAAATAATCCTGAGAGTCATTCTTCAAAAAAACACCTATTTTTGAAATGGACGTGAGCCATGATAATTAAATAAACATTTGTCTTTTTTGACAAAGCAAATTATCTGAATGCATAATAAATACTCTGCTGCAACAGCCAACGATCAACATTGATTTGATGTCTGATAAGAAACAAAACTGATTGATTACAGTAATAGCACTGTTACCAGGGGAAGAGCTACACATAACATGAAATGACATGATATTCTGCTGCTACAACAAACATTTTGAACTATTATAGCCTGAGTTGTCAGACCAAAGCAATTTGAATATATATAATGCAATATGCCTCCTTCTCCATCTAAAGTTGGAGCAAATAGTATTCTCCTAGCATGCCTTTGTAGTTATATTTTTGTTGGCCAGTTAATTCTGTGGTTGTTGTTTTTTTAATGAAATTAACTTCCCAGAAATCACCAGCTGTGTCTTGAGTCTTTTGTGTATGCAAAAACATTATTCATACTCTCACGACTCATCTAAAATTCTGCAAATAAGCACTGATTGTTGGACCAAACTTTGTGTTATTGTGAAAACTGAGCATTACTTAAATTTGCAGAATGAGCTAGACTCATGGGCTTACTGTGAGACACGTGAGCAAGAAGGTCAAAGCTATAACTCTGCTGGCATAATGTTTGCACTCTGTGATGGTTGAAAGAAATGTACTGGCAGAGCCAAGGCGAGTGGCTTCAATTTATATTGAATAGCTTTAACCCTGTGGAGAACGATTTCACCATTTTCATGCAGGTGAGAATACATTTGTGACCTTGTGCAGAGTGTAATCTCTTCTATAGCCATTGGTCAAGGACTGGCACCAGATATTCAGTATAAGCGGTGCTCCAGGATTGTGCCACGGTGTTTTAACACCTAAGGGAGAAGGAAAATGGCTATTTTAGACTTTTTTATTGAGCAGATTTTGGCACAGGTAGCACTGGTAGGAGGTGTTTATCCCTTGTGACTTGCATGCAAAAGTCAGTATGTGGAGTTTGTATTTATCCATTCATAAATAGTTATCCACTTTTGCACAGCGATGGATGAAATCGAAGTCTTGTGTTTCTTTTCTTCACTCATTTTTCACCTGTTGGCAGTATTTTGCCCACGCTTAGCAAGAAACCTAATCCATGTATTGATGATCTGCAGAGGACAAAAAGCTCCATTGTAAGGTATGACTCCATGTGTGCATGTCTGCAAACAACTGTTACTGTCGGGTCAGTCGGATACAACAGAAACAACAACACTCTTACACCAGGGCTCCAGTTTTTAACCGAAAGCACTACACAGAAATGAGGAAGTTTTACTGCTTCACCGTGGGATTCTTTCTGCTTTCAGGTATGTCCTCATTTTTTGTGGTTACCTGTGCAATCTGGTACTTTCTTCTATAGTTTAACTGGCTTATACAAACAACTGTGTCAAATATATTATGTAATCTATAGCTTGCAAAGATGCATTATTTATTTATTTAAGATGTTACACAATCCCTTGTGATATATCTCTATTTCAAAAAATGTGATATGTATTTTTTAAATTACACATTGGAATTAATTTAAAATATCCTTTTTTAAAATAAAAATACTTTTGTTTTCTTTTTATTCTGTCTGGTAACAACTGCTTCAAGTAATAAATAATATACAGTGGAATACAATACAAGTCACAATAAGGAAATTAGTGGGTGCACTTGCCTCTCCCCTTGCATATTGTATATCACGCCCCCATATAAAGTAGAAAAAATAAACAAAACACCTTCACCATTGTGACTGTGTTTTAATAATTAAACCCTTTTGTCTCCTACTCTATCTGATCATCGGATAATTTCCTCTATGTTTCACTACCCTATATGCAATACAAGTGTTATCACTCTCTTTGTTATAAAGTGTAAACTGAAATAATAAGATCTGAAATATGCTCCACAAATACATCTAATTAGAAAACTGCTTTAGGTGTTTACATTAAACTAAAACACGTCATATCAATGCAAGCTTGCCGTTATTTAAAAGGTGATTTTCTTTGCTTTTAAATTCAGAAAAACGTTTACTTAGTTTCGATTTACAATACACAATCATGAAATATAGGTCAGTTCCTGTGATACTCTATTGCAGCTCACAGAGGGCAGAAATGCCATGTCACCGCTGTCATAGTCACACTGCACATACAGTATGTGTCTTTGTATAAGTGATTTAAAGATGCACAGAAAAGGAGGACAACTTTGGTGAGACAGCTTTAAGCTTACATTACAGTCTGTAAGAGGAACTTAAAAGCTTGAGGTTTTGAAGTACTTATTTTTAACTTTTCAAATGATGAATTGATTTTGGCTTGATATGGTTTACTGGCATCTTTTACTGTATTCACTTAAGTAGTCTGTTTTTTTTTTTGTATTTTACTGGTATCAACATCCTGTCTGCACACTGTCTGTTTCATTACCTTTCTATTGGTCATTTGAGATGCTGTTAAAATTGCATTCAACTCATAAATGGTTATTTTGTGAGCAAAACCTTGCATGTGTTATAACTCAAAACCACCATCTGTGAATTGAAATAGAAGTCATGCAAAAAAAAGCTGGAGAGATTTGAACCTTGAAACCCTTGGTGGCTATGAAACAATACAACCAGATAATGTGACTGACTCATATGCTGATTGATTGATCCAAGGTAGGGGTTGAAATGAAAAAGGAGCACTGATTACAAGAGTCGAAAAGACCTGGTTGCTGGTGATAACACTTACTCAGTGGACCCCTTGTCCTCTTAAATTAATGAGAATTCTATCGTCTTTGTTATTACAATATAAGGAGAGAAACTTTCCTCTTTTTTCACCATAGAGGATGGTCTGATACTTCAGATTCTGAGGGAGTAAAAAGATAAAGTTATGTGGCTTCTTGAAGAATTTAAACAAACTGTAATTATACTGGCCTTTCTAATACTTTTCAAACTACTTTGAGTCTCTAATAACAACTTCAAGTGACGTAACTTTTTTGCTATTATTTAATTTAATGTCAGCATGCTAAAGCACGACTCAGGGCACAGTTATAGTATGTTCTTATAACACATTAATAAGAACTAATATGTAGTATTTTGTTGCTGTAAGAAAAGTGTCGGACAAAAAAGTAAATACAAATTTATTATTATGATTTCTTTTTATTGACATTAAGGTATAACACATTATAATCCATACCCTTTATTACCCTTCTGGTAGCACTTTACTTGACGCCTATCTTTATAACACATTATAAATATATGTATAATATGTTATAATCACATTATAGCACTGTATAACTATAGTTATAAACACATAAATGATCATAATGCTTTATAGCAATAATCAGAACACATAACGCATTTTATCATGACTTACAAGGTCAGGTATTATAATGTGTTATAACTGTTAACAACTCACTGACAATGCCCACATGGATAATGTATTATACAGTATATATATATATGATGTGCTATAATTTGCCTGTAAACTTGGATAACTATCAATATAAACATTCAATAATTATCATAAGGCTTTGTAACAATAACCATAACACATATTACCTGACCTTGTAAAGTCATGATAAAATGCTTAATGCTATAAAGCATTAAGATTCACACCTTAACATTCATGAGTGTTTATAACTATAGTTATACAGTGCTATAACATGATTAGAATGCATTATACATATATTTATAATGCGTTATAAAGATAGGCGTCAAGTTCAGTGTTACCGCCCTTCCTAAACATTGTAATAAGCTGTAATGAATGCTTTCTATTGCTCATAAGGATTGTTATAAAGCCTTATAGATGCATTTTAAGGCTTTATAAGTGGACTTTATAGGGCAATATTAAGTGTTACATACATCTTTTATTTTCTCTTTAACTTGTTTCATCTAACCAAGAAGACCTACACTTTCACTCATCAAACATTGTTTTAAATGTAAACAATCTCATAGAATTGAGACTACAATACAGCTGGATACTGTTGTTTACTAATTATATGACTGTATTGATTCCCAGTAGCCCTCTCAGTCCCCATTCCTGGGAATGATGTTTGTCAAAATGCATTTTTTCTTTGCAGTTGGAGCAGAAAAGGAGGATTTCCAAGGTTTTCAAACAAAGCAAACAAAAGGCACACCTGTCACAGAGGATTTGCTTTTCAGGAAGGAAAATGTGATTGGTCACAGCACAGAAGCAATACCTCTAGAAAATTCGCATCAACACACAGCTGTGGCAGAGACTGCCAAGTTTCCAGGGGCGGTTTTGTTTGACACCAGGCCAATGCCACCTCATGAGACCACACAAAACACAAGAGCAGTTAAAGTTGCCTCACCGAATGGGGAACGTTTTGTTTTTGGAAATGGGCAAAACTATCCTACGTTATTACGAGACAATCCATCAACTGAGAGGATTCACACCGGATCAGAAAAGCCATTGATCTCTTATAATGAGAATATCGTTTTCTCATCTACACAACCTGCATTTGAATCAATGATTAATGGTTCCTTTGAGTCTAAGGTCCATTTGACTGCAGATGCAGTGAAAGCTTCTCCCTGGCTTCACACTCTGCTTGATAACAGAAAGCAGAAAAACACAGACTCTCTTACTCTCACACTCGCTGAAAGAGGGCCTTCAGTTCTGATCCTATCTGCATATCCTCTTGTAATTGATAACCTAGCAGCACCGCATAACGACAATGATGACAAACGACCCCAAGGCGACAATAAAAAGGGGATTTCAAACCTGGGGAGAAATGAGTATCCATTTGAAATGATTCAATCTGATGTCCAAGGTGATACAGGAGAAGATTTAGTGAAAGGAGGCACTGGGACAAACTTGTGTTTGACCTGCCAGGAAGATCGAAGCGCAGCGTCTACTGAGAAATCTGTGGCTCTGCCTGCTCTTTCACCTCATGTCTCTTCAAACTCTTTGAGTACACATAGTTTTGCTTTGGATCTCAATCAATTTACCGCCTTATTACACAGTTTGAATCAACAGCCAGCAGGAGAACAAGAAGACATCACGCGCAAAGAGATCAGTCACCAAAACACGAGTAAGCCCTCTAGTTTTGGTGGTGGGGAAAAAGTGATTCACAGTTTAACATTTCCTCCTTTATCCTTCCATAAAACTGTGAATCAAAGCATTTCAAATGGCTCCCGAATCAAATATTCCCTCTCAGACATTAGCACAGCAGCAGCTCAAACAAAGTCTCTCGCTGCGGTGTTGTCAGTGACACAAAAAGACACCAGGAAACAATCGAGGCAAAGTTATTTGAGTGAAAGCTCAGTCACAGAGAGGCCGATTTCAGCATTCACAGAGCGGTATGGCTCATCACTTTTACGTAGCACTTTAGAGAAACCATTTAAAAGCGGGACAAAGATAAACAAGGATCCACGATTACAAGACAGAAATGAAAAAACCACCACCTTTAAGTTTGTAAGTCTCAGCAGACTGCCTGTTATCACAGAAGCTCCTGACAGCGCTAAGAAAAGAGTTCCTACAGAGGGCAATGATCACAGCAGAGCATCACATCTCACTGAAAGAATGACGCTGAAGGATGCTCACGGTGGGGCGGCTACTCTCAAAAATCCTGAGCCTCACATGCTGACAGGGAGAGCTGATTCTGTGTTTTCTATATCACACAGCCGAACATCAGAAAAAGCAAGCTCTCCAACAACAGAGCCCGATTTGACTCTTTCCCTGAGGAATTTCTCTAATATGTTTGTGTCTCCATCCACAAAGACACAGCTAACAGATAAACTGGACTCTTTCACGTTTAACACTGTCAAAAGCAGCGTTACAAAACATCTTAGTGATCTCTCAGGATCAGGATCGGCTACGAAACATCACCAGATTCCAGCTTTAACAAGGAGAGAAGTTGTCACTCCAGGGAAGTTTCTTCTTTCGGAAACAAGACAGAACTTTTACAACGATATGTTAGTCTCGACTCTAACTCCAGCACCTAGCAAGTCGTTTTTTGAGAGACTGACAGCAGGACAATTTTTAGGAGAAGTATCAAAATACTACGCTGGATCAACTCGCTCTTCTGCGACGACATACAACAGAAAGTCAATCAGTGAGCCACTAGTTATCCACAATCCTGAAGGAGCAGGAGACAAGGACGAAGAGATAACTGAGATGTGGGTGCAGGAAAGTAAAGGGACAAAGGAGACACCAGTATTAAAGTTTCAGGGGGAGGAGATGACCGAGCAAAATGAAAAGTTAGGAAACAAAAAAGAAGCATTGTCTCTACCGGATAAGATGGAAGACAGAGAACAAGAAAAAATAATTACAAGTAGGGTAGAGATAACTCAGAATACCGACAAGGCGGAGGATAAAACAGAAAAACATGAGGTTAAGATAAATGGAGGTAAAGGAAACATCGGAAAAGAGAGTGTAACTTTGTGGCAAAACAAAGTTCTACGACATTGGGAGGTTAGAGACAGAGAAAGTGCTGAAAGAGAGAGTGTGACTGACATAAATACACAGGCTTTCAACAAAGATGTTGAAAAAGAAAGAGAAGCTTTGATGGAGGAAACAACAACAGTGGTAAACCGTTTTAATCATATCAGTGAAAGTGGAAGAGAGGACAGGACGAATGTTCCCCACGGACCTGATACTGACTCCGAAGAAGTCAACAGTGACAAAGGGCAGCCAGTTTCAAGCCTGTCCTCCTGCCACAGTTTGATTAGACAGTTTGAAGCTGATGAGCACAGGATTATTCATACCGCACAAATAAAAAAGAAACCATTTTCCGAGCAAATGACAAGCCATTACATACAATTTCACCCAACTCTTAGATCTCAGAGTACCATCAGATTAGATATGACGTCTTTCCCCAAGGAGCCATTCGCAGAGGTTAAACCTCATCCATTTACAAACCCTGCATCTGCGTCTTCGCTTACTGAAGAAAGTGCTTTAATAAATATATTTTCTGTGACTGCAACATCAAAACCACTCTCAGCAGTTAGCGCACCAACCTTTCCCCCACACAGTACGCATAAATCAGCCCCTTCAGTACCACGCAGTATTCGTAATACGCTGTCAATCAATGCCTCGCCTTCAAGACTCACATCTTACCTCCTGCGAGCTCAGCCCCATGTTTTAGTTAATACTTCTACTCTCGGTTTATCAATTATTCAGAGGATCTTGCATCACGGGCAAAAATTCAGCACTTCAGGTGTGAGCACAAATTCACTTTTACAGACTACAGATGAGAGAGAACCAGCAGGACAGATTACCCAAGCAACCATCCACAAATCAGGTGTCAAGGGCTCGTTCACCTTTAGGATGATTGAAGGAGTAAACATATCTGCCTTAGCGACTCCTCCGCTCAGGCAGATGCGAAATGATTCATCTGCGAGGACGATCGCAGCTGCAACCTTGACGTCTGAAGCTCTGGACAATATTGGCCACTTGCAGTCCGACCAAGGGCAGCCTATAGCTCAGATATCTTGGTCCTCCTCGACAGGTCAGCCATGCTTTTGTAAACTGTCAAAACAGAGGACCCATCCAGACACTTGGCATGATGGTAAAGAGCAGAAATCTATACAGGTCCAAATGTCATCATCAATGAGCCCTAAAAGAAGGAATGATCAATTCCCCTTCAGCAGCAATTCACCAGCACCTCCGTTAAATCTCATGCTGCTTAGAAATGACAGTTTACCTTGCACTCTTAGCATGACAGAACTAACAAAATCCTTTTCGGGAAGAGAGACTGAATATGGGAATAGTAGAGGTGGCAACAGTGAATCCTTGTCAGACATGGTGACTTTGCCAGTAAAGAATTTAGATGCAGCCACAAAGCAAATGATAGAAAACATAGATGAAAAGGATGGTTTCCCTTTTCCAGTGCAACCAACTGGCTGGAGTAAACACCACAGGAGTAACAGTGATAAATCAGATTCTTGGTCTATAAAAACGACTGAGAAACTGGCAGGGATACAAACCGATGAAAACGGCCACAATGACCTGCTCCATGCAGAAGGCAACATAGTGAAAGCTTCCCTTGACAATAATCATCTCTTCAAGTTCGACATTTATAATGAAACGAGAGCTGTGCCCCTTCCATTGGACAATCAGACAACCCTCAGTATTGAACAGGCAGTAAATGAGGATTTTGAGCCTGTAACCGGTGATTCTTCTACATCTGTGGGTGGCACAAATGATCCGACTGACAACGCTGGTAATAGTGTGCCAGAAATACCCATAACCCGAGCTAATGATGTGTCTAACAGCACAATTTTAGACAGGCAACGCCCTGCGGGAAAAAATATTGGAAAGGAGCATTATCCCTCCACACCACGAGACCCCTCGGCTGATCAGACTCGCCATATTCCGCACATAAATTTTAGGACTGACCTTAAACTCCCCATTATATCCACACAGCTGATTGCAGACAGGATAATGACTGCTACCTCTGAATTTCAGATAACTCCCACCACAACCAATGATCTTCTATCTCTGACACCAGCAGAAAGCAAAAGCAGCTTTATTTTGTCCTTGGAAGCTCATGAATCAAGACGAACTACAACAGAGAGAGTGCCAGTTGTTTCTAAAAAAACATCTGAAGCTGGACGAGCTGAGCGTATGCTACAGCCCGATAATCATATTGAGTCTGAAACTACAACTTCTGACAAATTCACCCCTGCTGTAAAAAGAAACAACACAACAGAAACAAGAAACGTGGAGCAGCTTGAGGGTGAAATTTCCATACAGGATATCGAACACAACCAGCATGCCCTGCTCGGTATGACTGCAATAACAAGTACTATCAATAACCCTCAGTGGGGTATCCAGGCAGGTTTATTTGATGGAGCTAGGGGAGCAGCTACAGTGGTTCAAAAAATGAACAATTTTTCATTTAAAGACTTAACATCTGCTGCGATGGCAAAGAGTGCGCTAAAAGCCCTACATCATCCACATGAAAACCCGCCAGTGGACAGGAAAGATCCAAATAAGGAGCATACATCACCCTCAAAGACCTCAATAAGCCCGATGATACCTGGTGTATTGACCGACTCTGTCCCACCTACGGGGATGGCTCACACAGAGATGAATGATAAAATCAGCTGTAAGACAGTTGGCTGTGCTAAGAGAGGTGAGCTCAGCCAAACAACGACTGAAACGGCTGTGATTGTTCATACAGCTGCAGAGAAAATGTTTAAAATGCAGACTGCGTACATGAGGAGAGATCATTTTAGTGCGTCTAAGAGTCCTGGCAGAAGACTGGAAAATCCTAAATGCAGCACTAACTGCCCTGCACTTGGAGAGGCTACACCAGAGGCTGACATGCCATCAGCCTCCACTTCTACTGATGAGACTCAGACGTACACCGTCAACAGTACGAGCGATGAAACTTCAGCGAAGACATGGGGAGTAACTGTTGACAGTGATCATTCGGAGGGACAAGGGATACTTCAGCAGGCTGAGTTTGCAGAGAAAACAACACAAAGACACTCTCACAGAGAGACCTTTGAAACAGCAGAGGTCACTTTATCTGGGCCTGAAGCAACCGTTGTGAAAGCTATTGAGCAGATACTACCCAGTGGAAACAATACAAAAAGACAATCAAATAAAGGAGCCGGAGCCGAGGTATCTGAGACACAAACAGCCATCAGGTTAACTCATTCCTTGTCTAAAGGAGAGATGGCATTCACAGAGTCTGAGCACAAGATGTTTCTCCCTCAGCGAGCATCGGAATCAGAGGGACGAAGGCGTAAACAGGAGAGGAGTTCACATCGTGTCTATCTCTCTGGGTAATCTCACTAGCTGTGTTAACATGGGCACAAATAATCAGAATAAATGCTTGATTGGAATAAAAATGTGTATTGTAAACATGTAGATCAGGAGATTCTGATCCAATTCGGCTCAAGTGGAAAGAAAATGTATTCCGATTGAGAGGGGTGGTTTATGCCGATCATTATTCCGAAACGCGTCCATGTAAACACTTATTTAGATCGTGACTCTCTTACCTAAATTGATCGTCACTCTTTACCGCAGGTGCTGTGACTGCTCCTCTGGTAACATAACACGGCGTACATACAGCGAAATGATGTCACATCTGCACACACTGTGCAACCTTTGAAAGAACAGTAAAATAAATCTGCAAGGGCGCCATCTAGTGACATTTAACAGGGGGAAACTCCTGAACTGGAATGGAGTGAGCCTTATCGCTACCTGATCTGTCCCAGAAACCCGATTTCTACTATTTGTTGACAGCACAAGCATAAATACAACTCTTCTTCTGCAGTTTTGGTGAAATCAGACAACTCTGCGCATGAACAAATGCTTCTAATCTGAATAAAACTTGGTGCATGTATACGCACGTCATGATCGGATTACTTGATTTTGCACCCATATAAACAGTGGAGTCAAACATGGCTACTGTCTAAGTTTTTGTTCCAGTTTCTCTCTTGGTCATGCATTAGAGGTTAAAGATTGGACATGAGGAATGCCTCTAAGTGGAAAATCCATCACTGCAAACTGCTGTACTTTTACAATGCTTTAAGGCATTGCAGTTAGGATCTATATTGTACGGGCTCAGTATGCACAAACATTGTATGATTGTGTGTGTTGTGTGGTGGTGGTCGGAGAGGCCGTAGGCGCAGAATGGCAGCCACGTTTCCACCACCACCAAAGTGTGACTGTGTGAGCGAATGAATGATGTATCCAATGTAAAGCGCTTTGAGGGTCTCTGATAAAGCGCTATATGAAATCTGATGCATTATTATTATTAATGATCAAATATTAGCATTTATAACAGCATCTGTGCACACTGACTTTGGCATGCTGTACTAGAGATACTCACTTGTTAAAATGTGGAGTCTATTCACTGTATTTATCGACAGCTTATCTGAATCAGTGTCAGAGGTTCCTTCAGTGCCCGAACGCCGAGCTGCAGGAAAGTGTTTCAAAACATTACCTGCTTATTTTTGATAAAAGATTAGAGTGCTGCAATCAGTCACTTTGATGGATTATACATCTCAGGCAAGTTTCAGTTCTGTAAAGTTGAGTTACAGCAAAATGAATGGAAACGAATTACTGCCTCAGAGGGGGGAAAATCAATCTTAAACCTTTTGCAACCTGCTAAAAATCATCCTTTAGATCATACTCTGCGGTGATAAAGAGTGATAAGTAAGTGATGCTTTTAAATGGACAAACTCTCTATGTTGTCTTCTATGTGAAATGCAATGATCCCCATCTATTTGTAGTGTAACACAAGTTTCAGATGACCTGTGTGGCACTGGGAACCACACAGCAGAAATGAGTCTGAACCTGGGAGGAGATTTACAGCCTGGTGATACCTTGCCAGCCCTGGGGGACCTCACAGTGGTTATCAACCTGAAGACAAACAACAGCCTATTAAACCTTAAGGTCACCTCCTGTTGCCTGTCCCCAACCATCCAGCCTGACCTCACGAACTCCACCTGCTGTCTTTTCTCCAGGTACACATGGAAAGTCTTCTATGAGGTGGATTTAAGAGTTGAGGATGCTGCTGTTATTAATATCAAGCTTAAAAGGCTAAATTCAGCAGAGTGATGAGGAGAAGAGGTAATATTTGGTATTAAAGCTAAAAATAAGAAAGCAGAGTCAGCAAATACACCCTCTGCATGATGGGAAATTTACAGGACATTGACTGACCTCTGTGCAGCCATCTGGACTGCATTTCATGAAAAGAGAGGCAGCCCTCTTGAAACCTTCTGAAAAGTTTTATTTTGAACGGACATCATTTTCGTCAACATCCTCCCTTCACATAATCGTATTTGGACAGTGACAACACGTGTCACATGTTATGCTGAGTAAGCCTGTTGAATTGAATTAAAATGCTGCCTCTCATGGTAGAAATCTGACTGAGGCTTTTGAAATCCGTGCTTTCACTGTGTGTAAACATTAAAAAGGCAAACATCTATGAATAATGCAACGCTTTAACCTCTCTAAGAGGCTTTACATAACTGGCCAGACTCCCAGTGCTTGTAAACCTGTTTACTTGGAGGACAGAGTTGCTCTAACTCCGATCAATCCTGAGAGATGCAGATTTATTTTTTGGAGCTTAATATTTTCTGCTCGGTAAACAAGACCGCTGTAGGTTGATGGTGTTATCTCTGTGAGCCAGCATCACTCAGATAGATAGAAATACAGTTTACACTTAGAGAAGCACGGGAATAAATCCAAAGGCTTTAAAACATTTGGGAGTATAAATATGCTGGTGGTTGACTTTGGCTGTCTAAACAGTCGTCTTGTAAAAAGTAAATTCACCTGGGACAAATCTTTTGAAAATGAATGTCCTCTAGCGGGAATAAAAAGTACATAAAAGTTACACTCACAACATTTCTCTCTAGATGCTGACTGAAATAATAAAAAAATAACAAATCACTGAACAAATAGGGGAGACCGGGGCTTGTTATCACACTTATATATTTCTCAGAATCAATACAGCATATATAAACAAACTGTGTACCAGATGAAAGACCAAAGTCGCAGGTATCTATTTCGTATTCATGTCATTTTCATATCTTGTGTCGGTGCAGAGTTATAACCAATCAAATAGAGAGTGTGAGCATGTAACATGTTGCCCCACCGCAGGGTTAGTTGTCTCACTACATGGGGTAAGATGTCACAGTGGATTTTGCAGCTAATAAAACAAGGACAAAATTATTGTTGTTTTCGTTTGTTTTCTTGAAAGTGAACATCAAAGTCAGGCACAGAAAATATTTATCATTGAGCTAGAAAAAGTCATTGAACATAGCCATTAAACGTGAACATAAAATATTATGCATCATGCTCTGGAGTTTGGAGAGCTGTCTGACTCTGTATTTCGGCTGGGGTGAATGTTTTGCAGTACCGAGCCAAGGTATGGTAGTTGACATTAAAGTCTTTTATTGTACTCCAGATGGATTTATTAGCCTGGGTCACCTGCCTGACCTCCGACTAGTTGCCCCAAACTACCATGTTTGCTGATTCTAGCTCTAGCTTAAATTAGCTTACAACAGAACAATGACTGAGGTATGACAGTATGACTTAATCTCTCCTCTAACAAGTCCACATGTATCAGTGCTAGGATTTTTATCTGGAAGAAGCTTATTTTAAAATATATAAAGTTAAATTTTTCTACTTTGGGTTGTGCAAAATGGTTATTTGGCGCTCATCTCAGCTCACAATGTTCTCTTCTCTTCTCAGACAGGACACGACCCCTGACCATGTAAAGGAAGAAAACTAGTATTCCACTTTTCAGTTGCGCCCTCTGCTGGCAAAAATAATTGCGATGCGACAATAAGCCCCGGTCTCCCCTACTAGACTTTAATACATAAATTCAATATCATTCCCTCTGAGTGATAGCACTAATCTGCAGCAACATAAAGCGCTGACCTTTACCTTTTAATATTTGCTATCTCTCACCTTAGTTAAATATGAAATATTGATAGCTCTCTGTTCTGCACTTTCTTTTGCTTTTGGTTTATTGACTTAACAGCAGGCTACTTAAAATTTGACCAATTCACCTTTTTAAATTTGAATGTTTCTTTCGCTGGGAAAAAACCTCAGATGAACTAAGTGCTGCTCAGACTCGACTGTGTGTTTGTTTTGGTGTCTTAAGGTTAGCAGCACAGCCAGCAGGGATCACGCTGCTGCCCACTGGCCTGCCAACCAGTGCCAGCTTCACCATCAGTCTCTTCCAAATGATTAATTACTCGGTGGTGTACCTACACTGTGATCTCAGCGTCTGCCCCAGGAACCGCTCTGACTGTGAAAGGGTAAGGCTGCAGTGTAATGAACGCTTTGGAACAAGAAATTGAGAGCCAGAGAGTGGTTTAAATTTAGTGACACGAGCTGAGACTTTGTGAAAACAGAGAGACAGGCGAGGCGAGGAGCGAACCAAGCTCGTAAAAATCAGAAAGAGGGGAGGGAGACAGGGTTAAGATATGATGCTGTAAGAGGAAGATATGCTGATCTAGACGGAGGCTGACAGCCAAAGACACCCAGACTAAAACATCTGTCATGTCATTATTCACTCTGAAGGTGAGATAAGGTCTGTGCAAAGTTACAGAGTAGAAAAACATGCTGATACCAACTGCTGTCTCCTGCTGTCACAGGAATGAGGCCTCTCATTTAACGGGGAAACTGTCTCATCAGCTAGGTCGCAGGGCGGCGGTAAAGAAAGGAAAAACGCTGTAAACTTGCTTTAATGTTTGTCTTTTCGCAGCAGCTCTATTGCTCAACTTTGATGTTTTTCATGTCTCCTTTCAGGCATTACAGGCCACTTATTCTCTTTTGTAGTCTCAAAAAACAGCCATTTAGACGAGCGTTTTGATGTTTGAATGCATTGCTCTAACAAAGCTACAGTACATGTACACCCACAGAGAAAACTTGTGAGCTTTCCACTTTAAATGCACCTTTTTCTTTTGTGATATCGCCTTTTTCTCACTCCTCAAGTAATGTTTTTTTATTTATTGCTGCACTTGATGTCAGGCTAGATATTTCACTCCAAACATTTCATTTACATAAAACTTTAACAGAATTCCTCAGCTACCTTGTTTGAACCACAATAACTCACGAGGCAGAGGCTTTTTTGATTAAAATTGAATGAGTGTTGCTTTCCAGCTTAAATCCTGTTTCTAGTTCTGTTTATGGAAAGTGTGGAAATAGATGTTTGTGCTCTTGCCCTTTTATCAAGAGGAAAAACACCACAGAAAAGAAAAACAGGTTTCGGTTATATATCACAGCATTGCACCTGTATTTTTACGTATACTGTTGTTGTGCACTTT